CCTCACGTTTTTATTTGATTTACTCCTCGAAGGACAGAGACCTAAAGCAAAACAAGACCCAATATAGTCATTGTGTGCGCTTTTCGGAAGTTGAATGAAAGCAGCAGAAAGCAAAAAGGACTTCTGAGATTTACAGCTAAAACTAGTGTTACCGCAAGCGTAGGAACGTTTAATTACTAATGATTTCAAAACGTGTCATTGGTAAAATTGATACAGTCGCTACCAGACACTACTGGCTGGTAAGAAGCTTTTTCGGGTACAGAGCGATGTGGATAACCTATCCATTTTATTCAAATTTTTTTCCAAGGTGTTTGCCACCAATACACCTTGGAAATATAAAGTAATAATTTTTTTCTCAATGGTTTTTAGCAGACTACAAATCGAAAAGAAAAAATATTATCCCTTAAATTTTAACGAAGTCCTAAAAGGTAATATTTTTGGCGCACGTTCTAAGAAGTTGGAATTGTGCGCTGAACCGAGATGAAAAGTTATATATTTCAGGTTAATGCGGTAACGTCAAAGTAAGTGTCAAACAAAAAAAAGATTGCAGTAAAAAAAACAAAAAAAACATTAAAAACACAAACTTTATGTGTTTTGTTCTCATGAAGGGCTGATCTACATACGCGAAGCAAAACAAAACCCTCGAACTAGAATTTTGTGAAAAGACGAGCTCGGCAATTCGTGCTATTTTTGATAATCGCTGTCGTTAAAAACTGGCGTTTGAGCGCTGAAGGGATTTTCGCTTCGAAAAAAATTTTTTGCTATATTTGAAAAAACCAAGGTGGTCTCGATTACTTTAGACTGAGATAGATTCCTGGGCAAAGTTTGAAAGAAATGGATTTTTCGACCCGAAACGCACCGAACCGCTTCGTAGAGAGACTGCGTCTCAATTAAAAGGCACTTCATTCAAACGAATCTTTTTTGGTGCTCAGAGTACCAGCAAACCCTCATTGTGTAACGGAATCTGAAATCAATTGACAGACCAATTTTTAGCCTTGCCTTTCCATTCAAGCAATTGGCTTTTTTCTCTCGTTTTTAATTTTTTTTTTGTCACTGCTGAACATAATTTCGAGCCCACTATAGGACTTTTAACTCATTATCGCGTGAAGTGTTGATCTGATAAGCAACCCTACAAGCAGTTATGTCAAGTCTTGACGATGCATTAAACTTGTGGCTTCATTTGTCGGGTGGGAATTTTTTTCATACAAAGAATCACTAGTAAAGGACGATCAACATTGACAGACACTGGGCAAAAATCAGTTGTTACCTTATCTTTAAGATGTAATCAAAGTTTTTAATTAGAGTGTTTCTGTTTTTTCGTTTTTTTGAGGGAGTATCTGATCATTTGACCAGCCAAGAATGCATGGTAGTTTTCTGTGTTCATATTACTAATGACGTATTTTGAAATAATTTCTTAAACATCACTAAGCTTGTGGCAAGGTCAACTAGAGGCAGTAATTATTTGCCCGGTCTTAGTTCATTTGGAAGTTTCACTTGGCTATCGGAGCGCACTGAGACTTGGAAGTCAAAAGGCAACTGCTCCTAATTTGAGGTAAGTAAAATACTTTCAAAGTACACACACTACGTTTCCGTACAACAAAAGTAAGGGTACAATGTTTTAAAAAGTATGACTCCTTTACTGCTGGAATTTGGTCTATTTTGAATCATATTCTTCAATGGTTTCAGTTTTTTAGCTTTTCCAACACCTTGTTCAAATCAAAACGAAACGTTGTTTCGAAAAAAAGAACTTCCTGAGTGGATGACTGAGATTGATTGGAAATTGAACTTATATCGTATAAATCCTTCATTTTGTTTCTTCAAACACAGTGTTTCAACATGGGCTTTGTCACTGACCCCCGGTTACTTCAGAAAACCTTATTTCCTGACATGTTGAGGATAAAATCAAAATTATCTCAATTCAAAGCGGCAAGGGAAGGGAGATCAGTCGTCGCTAATAGAGTATAAAGGGGGTGTGAGCATAAAAGAGTGACTGCTACTAAGGGGGATCATGAGAATAACACAGAGCCTTAAGGGGGGATCGGGATAATTTCATTGAGTCACAATCAGAATCCTACGACCCGCTCCCGCCCGAGGAAAAATAATGAGCGTTGCTAGCGTACTCATTGTTTATTACGCCAAAAAAACATTTTTAACACTGAAGAAACTCTGGCATCCTTGGCATTTTTTCGTGGCATTTATGTAGAAAAAAAAAGCAAAACAAAACAAATAAACTAACTAAAATAAAAACTAAGAAGAAGGAGGTGGACAAAAATATAGAAGGGTGCAGTTACTACGCATGCTTCAATTTACGCAACGTTCTACTTTGGTTTTGTATTTACCCTTACAAAGAAAAGAAATGTCAAGGATCATCTGCTTGAGTGAGTTGTTGCGCATTTTGTTACAATGGTCTTTTGTCCGTGATTGTTTTGGTTACTAAGACGCACTTTGGTTTGCATGGAGAGTTTACAAAAGAGTGGATGAACGAACCGCTCGATGAATCAAAAAAATGGTTGGTGCCCCTTATGACCCTTATGAAAAGGTGGCCTTATTGGAGGTTCCACCAAACGGTAAAGAAAACTGAAAATACACCTCAAGCTAAACATGTTGTGTTCAGATATCGTGTTTATCAAACTGTTGATATCGTGGTTACTATAGAAAAGCTTGCCCTTTTGCCTTCGAAAATTTAAGATGTGCGAAATTTAAACACTTAGAAAAGTCTCACTTCCATTCAGAAAACACTCGCTCCCTTTGAAATCGGATCTTGGGGAAGAGCTGGGCACGAAAGGTGAATTGAAACATTGTAAGGGATTAGATATTTCGAGTTATCACTATAAGAGCACAAAAAAGATTCATATTCCGAAGCCAACATTTTCCTGAGAGTCGAGTTCGACTATCACAGTTCCCTTCAAGGTTCAGTTTACCACACGAATAGTGATGGAAGCCGAAGAATCATTAACAGGCAACACGGGTCAAGAAGGCGGGAAGTGCACGTGGAAGAGCTTTAAGTGAGTAAAGTTTTCCTCTCTCTGTATAAAGTTGATTTGCAGTTGTTAGTGAACATATGTAACGTTAGCCCATGTTAAGAAGAGTTTTGGAGAGTTGGTTTACCGCTCTGCACAATTATTAACATTCCGTCATATAAACAGGGAAATATGTCATATTCAAAAAAAGAGCAACTCTGAAAATATTCGCTTCAGAATTCTGTTTTCCGTTTCGATCTTGGAAGAGATATAATTAATTACTTCTCGGAAATTTGAGTGTAGATCGTAGGTTATATTTGGAAGACTGGCTATAACACGCCACTCCAATAATCTATCAATGAACACACAAAACGTCTGATAAGACATCCGAGACCGAGAAAACGTCACACAGTGATTTTAAGGAACAATCTCAGCCGAAATGTTTAGTGGTTCCTATAAAAACAGTAACTTTGTGAATTTATGATGCGAGGTAATACTGGTAAACATTTCAGTGTAACTTAATTTCGACAAGATCTTCGCCGCAGTTGCAAATGTAATGGAACGTATTATAGTGGTATGGTGAAGTGGACGCACAAGATAATCAATAATATGATGCAGGAAGGAACTATCGTACTTCGATGTACGAGATTGACTGGAACAAGATCTGATGTTGAGCTAAAAAGGCACGATTTTGAAGGCGTGAATTCTTAAGTTGTAGGAGGAAATATGAACTTTGATTTAAGACGGTATAACGATTGGATGTCGCGATTATTGCAGAAAAATATAACGTTTTAATTTACGTCATCGGATAAGTTTGGTTTCAATTTTGTTGGATTTAACAATGCTGGAATTCGCTATAAAGTTGAAAGGGTCGTTTAAAAAACATTACACATATATACCTTATAGTTACTTTTTATCATTGTAAATTCTTCACTGAGTTCGCAAACAAACAAAAATTAGCCTTCCGAACTGGATCCCATTTCCCTAGACAATTATACATTAGGGTAAGCCGGAAACTGTTTGACTGCTGGTTTCGTTGAAAATTTGGTCTGAAAACATCGAGGGGTCTATGAGGGCAAACCCGGGTAAAAATTATTGAATATAAAAGAATACAACAAAACGTTGGGGGGGGGGGTCAGATAAATGTATGAATGTTATCTTGACCCAACAAATTTCTCAAACCACCTCAGGTGATAAATAATGGCTGCTCCCTTAGTTCTGAAATAAAGTTCCCTTTCTTGTAAACTTCCTCCATCGTTTTTCCTTTTATCTCAACTGGTTAATCTTTCCACTCTTTGGATCTGAACTTTAATTCGGCCCAGTGGACAGGAGAAGGGGAGGGGGGGTGGAGGATTTTGGTTGTGTACCTGATCCTCCATATTGCTCTGTGATTCCCCCCTCCCCTTATTTGTAGTTATTGTGATTTGCAGTCGATGTTCTATATTCCACCCTTTATTCTCTGTTGACGACCACTGATCCCCTCCCCTCCCCCCCGAAAACCATGTCCTCCCTCGCAAAAATCCTCCAATCTTCCTTCCCCCCCCTCTCGACAGACGGTAGATAATTACTGGTCCCTAAGGAAAGGAAGCTAAAGATGGACTCAGTAACCTGTCAACAGAAATAGTTAAATTAAAGATTTTACGTTGCAACTTTAACTGGGATTGCAGGGATCTATTTTTACATCATGTTTAGCTGAAAATTTAATTCTTATTCTTATTCTTACCCAAATAATTCAAAAGATCCTGAACGAGTCAAAAACTAACCTGAAAGTGTTTTTTTTTTTTAAGGGACTGGGCATGCAGTAAGTGTGGTAAAATAACAATCGGCGTCATAGCAGCATTGTGTATAACAGGTCTCGTAGTTGGGCTCGTTTGTCATTTCGTACTTCTTCGCGATAAATCATTTGGCGGACTCTATAAGAGAGAAGCTGTTGCCACGGATACAAAGCAGTGCTCCAAAATAGGAAAAAACATCCTAGACGCAAACGGCTCGGCGGTGGATGCTGCCATCGCCGCCGTGTTCTGTTTGGGTGTGATCAGCATGCACTCATCAGGGATAGGAGGTGGAGGAGTGATGTTACTGTACAATCAAACATTAAAGAAAGCCACAGTCATCGACTTCAGAGAAACTGCCCCAGCTACAGCCTACTGGAATATGTTCAAGGATAGGGAGGAAAAATCCAGGAAAGGTCTGTTCTTTTGCTTTTGCATGATTTTGTTGTGAATCCATATATACAATTGCTCACCGAAGTGGAGGTGAAAAACTGTTTCAGTATATACCACACAGATTAAAAAAAAAGGCTAAAAATATACCAAAATATGTTCGGAAGTTAAACTCTTGACCCGAGATTTTTTTCTCTTGGGCTGCGTGGAGGTGAATAGTACTTGCTATTCACTTTCGGGCCAGCCAATGAGCGCGCGCGTAAAACTTTGTTCACTTTTGGTATATACTACTTTTTAATTATTGCTTATTCCGCTTTAATAGATTAATTCACATGTTCCCCAATTCAGTTTATTATGAATTTGGATATAACGTGCGCGGTCATTGGTTGAAAGAGCGTGCTCTATGAGAGTATAGAGCATAGAGCTGATCTAAAGCTGTCACGCCATCTTCCAAATTGTACTATGTCTGACCTTTTCCGGAACTTTTCCCTAGTCTTTTTTTCTATACTTGAAAGTGAAATTTCGGAATAGGCAAGTCGGCAAATAGCATTAGAACAACCAAAAAAAAGGTATGTAAACATGCCAAGCGCCGTAATCGACATTATTATTATGTTAGCAGAGACAAAAATCCTCAAAAAGAAAACGAAATGAACTGCAGTCCGAGTATTGAGGGTTTTCACACTCAGTTAGATTGCAAGCTTACGAACGGTAATAAAAATCAAACACAGCTAACACTCGTGTGGTTTATATGGTTTCGTATGATGGAAAAATATACCCAAAGTGGCATAACTGTTAAATTCATACTAATCATGACGGTGTCAGAGCGATCATGCTGAGATCCAACGCAGCTAGCTCATCATGGCGATCTCCGGTCATCGCAGTGAAGCAAGCCTCAGAAATTACATTAGCCGCCCTTCGAGTGAACAACTAAGAGCTTGCCAAGATGTCCTTTCCGATGCGTTGAGTGGAAGACCACACCAGTCACTGCAGCCGATCGGCTCGCGAGTATTGCGGCTCTGTCATTCCCAGCAATCTTCATGTTCTGGTGTTTCTGCTGTCGTTCATTCATAAAACACTCGCCTTGAGCAGTTTGTTTTCTAATTGTCATGTGAAAAAAACTTGCGTGTTATTATGAGCCACAATTTGGCTAGATTTCACTGAACTTTTTACCACCACATTATGTATTAGAGACCAAAAAACTTCAAGCAAAAGTGTCAGATTCGAGCAGCCAAATTAAAGTTCAGAGTAGTGCTCAAGAAGTGAGACTTTGTGCTCTGACCGCTTCCTGCGTGCTTTACAACAGAGCAGAGCACAGTCAAGGCTTCTCTATTTGTTAAATATCTCAATGTTGCTAATTAAACAAAGCAAAGTTTTGGACTTCATGACAATACTTTAAATCTTGCAAGAAAATAGGCGTATTAAACTAAGTGTTTAAATACCTCGTCTGTTATGTTTATTAATGTCTTACTAGGAAAATACCCTCACTACACAGACAGCACCAACGAATTGACGAACTATATTTTTAAGAAAACCCGCAAAAACGCCAGCCTAACAAGCTTCAAATTCAGGTGGTCTGTCTATCGCTGTTCCCGGCGAGGTGCGCGGTCAGTTCCAGGCTTGGCAACTATATGGTCGGTTACCATGGAAACACCTTGTTCAACCCGCCATCGATTTGGCCAAAGATGGGTTTAAAGTATCAAAGGCATTGGATGATGTACTAAAAACGACAGAAAACATCACTGAAGAAATTAGAAATGACCCAGGCTTAAGGTGAGAAATATTCATAACTGCTATGTGACAAAGACAATTTGTAAATACGAAAACGGTGGATAGTGTTAAAGGCGCACTCTGATTGGCTACTCAAACTCTGAATATGCTTTATTATTCACCTCCAAGCATGTTCCCGAAAATGTTGTAAGCGTTGTAGGAATAAGTAATTTAAAATCATCTTTTTGTGCTATATTATCTCACTGTTTTAGTACATGGTAAATAGCCCTAGATATGGAATTTCTCTTCAAGCGTTCAACTTGATAGCTCGCGAGTGAAATGTCGAGTTGAACACGAGAAGACGAATTCCATATCTACAAGCAACCATGTATTATTTTGTTTATCGTGTAAACACAATAGCCCTTCACTGACAAGAAAAGTCAACTACTTAACGAATGAAAATAAAAGGATCAACAATCCCCGAATAAAAATTGTAAAGTGCGTGGGCGCTAAGGTTCAAGATGAAAAATATGTTAAATCATTAGTATTACAAAAACTACAACGGGCGTAATTTCCAATATAAAAAATTCTTAGTTATTGACTTTTTCCTTACCGACAGAGGAAATCTTTCAGGTACACGGCTAAAGCGGCCTGTGGCAAATCTTTCAGTTGTCGCTTTTCGTTCTCAGCCGCGAGAAATGCCATTACCAAAGCCACTGAATACGCCGGTAACTTTCCCGTATTTTGATTTTCTTCCCCTTCTAGAAAATTTTGAACGTCACTGTCGGTAAGTGATACGAATTTTTTAGTTTTTTATCGGTCAAAATCCGAGAAAATTCCGAAAAACAGCCACGGATTGAGAATTGTAAAGGCCTTGCTGTTCATTCATCAAACTGACCGAGTGGCGCGAAAGGCGAGTGAAAAAATATCGTATTATTTCACGTGAGTTGTTACGGCTTTTCTCAGTGCTGGAAATCCTTGTATAACATTATAGTTTATGTGATAATGAACAAATTTTCACCTCAGTGGCAGTGGCTGGTGGCGGATATTTACCACCACTAGCCACCTCCCCTTCGGTGAACAGTAGTTTGATACCAGAGAAGTCTTCTATGCGAAGATTATTCCCTCAGAGCGACCGATCTTTGTTCACATGCAGCTGGATAATGTGATAATTTACGTCATTGAGTTTTAAATTTTTTCAGTGAACTGCTCCTGGTTGATAATAAAACGCTTGTTAAGAAAGGAGACGTCATTAAGAATGAAAAGTACGCAACGACCCTGGAAAGAGTGCGTGACGATCCAGAATCTTTTTACAATGGAACACTTGCCAGAGACATTATTCGTGATTTGAAGAAAGTCAACGGGAAGGTGACTGACAATGATTTAAGAGATTACTGGCCGATCACGAGAGAGCCATACCAGGGAGAACTCTCGGGCATGAAAATGTACCTGACCCCACCCCCAGCAGGTGGCGCCGTGCTAGGGCTCATCTTGAACATTTTGCAAGGTAGGAGTTCTCGTCACTGTGATCAATATAGCACATATGGCACATATAGCTCCCCTTCCTTGTGCACACACTCCTCTTCACGCTCAAAAAACAAAAAGAGACTAGTCCTTCATTATCGCCTGAAAGGGGAGGGGGGGGGATTGTGTGGAGGATTTTTATTGCGTCACGATGAAATTTACCTGATCCCCCAGTAACATTCTTAGGATCACCACACCGGCGTCCCCCCTTTTAAGGTCTGGTGCGGCATGTTTGTTGGGTATTTCTTGTTGGAGCGTGTTATGTTTGAATTTGCTGACAAAGTCATTTTAATTAGACGAAACCGGTGGGAATTAAAAAGAAAGATGAGTCGCCAACATTGTTTGTTGCGTACTACTCAGAGAAGTGTAATTTTTTTTCTTTTTGTTTTTAATGTAGGATACAATATGACGTCGTCAGCCTTTAAAGACAAGAAATCCTCTGTGCTTACGTATCACCGAATCATTGAAGCCTTTAAGTTCAGTTATGCATGGCGCAGTCTGCTTGGAGATCCAAAGTTCAATTCAAACATCCGGGTAGGTGGAAATAATTCAGTGTAAACAAATTACGTCAGTTTTATTACATTTTCTGTAAGGATATACTATCAGAAGGCTCTAATAGACAAACTGTGCTTGCATAATTTTGGTATAATTTGAAAAACGAGCATAATTTTTGCTTTTTTGAGAAAGCAACTGCTAGCATAATCAGCATCTTTTCTGTATTTTTCGACGAGAGCATTACTAGATTCACAGCTGCATTTTTTTGCACGATTAATTATTTTCAAGTTCGGCCAATGGTTCAGTCTATTTCCAATTTTGCAACGTCTGCGGGGAAGAAAACAATCGCAGTACTTAGTAATTCGTCGTATAAAGGACTGGGCACGCCGGAAGTGAAAAATGCGTCTGTCCTAGTTTCCGCTTCCACAGGCAACAAAATCACGGGCGTCGAAGACGTTGCCAGCCCTTAGCGATCACACAAGATAGTTGTCTCTTTATTGGAGTTCGAATTGCGTACAAAGACACTCAAAAGAAACCAACTTCAAGTTGAAAAATATATTTAAATTTGCTTCATTTTGTTGCGATAGGGCGCATTTTACCTTCAAGCAAGACTGAGTGAACGCTATTTTAAAACAAGCCATTCAAAGGGCGAATGGAAAAACAAGAATTCAAAGAAGCCAACGATAACTGTTAACGCATATGGCCGACCCCATGAGGAAAAACGAGGGTAACCAAACCTGATTACATTTTTTCCGGGGACAATGAGGTTCTTCCTTGATTAAGCTTTGCGTTAAGTTGGTCGAGGAAGTGGCGGCACCTTTAGAAGTATTCTTAGATCATAGCGAGGCAATCGGCAGCAATTGCGGATTGTCTAATTCAAAATTCGCATGACAAATTTGAGTCTGATCAACAAAACATTAGCTGAATGTTATGAAAATTTGCTGATATTTCAGAAAAGAGCATTACAGATGCTGGATCCAAAAACAGGCAATCGCCTACGTAACAAAATACGAGATGACGAGACCCACAAAGATGTAAGGTATTACGCGGATTTCTTTTCGAATGCTGATTACGGTACCACCCACGTGGCTGTTCTGGCCCCAGATGGAGACGCAGTTTCCGTGACATCTTCTATCAACAAGAGGTGAGTTTAGAACTAATCAATATCGGATGAACGGCTTAAACCTGAGCCTGCTTAGCTGGTAGTTTTGTGTTTGCTTGGAAGTCAGGGTGAAGGAGGTACAAAAATGAGCAGGGAAGCCACAAGGGGCCTAGGATGAAAATTATGTGGGAGTTGAGGCCGGATTCTTTCCTTTTACGCTAAAAGCTTAATTCCGTTTTCAAAATTAAACCTCAATTAAATTGCCGCAAAATTTTTATAACAGCAATAAATTTTGACACAAGATACTAACTCCATCTTTTTATCGCATCGAGGCAGCTTATAAATGTTCATGAAGTACGGACGCAAAAAGAGAGGGGGAACTGAGTAGTAAGTCCTATGACCACGCATTATTTGTGTGTTTAATAATAGGTTCGGTGCTAAATATCGATCCACTACCACAGGGATCATTTACAACAATGAGATGGCAGATTTTGATATTTATGGTCAAGACAAAGTGAATGACATTTCTCCTTCACCATTCAATTTTCCTGGGCCAGGCAAGCGACCGTTCTCCTCCACGTGTCCCACCATTTTAACTGATAACGACGGAGTTGTGCGACTTGTAATCGGTGCTTCTGGCGGGAAAATGATAACCACTGCTGTGTCACAAGTACGTCTAATCATTTCATTCTAAGTTCTTCGGCTCTAAAGATTTTATAGCTAAGCTAATAAGCATTTTGTGGGCTGTATATACCCCATCGGGGGCGTAACCATGATGTTACCCCCCCCCACCACCGGCTACGTCCTTGCTCGTGCTTTACTCTTTGCTCAGAGAGCTAACAAAAGCTTAGAAACACACTAATTTTTCAGTGGGTCGAAGTGTGTACAAAATCCGTCCCCCTTCTCCAAGGCGGACTCACACTGCCTCTGTGGTACATATTGATACCAAGGAGGCTTGCAATTATTTTTGCACCTGCAGGTCTTAATGAACAAACTCTGGTTTGGAGATGACTTGTCTAAGGCGGTAAACAAACCCCGATTGTACTCACAACTGGTGCCTGATCAGAGGGTATTTTATGAAAACAATAAGGACTATCGCATTGACAAGTACGTAATAAAAGGCTTAGCACAAAGAGGTCACAACGTCACTGGCTGTGATTTGTTTGCTGTGGTGCAGGCGATTTCTAAGGAACCTATGGGAATATATGCCAAGTCTGACCCGAGAAAGCATGGTGAACCCGCGGGTCAATAGAAGTACGGTCCCGAGACACTTGCCCAATCAAAACTCGCTTTTAAACGCTATCCAATGTAGTAACACCTTATTTTCCATAGATGAGCAGAAAAATGCTATGAGGCTTAGAGTTATTGAATGATGACGCTTCACAAGGATAGAAGATACATTTTCCTTTCCTTTTCTACAGCAGTTCTCCGGCATCTTTTGTCGAAATTATAGCGTTTATTGTTAGAATTTGAAAACGATTTATGATCCTTGTTGATAAGATCCTTTGATATCGTTCTCTGATTTAAGGTGCGTTAAATGAAATAGACAGAAGCGTTGAATTCATCCGTCATTTTTCGCTGATTTAATTTCCTTAGAATTTTCATTTAATTATGTTCGACTCAGCTCAGCATGGAAGAGTAGAATTGCTTTGCTTAGATACCACATACACGCTATAGATTTAATATAATAAAACGAGGTCACAACGTCACTGGCAGTGATTTTTTCGCCGTGGTGCAGGCAATTTTTAGGGAATAGGAACGAAATTTATATGTCAAGTCTGACCTGAGAAAGCATGGTGCGCCCGCGGAAGAAAAGGAATTTTGTCCCGATACATTCGTCTGTTTATTCGGCAGAATCTTAACTCGCTTTAAAACGCTATATTGCATGAAAACGGCATTTTTGCAATTGTTTATAGACCACAGTCATTTTCATTGAAAAAAGAGATGCTTATTGGCCCAATTAACTGGATAACTGAACAATTTTTAAATGGATAAGTGTTAGCAAAACAAACTTCGCATTGCTTCGAATATAAATAGCCATATCGAGATTATTTCTAGACTCCACCAGTATCTCTGCAAAACACAGCGATTCAAGAAAACATTTCTACTAACAATACCACTGCTTGTAGCTAGTAGGTAAAACTTCAGCAATTGCTAAAGGTAAATATCATATGCACTTAATGTATGGTCCTGAGGGAAACAGTTCGTTTGTTTTCCCTCGAGTCCTGATGTTTCCCGAGAGGAAGTCCAGGGAAACATCAGGACTCGAGGAAGAAGAAAACTAACTAGTTTCCTGAGGGACCATACATTAAGTGCTTTGTTATATATTTAGACTTTCTCTTAAACAATCACATGGCAAAAACAAACAAACGCGCTGTTGTATTCGGCACGCGGGCAATAAATGCGCAATTGTATCCCAGTCGGGAGACATTTCAACTTGATCAGGAGCACGTGACCAAGAATCAATCAATCACATTGCTCATTTTATTGAGTTAAACCCTAAGGAATTACAATATTTCATGTTCCTCTCTGTAAAGGCTGATGAAATTGCACCTCATGTAGCTAACCACACAATGCAAAACACATCATGGAGAGCAGTACCGAGAGTAGGTTTGATTACAGAATGGCTTATCTTGAAATCAAACAACATAACACAGAAGCAGACAAACTCTTCAAGATTAACACGTTCCATGCATTTTTGAGAAGTCTGCCCAGAAGAGAGAGTTAGTTGATCCAATACTAAATTCCCTTAGCTAACATTATAAGAATTGTATGGTTGAAAGTAAGGAGAATAACAGATTTGATCTGGGAGTTAAAGGGTTAAATTAACATAAATTCTTCAATCGCCAACAAAAAAAAATTAGCCTTGCAAATTGGATCCCATTTCCCAAGGCAGCTACATACTAGAGTAAGCCGGAAACTGTGTTGGGTTACCCCCTAACCTGGATGATTATGTCCTACAGTCTCGTTGAAATTATTTGAACATAGTTTGGAAAACATCGAGAATGCTAGCTGCATAGTATACTACATTTACTAACACAGTCTATAAGGGCCTAAACCCAGATGAAACACTTCTAGAGAGTTCAACGGACAGGAAGAAAAATTTGTTACTTATTTGCTAGCGACTGATGAGATTGTGTTTGGGAGGGTCACATCATCACAGTGGCGGGCAGTTTAAGAAAAGATCGCGTCTCATCCGCCTTCTCATATTCGACAGGACTCAGGAGGAACCGAGAAGGGATCATGATCAGTTGTCACCAACAGAGTATGGGGTGGAAACTATAGGAAATTGACTGCCAGTAATGGGGAAGGAGGGGAGGGGGGTCATAAGAACATAACAGAGCGCTAGGTGGGGGAGGATCAGCTAAATATTATCTTGATGCAACAAATTCCTTCAGCCGCCCCAGGGTAAAATAATGGCTGCTCCCTTCTTTCTAAAAATAAAGTTGCCTTTCTTCTAAACCTCCACCACCGTTTATCCTTATGCCTCAACTGGTTAACCTTTCCTCTCCTTGGATCAGTACTTTAATCCGGCCAAGTGGAGACCTGCCCTACGTGTATCCGCACCCTCCCCCTCCTCCAGGTGAAACGGAGGGGGAGGGTGTGGCTACACGTAGGATAATGGAGCCCATGCATTTCTTTTTTTGCCCGTCTATGAGAGTTAGGAGTGATGTAGAGACAATGTACCCGATATGAAAGTTCTCTTGTTCTCATTGATTTTCTGCCATCCAGTGTGTTACAGTTTTGTCGATAATGCAAAATTTTTTTCTCTCATGGAGAGGGTTCAATAACGGACCTGTCGACGTCATTATTTATTGCCTGAGGCTTATGATATTTTCTTCAAAATTGTCAATTGCAATCTCCATTATCCTGGTCCCATTTTAGTTTGTGTTTGTCTCTGTAGTTTTTACTTTGCCAACAACAAATTAGTGATTTAATCGAATCGTGAACTAAAAGGCTATTTCAAACAACAGCTCTCCCACCCGCTCTCCCCTCCAGATTCTCTAAGCAAACGTCAATCAAAAATCACTGAAGAATTGGCTTGCCGGTGTTACAAAGAAATGTATGGAAGCAAAAATAGAATCTCGTACAATGGTTATTTAAGTAGATCCAATTCTAAGTGCCGACCTCTCATTGATAAATAATATGCAATTGAATTCCGAGGCAAAGGTTTTATTGATAATGTGGTTTACTATTGTGGCCGCCAAGAAGATCGTTAAAGAACAAGGGTTACTGTCTGTACTTCGACTCTCATTTCATCAAATTACATTAATTTACCTTCACTTTAGAGATATAACACTACCGGTGTCTTTCATGCCTCCATTGGTGCCGACCGCTTAAAAATTTCTTCAGTTTACGATCTTTTAAAACACGTAACGTAGAGCCTTTTCTGATAAAATAGAAGGCCATAAAATAAAAACCAAAAAAGGGTATTTTTACGGATCGATTTAGCTTCATTTGGGCTCGCAGATTCCCCGTACGACGCTAAAAAATGGATACTTTCCACCGCTCTTCTTGTCGAGAAAGTCTCCCATGTTTACTACGTCTATTACAGCTTAGTAACCAAGCTTTTACCGCTGCTTTAAAAAACATGCTGGCTCAGTAAAGCGTCAATTTTGCGCCAAATTTCAAATAACAAACCTTGTACCAATGTAAGTTCCAGTCTTATGTTTTGTTTGATTTCGAGAAGAAAGCCCTAGAGTTTCAGCTTAACCTCACAAAATCTCCTCTGTCTTACATAAAACAGCAACAAGTATATGATTATGATATAGCTCAGGTTATATACACTCTTACCCCATTCTTATGGAATGGCATAAGCTTAGCTCTGACAAGAAAGGCCTAAAGAAGTTCTTGCCAGCAAAACTTGAAGAGATAGATGTCCTCTTCCCAGAAACTAAAGAAACTGTAATAAAACTCTGGAAAGATTTTTATGCATTTTACAATTTAATCAATTCTGATTCTACTACTAATGACTTCTACCTTGATATTTTTCAGAATTCTTAAGACTTTGTACACTTGTTCTGTTCAATCAGTGGTTTCAGAATAGGCTATGCAAAGAAAAGAGTTACTCACTACATGCATGCACTAGTATATCATGTTCCAATGTTTATCAAAATTTTAAATAACTTCAGACAGTTCACTGGACAAGGCACTGAAAAAAACAATGATGATGCTAAGAAGATATATCTTCAAAATTCAGATAAGTGGGATGCTGTTTGGGATGTTCCTCTTCTGGAACACAGGCAAGAGGCCCTAAAGCACCGCAATAGATAGAAAAGGACATACAACATAAGAAATGCAGTTTACTGGGAAGATGGCATCAATGAAACATGGAAAAAGTAAATAAGAGCATGCTTGAGAGAACTCCTAGCAAACCATAAAGAAGCTGAAGTACCAGAAAGCAATTTAATTGAGGAGGAATACGACAGAATGACTGTCAATTGGATAAGACAGGAAATAAAAACTAAACATTTTACAGCACCTGGGATTGCAAGGATGAAAAAGTGTGTAATATGTAAATTATTTTCATCTGTATTTTAATATGTAAATAACTTTCATCTGTAGTTTAATATGTAAATAATTTCATCTGTAGTTTAATATGTAAATAATTTTCATCTGTATTTTAATATGTAAATAACTTTCATCTGTAGTTTAATATGTAAATAATTTTCATCTGTATTTCAATTCCTTGAAAAGAATACTTAAACTTCTACCTGTTTGCTTGTACATGTATACATACATATATATATATATATATATATATATATATATATATATTTTCAAAAATAATTATTACCGTCAGAAAATGGATTGTATTCATACATGACAGATTATTATGTTCGCCTACCCTAAAGAAAATTAAATTTTTGTGGAATTTCATGCTATTCTGTTGAAATATAACACAACTTTCTCAACTGGAAAATTTGGCACTAATTTGATTTGACCACTACATGAGATGAATCGCTTTTTTGAATAAGTAGGAGAAGTTTTAAGCTTAAAAGGAAAGTCAACTGCTATTCCTTCTCCAAGTTCATTTATAATGAATAATACCACATACATGAAGGAAGCTCTAGGCGAGAAAAATCGTCTTTTTTATAGAGCATGCTAGCTCCATTGTGTGCTTTTTTTACTTTTTCCTCTAATAACATATCTAACAATATCATGATCCACTCTCAACTCAGAGGGATAATTAACTTTGATTGCATTCGACTTCAGGATAGATAGGATGCCTTCCATAAACAAAGCTGACACACTCTGTAACCTTTCCACGGAGACAGGAGGGTTGCTGTATAAGGTCCTATAGGATTGTTAATTAAAAGAACGCATCAGCTTTGTGTGGACCCAAGCTGCATGCATGGAGGATTATTTCTCGCACTTTCCGAAAACAAACTTAATCTAGTACCTGATAAGCTGCTCACTCAAATGAGCTGAAGGTTCTCATGTGCTGGTACAAAGAGTCCAATTCTTCCATTTCACGAGAAACTCAAAGTCCTGAAATTGGTAAAAAATATACTCAGTTTATTTATAAAATTGACTTCAACTATGATATTTTTCTCAACTATAACATTTTTGTATCTACTGTTCGAACATTTCATACCTCGTTCTTCGATCTTCTCCGGATAATCAGTCTCTCGACCAAATAAACTTTATATCTTCTATTATATTTTCTTCTTGTTTTAAAATGTACTTCGAAATCTACGGTGGAAAGAGTATTTCACGCCTTGTAATCGACTGGAACTCCGAGCCGTATTGAAATGAAACATGAAATCTGACCTTAAAGTGCATGCGTTCTAGTACTTGACGAAACCACTGACCGAATTCCCCGCGGGAGTAAGATTTCCCTGTTTTCAATCACTGTAAAAATCGAACTCGAGTTTTATACTTCCTTGCAACGCCTAAGACGCGTTTTCGTCGCAAAATGATAAGCGATAGACGGTAAGTATAATGTTTACCTCAGTATTCTGTATATGCAATGTTCAATGTGCAGTCTCTGTTGTAATGAACTTACATACAAAGACCTAAGTTTGGAAACTTATAGATTCACATTGATTCACTTTCTGCGAAACGTCCAAATCTATTTACCTCAAATATGCAGCCTGCGATGACACGGAATACCACAAAAGATAAATGTGTAATATCGTACAACTTGAATGTGTCTCGAAATTTAAGTATCTGCTTCATGAGTAGTCGATGCAATCGATCGGTTTTCTGCTAAATCGCGTTACACCACGTGGTTTTCCCAGAAAACTTCAATCCCTTCGACATATTTATCATGTTCCTTCATATCGCTTTGACAATTTCGATTGTAACTGCGGTTATCAGAGATTATTCGAAGTTAAATGGGTTTAAACTGTTTACCGCGATAACTCGCAAATAAAATCAACCAAAACGTTATTATAAAAAGCAATTAAAATTAGCCTTTATATCACTTGTTAGGTAAATCTTTTAACTAACATGTAGCTGAGTGGTATTTTTTCTCTTCACTATTTCAAAACGTATTGAGACGTTTGTTTCCAGGTCATATAACAGAAATCCCGAGATTTTCAAGAAATGTTTTCAAATCTTAGCCATGATGTGCATTAATCTGTGCGTACCTTGACCCACGGAAGAAAAATCAGATGCATATTCATATTTTAATTTCAAAACAAAGCAACTCTCGTGGAAACTGTCGTTCCGTTTGCGTGACAAAAATCACAAATGTGACGCATTCATTAGGGACTTTCTTCCGACTAGAAGTCTGTGATAAACAACTATCTTGTGCTGAACGCCAATCGTTCTTCAGATTTTCTCAGAACAGAGTGATTCTTAATTTTATAAAAAACAAAACAAAGCAAAAGCACAATTACCTAGGTTAGTATTCTTCAATAAAAGAATACCAAAGTGTATAATTTAGATTAATTTCAAAACTAACATTATAAGACTCAAAACTACACGGGATAGACTTTGAATCATGCCGATATTCTATTCAGCATTCTAGATATACACGCACTATTTGATTTTTACAGTTCACTATGTTCTCGGAGGAGTAAATCGGAGGAGGAGTAAAGTTATGGAATCCCCAATGAAAGGGTTCCCAAATCTCCCTAAAAATAGTGGGTTAATTTGGGGAAAGGAATTGTGTGTATAGCAAGTGTACTGAGTAAGTGTAAAATGATGAAAAACAAAAATGTTAGTTGTTGAGTAGAGCAGTACCATTAAGCAGTCCAAAAATAAAATGATTAGGTGATGAAACGGCGCTAACGTTGAGGGACCATCAGACTGCAAGGAAGCTATGTCAACCACAAGGCAGCGTCAAAATACTAATCATTAGTTGTTAAACTGTGTACAATAGCCTTGAGGGACCAAACGACTGCAAGGTAGCCACGTTAACCACAAGGCAGTACCAAAATTAATGAATGGACTTATTCTTTTTTCGATGGTTCGTCCTAAAAGTTTAAACCATGTGACAAAATCCACATTTGCTTGGTCTCCATTAATGTTCGAAAACAACACATAAGGAATAATTGTGCTGGAATAACCGTATTTCAAACTCAGAAAAGCGCTAAACTAATGAGCGAAATGGATCCAATCGAGGTCGAAGACCACATAGAATTAATGGAAATAACTCCAAGCTCAGGAAAGCTAACTGACCTACTTTTTTTAAAAATGCTTCAGAGTCTGAAGGTAACTGCAGATATATTTTCAAGCACCTTTACTCAAATATCGGAATATAATGGTTAAACCAATCAGTCACAACCATTCTTCCATCACTAAGAACTGATGTGGATATTGGCTCGGTCTATACTGCAAATCAAGTCAGTGACTGTGAAACTCGGACACGGAATATACACTTTCCCTGAAGAATCCATACATTTTATCGAAAACTTTAATGTCATTTTTTATCGGAGTAAATAAGTCGAGAAAGTTGGTCGATGCCAGTCAGAAAGCTAATTAAACAGAGCTCGTGTCCTTTACCTGACCTGTTGTAATACATATTAATATCGCCACTCAATCGAGGTAAATTAAGAACAAGAGAGATTGTACATATCCCCGGGGGGTAGGGGTACGCGCTTGTATGGTTAAAGTTTCAGGAGTATCCGTAAGAATCAAGCCCGAGTTTTATACTTCCTTGCAACGCCTAAGACGCGTTTTCGTTGCAAAATGGAAGCTACGATAAGCGATAGACGGTAAGTGTAATGTTTATCACAGTATTCTGTAAAGCAATGTTCAATGTGCAGTTTCTGAAGCAATGAACTTACATACAAAGACCCAAGTTTGAAAAATTCTGAAAAGCATGACACCGCAATTGGTTCACATTCTGCGAAATGTTCGAGTCCGTGATGACAAGGAATACCACTTAAGATAAATGTCATATCCTACAACCTGAATGTGTCACGAAATTTAAGTATCTGCTACATGAGTAGTCCATAAAGTTTTCCACTCGATCGGTTTTCTGCTAAATCGCGTGATCTACCACGTGGTTTTCCCAGAAAACTTTAATCCCTGTGACATATTGATTATGTTCCTTTATATCGCTTTGATAATTTCGATTGTATCTGCTGTTAGCGGACATCATTCGAACTTCATTGGGTCTAAACTGTTTGCCGCGACAATTCGCAAATAAAATCGACCAGAACGTTAATTTAAACAGCAACTTAAATTTGCATTTATATCACTTGATAAAAATATCTTTTATCTAACATGTAGCTGAATAGCATTTTCTCTCTTCACTATTTCAAACTGTATGGTGACGTTTGTTTCCTACACATATATCGGAAAATATTACTGTCAGAAGTCCTGAGCTTTTCAAGAAATGTTCTCAAACCTAAGCCATGATGTGCAGTAATCTACGCGTACCTTGACCCAAGGAAAGAAATTAGATGCATATTCAAATTTTAATTTCACAACAAAACAACTGAACACGTGGAAACCCTCGTTTCGGTTGCGTGACAAAAATCACAAATGACACATTTATAAAGGGACTTTCTTCCAATCGAAAAAACACTCGGCTTGTGTATTTATCATTATAAGGAAGTCTATGATAAACGAATGTCTTGTAGTAAGCGCCACTCGTGCGCCACAAGTGGTCGCTAATGAGGACGTATTTTTATAATATACGCTATATCGTTCCAACTCTTTTCTTTTGAGGCAAACGTTCACATTTAGTTTTTATGCGACTTAAAAATCAAGTCAATACTTTAATCCGACTCTTCTCTTTTTAGCAAAGTCATAATAGTCGTGGTTGTGGGCGTGACTTCACTTTTGACGACTGGTAGCAGCCTCCTTGCTATTTACTTAAAAGGAGATTTCCCCGACCAATCATCTGGGAAATCATCTGACAAATCATTTGGCGGACCCTACAAAAATAGAGCGGTTGCCACGGATACACTGCAGTGCTCCAAAATCGGAAACGACACCCTAAAAGCTAACGGTTCGGCAGTGGATTCTGCAATCGCCATCATGTTCTGTTTGGGTGTGGTCAGCATGCACTCATCAGGGATAGGAGGCGGGGGAGTGATGTTGATATATAATCAAACATCAAAGAATGCCACAGTCATCGACTTTAGAGAAACTGCCCCAGCCACAGCCGACAAGGACATGTTTAAGGGCGATAAAAATAAATCCAAAAAAGGTCAGTCAATTATGTCCGTAGTTTAAAACACTTTTTTAGTTCGTCGTTAACCTGTTATTGCTTTATTAAAACCAAGATCATGTTGATTCTTTGATTGATTTTACAAAGTTCATCGATATTTTTAGTTGTTTGGGGTATGTAATATCAATAAATGGTGATATATCAGTTTGCATGTCTTAATTTTGAATCCTCCAGTACAAATGAAATTTGCTACCTTTACAGTTCATTCATCTCACAAACACAAATTTTCGTTGCTTGGTATCCACCTCTCATATCTGTCTCGTAAACTGGCCAATCAAGTCTTATTGAAGAGCACTGTGAAGAACCTTCGCAAGATTTCCTTGTGAAATTCATCGGACCACGGCAATAAAAGTGTCTCCATAGAGATTGTCTTGAGCCACATATTTACAAGGAAGGTCTACCGTAGATATGCAAAAAGTCTTCTAGACCTTTGTACCTTTCCAAAATAGACCTTAGTTTAAGTATAATCACGATTATTCAAGTTATCTCTAGAAATTAAAAAAAAAAAAGATAAAATCACCCACCAAATCGTTTTGTCATTTAAGGTGGTCTGGCTATCGCTGTTCCCGGTGAAGTGCGCGGTATGTACGAGGCTTGGAAACGACATCACCGGTTACCGTGGAAACAACTTGTTCAACCCGCCATTGATTTGGCCAGAAATGGATTTAACGTAACTGAAGCTGTGGAAGATGCACTGAATACGACAGAAGGAATCCAAAAAGATATTGAAAACGACCCGGGATTGCGGTGAGACTAATTCAAAATCTGACTGTAATGTAAATCACACGCTCGATCGTTTATGTGGTAGTGCAGATTTAATTACAGATAACAAGTACAACTGTTAGGCGCATTGCAACGACCGTGCTTACAGGAGAGTCATCACTCATCACCCGAAGAGGAAGGAGAGTGAAAAGGATCCCTTTTTTGGGGGGGGGGGATCACATGGTTTTCAGGGTGAACAGACGGAGGATCAGCCGTCACAAACAGAGTACTGTATAAATGGAGGATTACACTCGACTGCTAACTAATTGCCAACGATGGGAACGGATCAAATCCCTCCTCCCCAATGACCGATTCCCGACTCCCTTTGGAATTAAGCTTCGGAGCAAGGACTTAAAAGGCCCGGGGTTTTATTTCTCGAAGGGAAGCCAGTTTTTATTCTTTCTGACATCTTCAATTCTTTCACTTTTAATATTTCAGTGAGCTGCTCCTTATTGATAACAATACGCTGGTTAAAAAAGGAAATTCTATAAGGAACGAAAAGTACGCAAAGACTCTGGAAAGAGTGCGTGACGATCCTGACTCCTTTTACAGTGGGGCACTTGCCAGAGACATATTGCGTGACATTAAGAAAGTAAATGGGAGCGTGACTGAAGAAGATTTAAGGAGTTATAAGCAGATTGTAAGAGAGCCATACCAGAGTAACATTCAGAATATGACAATGTACCTGACACCACCACCCACAAGTGGCGCTGTGCTGGCACTGATCTTAAACATTTTAAGAGGTAGGAGTTGTTGACAAAACGACTATTCAACTTCCTTAAAAAGAATACTCTCCTAGAGCACATGGAAAGTGTCTGCTAAGTGCTTTAAGCAATCTTCAAATCATTGACCACGTTTATGCCTTTTATCGCGACCTTAGCTTTACTGGAGCTGAATGAGAATAAAATAAATACATGTACATTAAAAAGCAGTTTTGGTCGACCCATCATCTTACAAAAACTTGTTTTAACATTTTAACTCCCAAAATCTCATTAGTATATTATCCTTACTGTCTGCCATATAGTTCTTGTAATGTTAGTTTGGAGAATTTAGTATTGGATCAACTAGAAATCCTCTAATTCACATTTTTCTTTATTCTCATCGCTTGTCTGCTTGATGTTGTATTGATATTGTAAGGAGAAACTCTGTCTTGGTCACTCATGAGAGTTAAAGGGTTAGTCAGTGTCAATCTAAGGTGAGTGATATTCGTGAAACCAGCCTCCTTTTGTGGAATGTTTCCATTGTAGGTTACAACATGACATCATCAGCTCGCGATGACAAAAACTACACAGTGGAAACGTATCATCGAATCATTGAATCTTTTAAGTTCAGTTATGCGTGGCGCAGTCTGCTTGGAGATCCCGATTTTAACTCCACGATAGAAAAAGTAGGTAACATGTAACAGGTGATACAAAATTGACATTTCCATTAATTTTTTGTCTAACTGGTTGTTTGGTTCACGCTCGTCAAACTACAACCAAAATGTTCATAAGTAACAAACCTTTTACAGTTAATGATGGAATGGTACAAAAACACCTTGCTGAAGAACCAACATGCCCTTTGGACGTCCAAAGCAGAGCTACTTTCATTCTAGTTCCCTTGTTTTGTTAATAACAATCAGCCAATGACCATGATTTTGGTTCTGTGACGATAAAATTTACCTGATCCCCCATAATGCACTGTAATATTCTTATGATCACCCCTTAATGCTGTTAATTAGCAGTCAATATAATCCCCCCTTTATACACTGCTAGCTTCGACTGACCCCCCCTCCGTCCGCCCGAAACACCATGCGATCCCCCTAAAAATCCACCACCCCCCCTATCCCCCGGCGATGAATAATTACTAGTCTCTAGGGTTAACCCTGTAACTCCTAAGATCTCATTAGAAATTCTCCTTAATGGCTGCCATACAGTTCTTGGGATTTTATTTTGGAGAATTTGGTATTGAATCAACTTATAATCTCCTAATTGATATTCTTCTCTTTTCTCATCACCTGCCTGCTTGATATTGTATTGATATTGTAAGGAGAAATTCTGTCTTGGTCACTCATGGGAGTTGAAGGGTTAATACGCTTCAGGAAAACGTCGGTGACTAAATTAAATTCGATTCACTAAGAGTCTTCTTCTTGATTCTACTCTGCATATCATTAGCAAGCGCAAGTTTTTTCGATGCGATTTTCGATCCAACCTAAGACTGAATTATCGCAAACGGAACAAGTCCAAATCATTTTGACCCTAAATCAAAAACTGCATTTAACTGTTTGACCCTAAGAATGACCCTTGAATCAAACATTAAGGTCTTAAGAATAATGGAAATGATCACCAACTAAAGAAGATTTTTATTCATAAACAAATTCTCCCTGTCAGCACTTTAGGAACTGTGTAGAGAACAGTATGGAGAATATGCATACTGATGTTAGGATGTAGAGGGTTCAAGGATCAGGTAATACGTTGCAGTTTTACTTTTATCTTCAAAGAAAGCAGAAGAAATGGTAAAACAAAAACTTGGTGATTCCCTTCGTCAAAAAATATGGGATAACAAGACTTACACAAATGTATCGTATTACGCGGATTCCTTTTCGAACGCTGATTACGGTACGACACACGTGGCTGTACTGGACCAATATGGAGACGCAGTTTCTGTGACATCCACTATCAACATGAGGTTAGTTGACCTGAAAAGTCCAGTTGGAATTACGGGTTGCACCAGTGAACCTTGAGTTCACCATAACTGAGGGCCCGGGACGGGTAGCTTCTCATGGTTCTTACTTCGACGACAAGAACCACAGGAAACAGCCGCACTCGTAGGTTTTGAAAATAGTTAGAATGTGACTATTGCTTTCGACGCAATACAACTTTGACACTTGAGTTTTTCGTTACCATAGTATAGAGGTAAGGAAAATTAAGTAGAGCCTGCTGCAGTTGTTATAAGACGATGACAACTTGTATGGTAGCTTTTGAGGAAGAAAACAAAATTTGAATTCTTGAAGAAAGAGAGGTAGCTCTGTTATACCAAACCTGAACCTTGTTTGAAACTCTTCAAGAGAAATAAATAAAAATATCTGGAATCCTTCCTCAGTGCTTGTGTGGATGCTTTCTCCACTTTGTAACGATTTCATAAACAGCCCAGAATTCTCCTTCGTCATTCTCTTCATCTCCAAGTAGGTAAACGGGTGCTTCTAGGATAGCTTTTTTTGCTTAACAAAGCAAAAACATTCGTACTCGGACTGGTGACTTTGTTTACGATCCAAGTTGCAATTTCCGCCTGCACGATTACGAGAACGGGACACAAGTGCCATTTCTCGCACGGTCAAAACGCGTTCTCGCATTCGTCATCGTTCCCTTACTTAGAGCTCTCTAAAAATCATGTCATGTCCCAACTCGAAAGATAAGGTGGCTAACACGAGGATAACCTCAGAGATCCATTTCCCAGTTACTTACCTGAATTTATTATCCAACTGTATAAGTAGTGTGCAGATAACATTCGAATCGAGTACAAATGTCACCGCTGTTTGGACAGCTGGTTATTTTGTACAGTAAAACAACTCGTCGTTTTTATTTTTGCTTGCTTTAGCGAGCTCCAAAAAATACCGCTCAGTTTCATAAAATACTCAGTGATACCACACACCAAAATGTCTGATATTAGATACACATTTTTTTCCAGTTGGAGCTTGAGACTTACAAAAGCGGTTTTGCAAAATTTTCACTTCATTGTCCTGTGCTTCTCTAACAGTAATGAAGTTGCTTTGTTTTGTTTTTTTTCATCAGGTTTGGCGCTAAATATCGATCCACTGAAACAGGCATCATTTACAACAATGAGATGGCAGATTTTGATATTCCTGGTCACGAAATAGTGGATGGTATTTCTCCATCCCCATTCAATTTTCCTGAGCCAGGCAAGCGACCGTTCTCTTCCATGTGTCCCACCATTTTAACCGATAACGACGGAAAAGTTCGGCTTGTTATCGGTGCCTCTGGCGGGAAAAGGATAACCACAGCTGTGTCACTGGTACGTCTCATCCTTTTTTTCTACGCTACTTGAATCTTAGGATTTGATTAGTATAGGTACTCCGCCCAAATTTATTCACAGAGAGAAGAGATCAAGATAGCAGAGAAACAAAAGGACAAGCACCCTGCATATCTTTATTGTGAACCGGGAAATCCAGTAATAAAGTTGTTCTATTGATATGGATTTTTCAGCCAAAGAAATGGAGGCGGCCTGAAACAGTAAATCGGTTTATGTCTGTATATGCATGATTGTAGGCGTTGACGAGTTCCTTTCACACGTAAACGGTGCCTATGTGGATTTATTCATGAACTGTATCTCTTCACCCGATGAACGTTTTACTTGAACTAAACGAACTCTCGCTCTTACTACCGCCACTTACTTCTCCAAGTAGCATTTCCTCCTTTTTCCCTTAATAAATCTCGAACCTTGGATGATTTTAGAATCAGTGTACAATACAACGGAATTACAAATACTACTGGAATAACAATCACAAACAAAAATAATTTCGTCAAGTATCGAACGTAAAAGATACAGAACACTTCGTCATTAAAACTATACTTTTGTCAGGTATCTTGACAGTGTTATTTGACAAATGTTCACACCTGAACAATAAATTTAAAACTGAGGGTAAACTTGTGATTTAAGGAAAACGATGAAGGCACTTATTGAAAAAATGTACTCACAGGTAAAAATTGCCTGACATTTCAAGTTACAAATGCCGACGGATACCGTTTCACGCAATCTCATCAAGGCTGTTGTTTATTTCTGGACGGGAGTAAACTTGCTCATAGTTGTGACAAGATCCTAACGGCTACAAAAATGTCAATGCTTTGTTCAGAAAGAAAGGGAGGATCGTTTCTAGACTCTTTACCATTACATCACAATGTACTCAATTAATAATTACGTTTATTTGCCGAACAAAGGCTCCGCTTAGTTCTGCACGGTGCATTTATTTAAGACATCGCAAACGCACGCAAGCTGACGATTACATAAAAATGTCTTCAAGGGGACAAATCAGACACAAACTAATTAAATGAACACACCTATGTTGTTTTGACGTTACACTACAATGAAACAGCTTGAACGAATTTTGCCCCAATTATATATTCGAACACATGGTTTACAGACGTTACGCTTCGAAATAATACAACTAAGCGAGCTGAATGCTTCCATGACAAACGAAAAATTTGGAAGAGTTTGTCATTAAAATAATAGATCTGGCACAGACGAAGCGAGTGCAGTTAAGCACAAATGGTATCTTACTTATAGAACTGAGCAAAACTGGAGCGTTTAAAGTCATTTCCGAAGACACTTGTGGCAATTATGGTAAAATCTCCGCCAGCCCCATCTACATTATGCATTCAGTTCTTGGATAGAGAAAACAATGACCAAAAAATACATTATTATTGGGAAAACAGATTTGTTTTACAAAAGTATGAGGCTGTGCGGAAATTTTACCGCAGTTATGTCTACAATGGCCAATAAAAAGACAAACTGAACACGTAAGGAAATTTTCATAACTAAGTACTCACTATTTTGGCCATTTGCTTCGCTGTCCATCGGCATGCTGTTGAACATCAAAACTGCATGTGTCCGCAGTAATACTGTCGCGCGGTTGTATAAGAGATCAACAGATCTGTAGTGTAACAGTTACAAACTATTCGCCTTTATTACCCAATTTTCGGTGCGTTTTCGATGTGACGAGCTGAAAGTAACACGAAAATGTGAAACGAAAATGTTTTATTTTATTGGTCCACGCAAAGAAGAACTCAGCTTCTTTTGTAAACCTGTCAGCGCGGATCAGAGCGTTAAGTTACTAATCTCCTCCCCAACAACGGATTTAAACCGGCTCTTCTTTGCTACTACTGTGCACATACAGTACTAATGCAAATATATACTTTGCATCTGCAGGTCTTAATGAACAAACTCTGGTTTGGAGATGACTTGTCTGAGGCGGTAAACGAACCTCGACTGCACACACAAATGGTGCCTGATCAGAGAGTATTTTATGAAAACAACAAGAAATATCGCATTAACAAATACGTAATAGAAGGCTTAACACAACTAGGTCACAACGTCACTGGCAGTGATTTCTTTGCTGTGGTACAGGCAATCTCTAGGGAACCTGAAGGAGTATACGCCAAGTCTGACCCGAGAAAGCATGGCGCACCCGCGGGTCAATAAAAGTGCGGTCCCGAGACACTCGCCCAACCAAAACTCGCTTGTAAACCCTATGTAGGGAAGTAACACCGTTTTTTTCCATAAATGAGCTGAAAAATGCTGTGAGGCTTAGAGCTACCGAATGATGGCGCTTCACAAGGATAGAAAATACATTTTCCTTTTCTTTTTTACAGCAGTTATCCGGCGTCGTTTGTCGAAATTAACGTTCTTCGTTGGGATTTTAAAACGATTTATGATACTTGTCAGTAAGGCTCTTTGATATCGTTGTCCGATTTGAAGTATGTTAAATGAAATAGACAGAAGCGTTGAATTCATTCGTCTTTTTCCGTTGATTTAATACTTATGTTGTTTTCATAATCATTATGTTGTACTCAGCTCAGCATGGAATTGCTTTGCTTAGGTACCACATACACGTTATGGATTAAATAGAATAAAACGAGGTCGACGTAACTTGCAGTGATTTGTTATAGATTAAATAGAATAAAACGAGGTCGACGTAACTTGCAGTGATTTGTTTGCCGTGATGGAGGCGATTTCTAGGGAACCGGGAGGAAATTTATATGCTAAGTATGACCCGAAAAGTATGGTGTGCCCGCGGGAGAAAAGGAATTTTGTCCCGAAACATTCGTTAGTTTATTTGGCTGATCTTAACTCGCTTTAAAATCCTATACTGACGAAAACGGAATTTTGTAACTGTTTTTATAACACAGTCATTGTTATAGAAAAAAGGGATGTTTAAGGGAAATGTGATTGGCCCAATTAACTGGACAACTGAACTATTTTAAGAGCGCTTGTCTGTAAAAATCAGACAAATTCTAAATTTCGCGGCAAGGACTATAACTAAACTAGACTATAACTAAAATCACTGGATACTTTTTTTTTCAGAGAAAATGCAAATAATAAAATTCCGTTAAAATCGTCATTTTTAGCAGCAAATTATTGCACACGAGGTCTTATGAGATCGAAAAAGATGATTTGAGTGTCTAAAAGACGTGATAGTGATTCGTTTTTGCACGCGAAGCCCTCAAACTCGTGCAATAATTTGCTGCTAAAAATGACGATTTCAACGGAATTTCGTTATTTGTATTTTTTTCTGAAATAAAAAGATATTTCGCTAAAAAAAGTATCCAGTGATTTTAGTTATAGCCTAGCCTATCTAACATTAAAATAAGAAAGAAATCGAATTTTCCACCCTTGCCGCGATATGTTTAATTTTTACAGACAAGCGCTCTTAAAATGCATAAGCTTCAGCAAAACAAACTTCGCATTGCTTCAAATATTAATAGCCATATCGAGAGTATTTCTAGACTCCACCAGTGTCTCCGCATAACACAGCGATTCAAGGAAGCATTTCTTCTAACAAAAATCACTGCTTGTAACCAGTAGGTAAAAAGTCAGTAATTGCTAAAGATAAATATAATATTTCTTGTTCCTCTCTGTAAAGGCGGTTACCTATCTTTTCATGTAGCTAACCACAGAATGCAAAACGCACCACGGAGAGCAGTACACTGAGTAAGGTTTGATTACAGAATGGTTCATCTTGAAATCAAACAACGTAATACAGGAGCAAAAAAAGCTCTTATAAGATTCACGCGTTCCATGTAATTTTTGAGAAGTCGGCGAAGAAAAGAGAGTCAATCGAGAGCATCTCAAAGGATCATCAGACTCGCACATGTTTCCATGTTTCCAATATACTCATGTCATTTCCACTAATATTGGCCTAATGTGGCTATCGACAGGAGCCATTACTCAACCATCGGGAAATATTAACCTTCCTACCTTGTACTCGTAGAGTGGTTCATAATCCCTTAGTGCAGCTTCGTTAACAGTACGCGTTGGAGAAGACTACAAATCTCAAGTTTCCTAAGGGAGCAGTTGTTATTTATCGTCTGACGGGGGAGGGGTAGGAGGACTTTTGGGGATCACAAGATTCTCAGGGGGGGAAGGGAGGGGAGATCAGTCGTTACTATCAGAGTATAAAGGGGGGTGAGCATAAAAAAGTGACTGCTACTAAGGGGGATCATGAGAATAACACAAAGCCTTAAGGGGGGATCGGGATAATTTCATTGAGACACAACCAGAATCCTACGACCCCCTCCCTCTCGGGGTAAATAATGAGCGTTCCTAGCGTATTCATTATTTATTACGCCATAAAAACATTTTTAACACTTTAAATCCCAGATCAAATTTGTAATTCTCCTTACTGTCAACCATACAATTCTTATGATGTTAGTTCAGAGAATTTACTATTGGATCATTGATTATCCCCAAATTGAAATTTTTCATTATTCTCATCACTTAGCTGGTTGATATTGTATTAATATTGTGAGGAGAATTTCTGCCTTGGTCACTCATGAGAGTTAAAGGGTTAAAAATGAAGAAACTGTGGCATCCTGAGCATTTTTGCGTGACATTTAGGTACAAAAAAAAAAAAACAAACGAACAAACTAAAATACAAGCTTAGAAGAGAGAGGTTGACAAAAATAAATGAGAAAGGTGCAGTTACTACGCATGCTTCAATTTACGTAACGTTCTGCTTTGCTTTTGTATTTACTCCTACACAGAAAAGAAATGTCAAGGATTACCTGCTTGAGTGAGTTATCGCACATTTTGTTACAATGGTCTTTTGTCCGTGATTGTCTTGGTTGTTAAGACGCACTTTGGTTAGCTTAGAGAGTTACATAAGAGTAGATGAACGAACCGTTCGATGAGCCAAAAAAATGGTTGGTGTGGTGAGGTGCTTCTTATGACTCTTTTAAAGAGGTGGCCTTGTGGAGTTCCTCCGAACGGTAAAGAAAACTGAAAATACACCTTAAGCTAAACGTGTTGTGGTCAGATATCGTGTTTATCAAACAGTTGATATCGTGGTTACTAAGGAAAAGCTTGACCTTTTGCTCCCGAAAATTTAAAGATATGCGAAATTTAAACGATTAAAAAAGTCTCAATTTTCACTCAGAAAAGACTCGCGGAACACTTCTACGCCGGTTAGCACTTCCTTTGAAAACAGATCTTGGGGAAGAGCTGGACGCAAAATGTTAGTTGACATATAACGGGTTGAATATTTCGAGATATTACTACAAGAGCACAAAGAAGATTCATATCGCGAAGCTAACATTTTCCTGAGAGTCGAGATCGACTTTCACAGTTCCGTTCAAGGTTCAGTTTACAACAAGAATAGCAATGGCAAGCACACAGTTTAAGTAAGCAAAGTTTTCCTTCTCTCTGTATGATGTTGATTTGCAATTGTTAGTGAGCATATGTAACGTTAGCCTAAGTTAAGGAAAGTGTTTAAGAGTTCAGTTTACCGCTCTGCACAATTATCAACATTCCATCATATACAAAGGGAAATGTGTCATATTCAACCAAAGGGCAACATGGCAAATCTTGGCTCTAGAATTCTGTTTTCCGGCTCGATCTTGGTAGAGATATAACGAATTATTTCCCAGAAATCTGAGTGCAGATCGTAGGTTGTATTTGGAAGACTGGCTATGACACGCTACTCCTAATATCTGTCAATGAACACACAAAACGTCTGATAAGACATCCGAGCCCAAGAAAACGGCACACAGTGATTTTAGGGAACAATCTCGGCTGAAATGTTTAGTGATTCCTATAAAAAAAGTAACTTTGTGAATTTATGATACGAGGTGCTACAAGTAAACACTTCAGTGTAACTTGATTTCGACAAGATCTTCGCCGCAGTTACAAATATAATCGAACGTATTATAGTGGTATGGTGACGTGGACGCACAAGATAATCAATAATACGATGCATTAGGAAGGAGTCATCGTTCTTCGCTGTGTGAGCATCGACTGAAACGAGATCTGAATAGACAGATCTGATCTGTCTATTCACGTCATTGGATAAGTTTGATTTCAATTTTGCCGGACGTAACAAAGCTAGGATCCGTTAGAAAGTCAAAAGGGTCGTTTCAAAAACATCATACTTATAGACTTTAAATTTTGAGGTAACTACTGTAAATTCTTCATCGAGTTTACCAGAAAACAAAACTTAGCCTTGCGAAATATAAACTTTGATTTACAACGGTATAACGATTGGATGTCGTGATTATTGCAAGAAAAATATAACGTTTCAATTCACGTCATCGGATAAGTTTGGTTTCAACTTTGTTGGATTTAATAATGCTGGAATTCACTATAAAGTTGAAAGTGTCGTTTCAAAAACATCACACATATGTACTTTATAGTTACTTTTAATTATTGTAAATTCTTCACTGAGTTCGCAAACAAACAAAACTTAGCCTTCCGAATTGGATCCCATTTCCCCAGGCAATTATACACTAGGGTAAGCCGGAAACTGTGTTACGGGTTACCCCATGACCTGACTGACCTACAGTTTCGTTGAAATTATTTGAGCATAGTTTAGAAAACATCGAGAAATGCTAGTAGCATAATATACTACATTTACTAACATAGTCTATCAGGGCTAAACCGGGTTGAAAAACTTCTGGAGAGTTCAACGGACAGGAAGGAAAATGTTTTACTTAGCTACTGATAAGATTTGTGTTTGGGAGGGTTACATCGGATTTTGGTTGTGAACCTGATCCTCCATTTGGCTTTGTGATATTCTTACGATTCCCCCCCCCTTCCCTCATTTGTAATTATTGTGATTGGCTGTCAATTTTCGGATCAATATCAGTATCTACGCAACTGCCCACTTACCCCTCCCCTAACTCAACAACAGTCAATTGTGTTTGTGTATAACAAGTCAGGGTTAATGTTGGGTTAGGGGAGGGGTAGGCGGGCAGTTACTCAGATACAGATATTGATCCCAATTTTCTATAGTCCCCCCTTTATTCTCTGTTGACGATGACTGATCCCCTCCCTTCCCCCGAAAATAAATCCTCTAATCTCCCTTCCCCCCCCCTCGATAGGCGGTAGATAATTACTGGTCCCTAAGGAAAGGAATCCAAAGATGGATGCAGTAACCTTCCAACAGAAATAGTTAAATTAAAGATTTTATGTTGCAACTTTAACTAGGATTGCAAGAATCTATTTATACATCATGTTTAGCTGCAAACGTAATTCTTATTCTTACCCAAATAATTTAAAAGATCCTGAACGAGTCAAAAACTAACCGGAAAGTGTTTTTTTTTAAGGTGCTGGGCAAGTGGTATAATTACAATTGTCGCAGCATTTTGTGCTATTGGTCTCGTAGTTGGGCTGGTCTGTTATTTCATGCTTCGTAGCGATAAATCATTCGGCGGACCCTATAAAAGAGAAGCCGTTGCCACGGATACACAGCAGTGTTCTGACATAGGAGAAAACATCCTAAAGGCAAACGGCTCTGCAGTGGATGCTGCCATCGCCGCCATGTTCTGTTTGGGTGTGGTCAGCATGCACTCATCAGGGATAGGAGGTGGGGGAGTGATGTTAGTGTACAATCAAACATTAAAGCAAGCCACAGTCATCGATTTCAGAGAAACTGCCCCAGCTACAGCCTACTGGAATATGTTCAAGGACAAAAAGGGAGAAGCCGAGAAAGGTCTAAACTTTTGTTTATGCATGATTTTGTTGTGAACTTATCGTTAACAATTTTTCACCGAAGTGGAAGTGAATGACTGTTTTAGCATAAACCAAACCAATACCAAAAATTAGGCTAAAATTATGACAATTCTTCTCTTCGGCTGCTTGGAGGTGAATGGTACTTGCTATTCACTTCCGAGCTAGCCAATCTGCGTGTGCGTAAAACATTGTTAACTTGCGTGCCATTTACTACTTTTTAATTATTATTTATTCTGCTTTAATAGAGTAATGGACATGTTCCCCAATTCAGAGTATCTACTAATTGATCTATGCAAACGAATTGATCAATGCAAACGTACTTTCTTTCTCTACTTCGAAGTTTTGGACTCCTTGAGAGTACTCTAAATCCCAAAAGAAAATCGGCGCGTTAAACTAAATCTATAATTACCTCGTTTGTTAAGTTTATTAATATCTGTCTAAGGAAATACCTTACTTACACAGATGGCACCAACGAATTAACAAACACTATTTTTTTATAAAACCCCAAAAAAACTCCAACTTAACAACCATTAACCTTAGGTGGTCGGTCCATCGCTGTTCCCGGCGAGGTGCGCGGTCAGTTCGAGGCTTGGAAACGACATGGTCGGTTACCATGGAAACGCCTTGTTCAACCCGCCATCGATTTGGCCAAAAATGGGTTTAAAGCATCTAAAGCACTGGATGATGCACTAAAAACGACCAAAGGAATCGAAAAAGATATCAGAAATGACTCTGGTTTAAGGTCAGAAATATTCATTATTGCTGGATGGCGAAGGCAGTTTGTGTATACGAAAACAGTGGATAGTGTTAAAGGCGCGCTCTGATTGGCCGCTCAATCTCTGAATATGATTTGTTATTCACCTCCGAGCATGTCCCCCGAAAATGTTGTAATGGTTGCAGGAATAAATAACCTTTTTGCGCTATATTATCTCACTGTTTTTGAAATAGATATGGAATTTCTCTTCGAGTATTTAACTCGATAGCTCACGAGTGAGCCCAGCGACCGAGTGAGTTGTCGAGTTATACACGAGAAGAGAAATTCCATATCTACAAGCAACCATGTAGTATTTTTTATCATATAAACACAATAGCCCCTCACTGACAAGAAAAGTCGACTTTATAAACGAATGAAAATAAAAGGATCGACAATCCCCAAATAAAAATTGTAAAGTGCGTTGGCGCTAAGGTTCAAGATGAAAAATGCGTTGAATCATTACAAAAACAACGATGGGCGTAATTTCAATGTAAAAAATTCTCATTTACTGATTTTGTCCTTACCGACAGAAGAAATCTTTTATGGACACGGCGTGGGTAATACGGATTTTTCGATGTTTTAGCAGCCATAATCCGAGAAATTTCCAAAAAAAAACCACAGATTTAGAATGGTGAAGGCTTTGCAGTTCATTCATCAACCTGACCGAGTGCCCCGAAAGACAAGTGACGTATCAGCAGCTGATTGACGATATCAAACACACGCGAAAAAAGATCGTATTTTTTCACGTGTGTTGTTACGGCTTTTCTCAGGGCTGGAAATCCTTGTATAACACCGTAGTTTATATGATAATAAACAACTTTTACCTCAGTGACGGTAGTTAGTGGCGGAAATTTACCACCACCAGCCACCTCTCCTTCGGTGAAGGAACCACAGTCTTCTATGGGAAGATTATTCTCTCAGAGCAACAGATTTTTGTTCGTATGCAGCTGGATAATGTGATAATTTACGTCATTGAATTTTCAATTTTTTCAGTGAACTGCTCCTGGTTGATAATAAAAGACTTGTTAAGAAAGGAGACGTCATTAAGAATGAAAAGTACGCAATGACCCTGGAAAGAGTGCGTGACGATCCAGAATCTTTTTACAATGGAGCACTTGCCAGTGACATTATTCGTGATTTGAAGAAAGTCAATGGGATGGTGACTGACAGTGATTTAAGAAATTACAGGCTGATCACAAGAAATCCATATCAGAGAGGACTCTCGGGCATGAAAATGTACCTGACCCCACCCCCGACAAGTGGCGCCGTGCTTGGACTCATCTTGAACATTTTGCAAGGTAGGAGTTCTCCTCAAAATGCTATTATTATTATTGTCATTATAATTGTTTTCTTACATCTCACTCGCCGTCTCAAAAACACTGTGATAAATATAGCACATGTAGCACATATAGCTCCCCTTCCTTGTGCACACACTCTTCTTCACATTAAAAAAAAAAAAAAATGACCAGCCCTTAATTATCGCCTTGGAAGGGAGGGGGGGTGTGGAGAATTTTTATTGCGTCACGTTAAAATTTACCGGATCCCCGGTAACATTATTATGATCACCACCGGTCTCCCCCTTTAAAGATCTGGCTTATGTCAAGAGAGAGGAAATCGTGTTTCTAGTTGGAGCAGGTTATGTTTGAATTCACTGACAAAGTCATTTTCACCGTTTACACCCTCATATCAGTATGCATATTCTCCATACTGTTCTCTGTACGTTTCCTCAGGTGCTGACAAGGAGAATTTGGTTAGCAATGTAAAACTTCTTTGGTTGGTGATCATTTCATTTATTCTCATGACCTTCATGTTTGATTCAGGGCTGATATTGTTAAGAGAAATTAGATGCTAGTCACTCTAAGGAATTAAAGGGTTAATTAGACGAAACCGGTGGGAAATACGAAAAAAAAAAAACGAGTCTTCAACATTGTTTGCTGCATGCTACTCACAAAGCCCTGTTTAAGAAGTACCATTTTTTTTCCTCTTTTTTTTAATGTAGGGTACAATATGACGTCGTCAGCCTTTAAAGACAAGAAATCCTCTGTGCTTACGTATCACCGAATCATTGAAGCCTTTAAGTTCAGTTATGCATGGCGCAGTCTGCTTGGAGATCCATATTTCAATTCAGACATCATGGTAGGTGGAAATAATTCAGTGATACACACAGGACGAAATTGTGATACACACAGGACGAACAAGAATCCGTAAACGGAAACGTGGCAGAAACATGTTAAACCGTTCCGGAAACACGACGGATAACCTGTGTTTCCGTTACCGGTTTCGTGACGTTTTCTCGCGTTTCCGTTGCTGCGTATACAACGGAACCGGACCACTTTTACGTAAACATAACGGAAACATGGAGTTGCATGTTTCCGCCACGTTTCAGAAATACGGAAACATGTGATTTCGTCCTGTGCCAAATGCCAGCTCTGTAACATTTTCCGTACGGATATAATATCAGAGGGTTTTCCGGTCGGCCCTTAGAGATTATGCTTGCATAATTTTTGGCACAATTAATTTGGAAAAAAGAGCATAATTTTTCCTTTATTGTAAAAGTAGCACTGTTAGCATAATCAGCATATTTCCAGTATTTTTTGAAGAGAACATCACCAGATGCATCAATGGATTTTTCTCTTCGATTAATTATTTTCAAGTTCGGCCCATGGTTTCGTCTATTTTCAATTTTGCAATGTTTTCGGGGAAGAAAGCAATCGCAGTACCTGGTCATTGGTCGTCTAAAGGACTGGACACACCGAAAGTAAGGAATGCGTCTGTCCCAGTTTCCGCTCTTTCACAGGCAACAAAATGGCGTCGAAGAGAAACGCGACGCTAACATCATACATTTTGACACATGTCACCGTTTGAAGTCTTGAATTAAGTGCAGTAGTTAAATGTGCCTACATTTGTGTAACTCAAAATAAAGATTAAAGAGGGTAAGTTCTGAAAGAAACTGCGGTGCTTTGATAATGTGAATTGGCCACCGTAGCTTTAGAAACTCTTTACGGTAGCCGGTTTACATTATCAGCTTAGTTGATAAAACCAAATTATTCAAATGAAGAAGTATCGACGATTCGTGCTTAAATAAAAAGAAATTTTCAATTTGGACTTGTTTTGTTTTTCTGTTGTGAAAAGGGTACTTTTAAAAAAAGTAGCATAACTTTCAAAAACGAGTATATAGACTGCTCTGTTCTGTTGTAAAGCACGCAGGAAGCGGCTAGAGCACGAAAGAAGTGTAGGGAGAAACACGAAACGTAATGGAGTGTTTCTACCCACTTCTTGAGATACGAAACAATATATATACTACACGAGTGTTGGCTGTGCTTGATTTTTATTACCGTATGTAAGCTTGCAATCTTACTGAGTGTAAAAACCTTTCAAACTCGGACTGTCCATTTCATTTTCTCTTTGAGGATTTTCGTCTCAGCTCACCTTATAATAACGTCGATTACGGCGCCTGGCATGTTTACATACCTTTATTTGGTATATAAAAAAAAGAATTTGGTATATAAAATAGAGAAAAGTCCTGGAAAAGGTTAGACAGTACAATTTGGCAGATGGCGTGACAGCTTCAGCTGAGCTCTATGCTCTATACTCTCATGGAGCACGCTCTTTCAACCAATGATAGTGTGCGTTACATCCGAACTTTATTATAATAGTACAATATGCTACTTTTACTGGCACAGTATTAAAGGGCCTACTCTCTGGTTGATTTTTGTCAGCCCTTTGCTGTTAGCGATCACACGAGATAGTAATCTCTTCATTGAAGTCCGAATTGCGTACTCAGACACTCAAAAAAAGCCAACTTCAAATTGAAAAAAAATAATTTAAATTTGCCCATTTTGTTGCGATATGGCGCATTTTACCTTCCAGCAAGATAAGTGAACGCTATTTTAAAACGAGCCGTTAAAAGGGCAAATGTAAAAACAAGAATTAAAAAGAGCAAAGGGTAACTCTGTGTAACGTATGTGGCCGACCCCATGCGGGAAAACGAGGGTGACCAAACCTGATTACATTTTGTCCGGGGACGATGAGGTCCTCCCCTGATTAAGCTTTGCATCTAGTTGGACGAGCAAGTGGGGGCAACTTTCAAAGACAACTGGCAGCAATTGCGGATTATCTTATTCAAAATTCGCACAACAAAGTTCAGTCAGAATCACCAGAACATTAGTTGAATATTGTGCAAATTTGGTGATATTTCAGAGTAGAGCATCACAGATGTTGGAGGCAAAAACAGGTAATCGCCTACGCAACAAAATATGGGATGACAAGACCCACAAAGATGTAAGCTATTACGCGGACTTCTTTTCGAACGCTGATTACGGTACTACCCACGTGGCTGTTCTGGCCCCAGATGGAGACGCAGTTTCCGTGACATCTACTATCAACATGAGGTGAGTTTAGAACTAATCGATTTTGGATGAACGGCTTAAACCTGAGCCTGCTTAGCTGGTAGTTTTGTGTTCGCTTTGAAGTGTTGAGGGTAAAGGAATACAGAAACGAGCAGGGAAGCCACGAGGGACCTAGGATAAAAATTATGGGGGAGCTACTCAAACTTCCGCAGCTCGTTTGCCACAGTTATTTTCATCAAGTGCCCAAAAAATACGACAACTGCGAGCTGCAGATGAACCTATTGACTTTGATACTATCGTTGTTAAAGAGGGCAATGGCATCTTCTTCTCGAAATGCTCTCTTCGGGAACAATGACACACAGCCGTATTTCAAGGTCAGAATAAAGGCTACAACTTGACTATCACTTCTCACCTATTACATCCTTGTCGCTTGAATCTTTCATTACTGTTTTCGAAAGAGCGCTTGTTCAGTGGGCTCAGAATCTGGCCTCAAAAAAGGAAAAGGGCGGATTCTTTTCTTTTTGTCAAACGCTCGACTTTTTTTAAAAAAATGAAGCCTCACGATAAACTTTTCGCACAATGTTATGAAAGCAATAAATTTGACACAGGATACTAACTTAACCCCATATTTTTATCGCAATGAGGCAGCTCAAATGTTCGTGAAGTATGGACCCAGAAAAAAAGAGAGGAAACTGACAAAACTTACCACTAGCTGCATTGCATTCTAGTGATACCGTGAACTGTTTTTGTGTTTAATAATAGGTTCGGTGCTAAATACCGATCCACTACCACAGGCATCATTTACAACAATGAGATGGCAGATTTTGATATTCCTGGTTACGAGGTAGTGGGTGATATTTCTCCTTCACCATTCAATTTTCCTGAGCCAGGCAAGCGACCGTTCTCTTCCATGTGTCCCACCATTTTAACCGATAACAACGGAAAAGTTCAGCTTGTTATTGGTGCTTCTGGCGGGAAAAGGATAACCACAGCTGTATCACTGGTACGTCCAATCGTTTCATTCAAAATTCCTTGACTCTTAAGATTTTATAGCTAAGCTGATAAGCATTCTGTGGGCTATATATTAAACCCCATTAAGGGCGTAATCAGGATGTTTCAATGGGGGTTCACACTGTATCAAACGGAGGGTACTTACCAGTTTCCACCGACTGAACATTGTGGGTTGTTTGCTTAAATCAAGGCTTAAAAAGGGTAGAAGGGTCACGGGCACCACACGACCCCCCCCCCCCCTCACCACTCTAGCTACGCCCTTGCCCGTGCTCAACACTTTGCTCAGAGAGCTATTGAGAGTTTAGAAACAAACTCTTTTTTCAGTGGGTCGAAGTCTGTAGTCAACTAATCCGTCCCTCCATCTCCAGGGCGGATTCACACCGCCTCTGTGGTAAATATTGAAAGCAAGGAAGCTTATAATTATTTTTGCACCTGCAGGTCTTAATGAACAAACTCTGGTTTGGAGATGACTTGTCTAAGGCGGTAAACAAACCTCGATTGCACACACAAATGGTGCCTGATCAGAGAGTATTTTATGAAAACAATAAGGACTATCGCATTGACAAGTACGTAATAGAAGGCTTAGCACAACGAGGTCACAACATCACTGGCTGTGATTTGTTTGCTGTGGTGCAGGCGATTTCCTGGGAACCTGAAGGAATATACGCCAAGTCTGATCCGAGAAAGCATGGTGTACCCGCGGGTCAATAGAAGTGCGGAATGTGATTGGCCCAATTAACTGGATAACTTAACTACTTAACAAATAGATTCCAAGTTGCCGTGCGTCTGTTCAGTAATAGATCACAGATGACGTGAAAATGTGGTAAGAACAAAAAAGTGGCACACGAGGCACAACCGAGTGTGTCACTAATGTTCTTACCACATTTTGACGTCCTCTGTGATCTATTACTGAACAGACGCACGGCAACTTGGAATCTATTTGTTTTATATAATAAAGAATTTTAAAAAGTTTTAATGATGACGTCATCTATACGTCTGTCTTCCAATAGATCATAACTGAGAACCAATCAGAATGCATGCATAACTGAGCTTATTATATAATTTAAAATGGATAAGTGTTAGCAAAATAAACTTCGCATTGCTTCGAATATTAATAGCCATATCGAGATTATTTTTAGACTCCACCAGTGTCGCTGCATAACACAGTGATTCAAGGAAGGATTTTAACAACATCACTGCTTGTAGCTGGTGGGTAAAAACTCAGTAATTTCTGAAGGTAAATATAGTATTTCTTGTTCCTCTCTGTAAGGGCGGTTACCTACCTACTTCATTCTACCTACTTCAGAATGCAAAGCACACCATGGAAAGCAGTACACTGAGTAAGGTTTGATTACAGAATAGTTCATCTTCAAACAATATAATACAGGAGCAAAAAGACTCTTTAAGATTCACACGTTCCATGCAATTTTTGAGAAGTTCGCATAGAAGAGAGTCAATTGAGAGCATCTCAAAGAATCATCACATTCCACACCTGTTTCCATGTTTCCAATATACTCATGCCATTTCCACTAATATTGGCCTAAACTGGCTATCGGCAGGAGCCCATTACTAGCTGCTATCGGGAAATATTAACCTTTTTACCGTGTACTCGAAGAGGGGTCTATAATCCCTTAGTGCAGCTTCGTTAACAGTGCGCGTTGAAGAAGACTACAAATCTTAAGTTTCCTATGGAAGCAGTTGTTATTAAATACCTGGCGGGGGAGAGGTAGGAGGACTTTGGGGGATCACATGGTTCTCAGGGGAGAAGGGAAGGGAGATCAGTCGTTGCTGGCAGAGTATAAAGGGGGTGTGAGCATAAAAAAGTGACTGCTATTAAGGGGATCATGAGAATAACACAAAGCCTAAAGTAGGGTTCGGGGAAATTTCATTGAGACACAACCATAATCCTACGATCCCCTCCCGTCTGAGGATAAATAATTAGCGTTCCTAGCGTATTCGGTTTTACAAAAGATCTGCGAGAAAAAAATATGCTCGTATAAAAGACAAACACTTAACTACGAACTTTAAAAAAAAAGATTTCTAAAATGGAAACAAAAGGTAAGAGCAGTCTTATTTGTCTTGCAGTGTCACACCTGATCGGTCAAAGTCTTGTTGTTGTCAAGGAATGCCTAGTTCGCTTGCCCACCACAGCCTTGTTGCTTTGAGGAAATTTATCACGTGACCAATTGCTGCAGAAGGCCTGTTACGCCATTAAAACATTTTTAACACTGAAGAAACTGTGGCATCCTAAACATTTTTGCGTGACATGTATGTACCCAAAAAAAGATATGCGAAATTTAAACGCTTAGAAAAGTCTCAATTTTCCTTCAGAAAACACTCGCAGAAGACGTGTACGTTAGCGCTCCCTTTGAAATAAGATTTTGGGAAGTACTGGGCGCAAAATGGTAATTGACACATCGTAACGGATCGAATTTTTCGAGATATTACTACAAGAGCACAAAAAAAGATTCACACTGCGAAGCTAACGTTTTCCTGAGATGTCGAGTTCGAAGATAACGGTTGAGGTAGCCATAACTGTGAGAGCCAAAGATGGAAAGTGCACACAGTTTAAGTAAGCAAAGTTTTCCTGTCTCTGTATAATGTTGATTTGCAGTTGTTAGTGAACATATGCAACGTTAGCCTAAGTTAAGGAAAGTGTTTAAGAGTCAGTTTACCGCTCTACACAATCATCAACATTCCGTCATATACACAGGGAAATATGTCATATTCTGAACAAAAGCGCTACTCTGAAAATATTCGCGTCGCGGTATTCTGTTTTCCGTTCGATCTTGGTTGAGATATAACAAATTATTTCTCGGAAATCTGAGTGCAGATCGTAGGTTGTATTTGGAAGACTGGCTATAACACGCCACTCCAAATATCTTCCAATGAACACACAAAACGTCTCATAAGACATCCGAGTGATTTTAAGGAACAATCTCGGCTGAAATGTTTAGTGGTTCCTATAATAACAGCAACTTTGTGGACTCATAATACGAGGTACCACAAGCAAACATTTCAGTGAAACTTAATTTCGACAAGATCTTCACCGCAGTTGCAAATATAATTGAACGTATTAAAGTGAAGTGGTGAAGTGGACACACAAGATAATCAATAAGGCAGGAGTCATCATTCTTCGCTGTGTGAGCATTGACTGGAACGAGATCTGATGTTGAGTTAAAAAGGCACGATTTTAAAGGCATGAATTCTAGAGTTGTAGCATGAAATATGAACTTTGATTTCAGACGGTATAACGATTAGATGTCGTGATTACTGCAGAAAAATACGTTTCAATTCGCGTCATCCGATAAGTTTGATTTCAATTTTGCCGGATCCGAACAGTACTGGAATCCGCTGGAAAGTCGAAAGGGTCGTTTAAAAAAATCACACATATAGACCCGAAAGTTTCTTGTGATTATTGTAAATTCTTTATCGAATTTTCTAGAAAACAAAATTGGATCCCATTTCCAAAGGCAACTATATACTAGGGTAAGCCGGAAACTGTGTTAGGTTACCCCTTGACCTGACTGACCTACAGTTTCGTTGAAATTATTTCAGCACAGTTTGGAAAACATCGAGAAATGCTAACAGCATAATATACTGCATTTACTAACTTAGTCTATAAGGGCCTAAAACCGGGTGAAGAACTTATGGAGAGTTCAACAGACCGGAAGGAAAATTGTTCGCACTAGCGACAAAATTGTTTATTTAAACAAATTTTCTGTCATCACCAACACTTTACAAGTGCGGACGGTTTGTCGCGACTTAACAATTTTTTGCCGAAGCGGACATTTTTTCAAACGCACCGCCGACAAAATTTGTACCGGGTAAAAGCTTGGAAAAAGCTACTAAATAAACAAAACTGTGGTAAACTTGTTTATCATTTGTCGTAAACGCTACAGTTAGTGTACATGTGGTACCTGAACTGGGTTCAGTTTACTAAAAGATTGCGGTAATTGTCCTTCGTTGCGAAACTCGCAGAATTTACAACTTTAACTTATGATGAATACCGGTAATTGGAGTTTTAATCCATTGGCAAATCATAACGACCAGTCGTATGAGCAGATCAGGCGCTGAAATGTGCCACCCTATGAAGACCAACAAGGAAACAATTCTCATTCAAACGGGCCAACCTACAACGGGTGGAGCAATTTTCCAGTCGCCACTTAGTCAAACTAAAAATGAAGCCGCAGATGTGGCCGCAGAAGATCCTCCACAACTTCTTGCACTGCTCCTAGAACACTCGATCTTCCAACATTGAAATTCGGCCTAATGCTCTCATAAGAGTTCTCGTGCGCCAGACGATACAAACCAAGTGCAAGTACTTTTTCTGGGGCAATGCAGTCACGCAATTTTGTGTTTTCGTGGGTTACAGCAGGTCGCAAAACATTCAACAGAACATCGAAGGTACAACGATCTATTCGCAGTTGCCTTCTGAAAAACGCCTCAGGAATTGTTCGGTCATTGTAGTGGATCTCGAACCATGACCGGTTTGGTCTTGAAAGTTTCCAAAGGTACGGGCTGTGTCGACGTGCCCGTCGTCTCCGTCTTCTACGGTGTTCAACCATGAAAAGAGTTGCTTGGTGTCTAGGAAATTGATGCCTTAATACTAGGCTCATTATAAGCATCATTTCGTCTGCCATCTGAGCAAAATTTAAAAGCAAGAAACACGCCACAAGTTGAAGCATTTGAACATGTTTCATTATCCCGCCAAAGCGTTTGATGTTTGGGCGCGCGCAGCTAAATTGAAACATAGGCATGCTATGCATGCAAAAGTAATTTTTTGGGGTGGGTGGATTACTTCAAACATTGCAAGTGATGTCTACATTTTTACTAAAGGAAAAAAGAGCATTAATGCGGAAAAGAACGAAAATGTTGAATTAACTCACAGATATTTTGTGGTAGATTGTGTGTGATGTGCGAATAACTGTAACCAAAAATAAACTGTATTAGTGCCACAGATACCTGTTAGCACAAAATGCAGACTGCAGACTGCAGACCGGATACAAAATGTAGACTTGGTACAAAATGCAGACAGAGAATCTAAAGAGATTTTTCGTGTGATATGTGATAACATGTCATCTTACAACTTACCGACCGTCACGCAATCGCTTTTCCGCGATCAGCTTTCACGACTATTTGCACTATCGTGGAATATTCCTGACCCATTTCGTGATCAAAATCGATCTTAATGTAATTTCAAGCCTTTACATAGTCTTCTCACTTTACGCGCGAGTTGGTTGGTGTGATGTCTGTACAGATTTTACCAACGTTATAATAGATGTTTATGTAAATGAGATGTCACCATTGAACATTTAACACGCGCAACACTCGAGAAACAATTGACAGCTTTGCACGTGGTCCGTATTATCATCTTTTGAAGCGGTATGTGTCTATGTTGTCGACAAAAATGTGGATCGAGACTAAAATTGTTCCTTCGACTTGATACAATAGAGAGTAAGGGGGGTCAGGTAAATGTTATCTTGACACAACAAATTCCTCCAACCACTCAGGCGATAAATAATGGCTGCTCCTTTATTTCAAAAATAAAGTTGCCTTCCTTGTAAACTTCCTCCGTCGTTTTTCCTCATTCCTCAAACTGGTCAATCTTTCCTCGCCTTGGATCTGAACTTTAATCCGGCCAAGTGGAGACTATACATCCTTTTTTGGCTGTTTATGAGAATTAGAAGTGATGTAGAGACAATGTACCCAATATGAAAGTTCTCTTTTCCTCAGTTTTGTCGATAATGCATAATTCTCTCTCTCTTGGAAGGGATTCAATAACAGACCGATCGACGTCATTATTTATCGCCTGAAGGGGGAGAAAGTAGGGGGTTGAGGATTTTAGTTATGTACCTGATCCTCCATATGGCTCTGTGATATTCTTACGATTCCCCCCTCCCCTTATTTGTAGGTATTGTGATTGGCGGTCGATGTTCTATATTCCTCCCCTTTATTCTCCGTTGACGACGACTGACCCCCTCCCTCCCCCCTGAAAACCATGTCTTCCCTCGCAATAATCCTCTAATCTCCCTCCTCCTGCTCCCCACCACCCCCCCCCCCCCCTCCCACAGGCGCTAGATAATTACTGGTTCCTAAGGAAAAGAATCTAAAAATGGACTCAGTAACCTGCCAACAGAAATAGTTAAATTAAAGATTTTATGTTGCTAATTTGGCCAGGGTTGCAGGGATCGATCCATTTCTACATCATCTTTAGCTGCCAACGTAATTTTTTTTTTCTTACTGAGATAATTTAAAAGATCCTGAACAAGTCAAAAACGATCATATAACTAATCTTCATGTGTTTTTTAAGGAACTGGGCATCCAGTGAGAGTGGTAAAAAAAAAATTGGCGGCTACCTAGCAGCATTCTGTGTAGTAGGTGTCGTAGTTTGGCTGGTCTGTCATTTCGTATTTTCTAGCGATGAATCATTTGGCGGACCTTATAAAAGAGAAACCATTGCCACGGATACACAGCAGTGTTCCGAAATTGGAAAAGACATCCTAAACGTTAACGGTTCTGCAGTGGATGCTGCCATCGCCGCCATGTTCTGTTTGGGTGTGGTCAGCATGCACTCATCCGGGATAGGAGGTGGGGGAGTGATGTTAGTGTACGATCAACCAATAAAGAAAGCGACAGTCATCGATTTCAGAGAAACTGCCCCAGCTACAGCCGACCGGGATATGTTCAAGGGTAAAGAGGAAGAAGCCAAGAAAGGTCTGTACTTTTGTTTATGCATGATTCTTTTGTGAACCAATCGTTAACAATTTTTCGCCGAAGTGGAGGTGAATTACTGTTTTAGTATAAACCAAACCAATACCAAAAATTAGGCTACCTTTACCTGTTGACCCGACAATTTGTCTCTTCGGCTGCTCGGAGGTGAATGGTACTTGCTATTCACTTCCGAGCTAGCCAATCTGCGTGTGCGTAAAACATTGTTAACTTGCGTGCCATTTACTACTTTTTAATTATTATTTATTCTGCTTTAATAGAGTAATGGACATGTTCCCCAATTCAGTGTATCTATTAATTGATCAATGCAAACGTACTCTCTTTCTCTACTTCGAAGTTTTGGACTCCTTCAGAGTACTTTAAATCCCGAAAGAAAATAGGCGCGTTAGACTAAATCTATAATTACCTCGTTTGTTAAGTTTATTAATATCTGCCTAAGGAAATACCTTACCTACACAGATGGCACCAACGAATTAACGAACAATATTTGTTTAAAAAACCCACAAAAACGACAACTTAACAACCTTTAACTTTAGGTGGTCGGTCCATCGCTGTTCCCGGCGAGGTGCGCGGTCAGTTCGAGGCCTGGAAACGACATGGTCGGTTAGAATGGAAACGCCTTGTTCAACCCGCTATCGACTTGGCCAAAAATGGGTTTAAAGCATCTAAAGCACTGGATGATGCACTAAAAACGACCAAAGGAATCGAGGAAGATATCAGAAATGACCCTGGTTTAAGGTCAGAAATATTCATTATTGCTGTGTGGCGAAGGCAGTCTGTGTATACGAAAACAGTAGATAGTGTTAAAGGCGCGCTCTGATTGGCTGCTCAATCTCTGAATATGATTTGTTATTCACCTCCGAGCATGTCCCCCGAAAATGTTGTAATGGTTGCAGGAATAAATAACCTTTTTGCGCTATATTATCTCACTGTTTTCGTATATAATAAATAGAGAATAATACATGGGTGCGCGTAGATATGGAATTTCTCTTCGAGTATTTAACTCGATAGCTCACGAGTGAGTTGTCGAGTTAAACACGAGAAGAGAAATTCCACAAGCATCTACAAGCAACCATGTAGTATTTTTTATCATATAAACACAACAGCCCTTCACTGACAAGAAAAGTCAACTTTATAAACGAATGAAAATAAAAGGATCGACAATCCCCAAATAAAAATTGTAAAGTGCGTTGGCGCTAAGGTTCAAGATGAAAAATGCGTTGAATCATTACAAAAACAACGATGGGCGTAATTTCAATGTAAAAAATTCTCATTTACTGATTTTGTCCTTACCGACAGAAGAAATCTTTTATGGACACGGCGTGGGTAATACGGATTTTTCGATGTTTTAGCAGCCATAATCCGAGAAATTTCCGAAAAAAAACCACAGATTTAGAATGGTGAAGGCTTTGCTGTTCATTCATCAACCTGACCGAGTGCCCCGAAAGACAAGTGACGTATCAGCAGCTGATTGACGATATCTTACACACTTGAAAAAAGATCGTATTTTTTCACGTGTGTTGTTACGGCTTTTCTCAGGGCTGGAAATCCTTGTATAACACCGTAGTTTATATGATAATAAACAACTTTTACCTCAGTGACGGTGGTTAGTGGCGGAAATTTACCACCACCAGCCACCTCTCCTTCGGTGAAGGAACCACAGTCTTCTATGGGAAGATTATTCTCTCAGAGCGACAGAGTTTTGTTCGTATGCAGCTGGATAATGTGATAATTTACGTCATTGAATTTTCAATTTTTTCAGTGAACTGCTCCTGGTTGATAATAAAAGGCTTGTTAAGAAAGGAGACGTCATTAAGAATGAAAAGTACGCAATGACCCTGGAAAGAGTGCGTGACGATCCAGAATCTTTTTACAATGGAGCACTTGCCAGTGACATTATTCGTGATTTGAAGAAAGTCAATGGGATGGTGACTGACAGTGATTTAAGAGATTACAGGCCGATCACGAGAGATCCATATCAGAGAGGACTCTCGGGCATGAAAATGTACCTGACCCCACCCCCGACAAGTGGCGCCGTGCTTGGACTCATCTTGAACATTTTGCAAGGTAGGAGTTCTCCTCAAAATGCTATTATTATTATTGTCATTATAATTGTTTTCTTACATCTCACTCTCCGTCTCAAAAACACTGTGATAAATATAGCACATGTAGCACATATAGCTCCCCTTCCTTGTGCACACACTCTTCTTCACGTTCAAAAAAAAAAAAAAAAAAAAGAGTGACCAGTCCTTAATTATCGCCTTGGAAGGGAGGGGGGGGTGTGGAGAATTTTTATTGCGTCACGTTAAAATTTACCGGATCCCCGGTAACATTATTATGATCACCACCGGTCTCCCCCTTTAAAGATCTGGCTTATGTCAAGAGAGAGGAAATTGTGTTTCTAGTTGGAGCAGGATATGTTTGAATTCACTGACAAAGTCATTTTCACCGTTTACACCCTCATATCAGTATGCATATTCTCCATACTGTTCTCTGTACGTTTCCTAAGGTGCTGACAAGGAGAATTTGGTTAGCAATTTAAAACTTCTTTGGTTGGTGATCATTTCATTTATTCTCGTGACCTTCATGTTTGATTCAGGGCTGATATTGTTAAGAGAAATTAGATGCTAGTCACTCTAAGGAATTAAAGGGTTAATTAGACGAAACCGGTGGGAAATACGAAAAAAAAACGAGTCTTCAACATTGTTTGCTGCATGCTACTCACCAAGCCCTGTTTAAGAAGTACCATTTTTTTCCTCTTTTTTTTAATGTAGGGTACAATATGACGTCGTCAGCCTTTAAAGACAAGAAATCGTCTGTGCTTACGTATCACCGAATCATTGAAGCCTTTAAGTTCAGTTATGCATGGCGCAGTCTGCTTGGAGATCCATATTTCTATTCAGACATCATGGTAGGTGGAAATAATTCTGTGATACAAAATGCCAGCTCTATAACATTTTCCGTACGGATATAATATCGGAGGGTTTTCCGGTCTGCGCTTAGAGATTGTGCTTGCATAATTTTTGGCACAATTAATTTGGAAAAAAGAGCATAATTTTTCCTTTATTGTAAAAGTAGCACTGCTAGCATAATCAGCATATTTCCAGCATTTTTTGAAGAGAAGATCACCAGATACATCACTGGATTGTTCTCTTCGATTGATTATTTTCAAGTTCGGCCTATGGTTTCGTCTATTTTCAATTTTGCAATGTTTTCGGAGAAGAAAGCAATCGCAGTACCTGGTCATTGGTCGTCTAGAGGACTGGACACACCGGAAGAAAAGAATGCGTCTGTCCCAGATTCCGCTTTCACAGGCAATATGTAAGCTTGTAATCTTACTGAGTGTGAATACCTTCCAAACTCGGACTGTCCATTTCATTTTCTCTTTGAGGATTTTCGTCTCAGCTCACCTTATAATAACGTCGATTACGGCGCCTGGCATGTTTACATACCTTTATTTGGTTCCTCTGTTGCCATTAGCCGACTCGCCTGTTCCGAAATTTCACTTTCAATTTAAGAAAAAAAATAGAGAAAAGTCCTGGAAAAGGTTAGACAGTACAATTTGGCAGATGGCGTGACAGCTTTAGCTGAGCTCTATGCTCTATACTCTCATGGAGCACGCTCTTTCAACCAATGATAGCGTGCGTTATATCCGAACTTTATTATAATAGTACAATATGCTACTTTTACTGGCACAGTATTTAAGGGTATACTCTCTGGTTGATTTTTGTCAGCCCTTTGCTGTTAGCGATCACACGAGATAGTAATCTCTTCATTGAAGTCCGAATTGCGTACTCAGACACTCAAAAAAAGCCAACTTCAAATTGAAAAAAAATAATTTAAATTTGCCCGTTTTGTTGCGATATGGCGCATTTTACCTTCCAGCAAGATAAGTGAACGCTATTTTAAAACGAGCCGTTGAAAGGGCAAATGTAAAAACAGGAATTAAAAAGAGCAAAGGATAATTCTGTGTTAACGAATGTGGCCGACCCCATGCGGGAAAACGAGGGTGACCAAACCTGATTACATTTTTTCCGGAGACGATGAGGTTCTCCCTTGATTAAGCTTTGCATCTAGTTGGTCGAGCAAGTGGGGGCAACTTTCAAAGACAACTGGCAACAATTGTTATGCAAATTTGGTGATATTTCAGAGAAGAGCATCACAGATGTTGGAGCCAAAAATAGGCAATCGCCTACGTAACAAAATATGGGATGACAAGACCCACAAAGATGTAAGCTATTACGCGGACTTCTTTTCGAACGCTGATTACGGTACTACCCACGTGGCTGTTCTGGCCCCAGATGGTGATGCAGTTTCCGTGACATCTACTATCAACATGAGGTGAGTTTAGAACTAATCAATATTGGATGAACGGCTTAAACCTGAGTTTGCTTAGCGGGTAGTCTTGTGTTCGCTTTGAAGCGTTCAAGGTGGAGGAGGTACAGAATCGGGCAGGGAAGCCACGAGGGGCTTAGGATGAAAATTATTGGGTGGCTACTCGAACTTCCACAGCTCGTTTGCCGCAGTTATTTTCATCAAGCGCCCCAAAAAAATGAAAAGAAATGATGCCTTGTCGCACAATGATATTTTGACTCCAGATACTGACTTAAGCCCATCTTTTTATCGCATTGAGGCAGCTCATAAATGTTCGTGAAGTATGGACCCAGAAAAAGAGGGGAAACTAACAAACTTATGACTAGTTGCATTGCATTCTAGCGATACCGCGAACTGCTTTTGTGTTTAATAATAGGTTCGGTGCTAAATACCGATCCACTACCACAGGCATCATTTACAACAATGAGATGGCAGATTTTGATATTCCTGGTTACGAGGTAGTGGGTGATATTTCTCCTTCACCATTCAATTTTCCTGCACCTGGCAAGCGACCGTTCTCTTCCATGTGTCCCACCATTTTAACCGATAACGACGGAAAAGTTCAGCTTGTTATTGGTGCTTCTGGCGGGAAAAGGATAACCACAGCTGTATCACTTGTATGTACAGTCGTTTCATTCAAATTTCCTTGGCGCTTAAGATTTTATAGCTAAGCTGATAAGCATTCTGTGGGCTGTATATTGAACCTCATTAGGGGTGTAATCAGGATGCTTCAAGGAGAGTTCACACTGTATCAAACGGAGGGTACTTACCAGTTTCCACCGACTAAATATTGTGGGTTGTTTGCTTAAATCAAGGCTTACAAAAGGTAGGAGGGTCACGGGCCCCACCCCACCCCCCCCTCCCCACTCTAGCTACGCCCTTGCCCATACTCGACACTTTGCTCAGAGAGCTATTGAGAGTTTAGAAACACACACTCATTTTTCAGTGGGTCGAAGTCTGTAGTCAATCAATCCGTCCCTCCATCTCCAGGGCGGATTCACACTGCCTCTGTAGTAAATATTGAAAGCAAGGAAGCTTATAATTATTTTTGCACCTGCAGGTCTTAATGAACAAACTCTGGTTTGGAGATGACTTGTCAAAGGCGGTAAACAAACCTCGATTGCACTCACAAATGGTGCCTGATCAGAGAGTATTTTATGAAAACAATAAGAACTATCGCATCGACAAGTACGTAATAGAAGGCTTAGCACAACGAGGTCACAACATCACTGGCAGTGATTTGTTTGCTGTGGTGCAGGCGATTTCCAGGGAACCTGGAGGAATATACGCCAAGTCTGACCCGAGAAAGCATGGTGTACCCGCGGGTCAATAGAAGTGCGGAATGTGATTGGCCCAATTAACTGGATAACTAAACTATTTAACAAATAGATTCCAAGTTGCCGTGCGTAATAGATCACAGATGACGTGAAAATGTGGTAAGAACAAAAAAGTGGCACACGAGGCACAGCCGAGTGTGTCACTGATGTTCTAACCACATTTTGATGTCCTCTGTGATCTATTACTGAACAGACGCACGGCAACTTGGAATCTATTTGTTTTATATAATAAAGAATTTAAAAAAAATTTTAATTATGACGTCATCTATACGTCTGTTTTCCAATAGATCATAATTGAAAACCAATCAGAATGCGTGCATAACTGAGCTTATTATATAATTTAAAATGGATAAGTGTTAGCAAAATAAACTTCGCATTGCTTCGAATGTTAATAGCCATATCGAGATTATTTTTAGACTCCACCAGTGTCTCTGCATAACACAGTGATTCAAGGAAGGATTTTAACAATATCACTGCTTGTAGCTGGTGGGTAAAAACTCAGTAATTTCTGAAGGCAAATATAGTATTTCTTGTTCCTCTCTGTAAGGGCGGTTACTTACCTACTTCATTCTGCCAACCGCATAATGCAAAACACACCATGGAAAGCAGTACACTGAGTGAGGTTTGATTACAGAGTAGCTCATCTTGAAATCAAACAATATAATACAGGAGCAAAAAACTCTTTAAGATTCACACGTTCCATGCAATTTTTGAAAAGTCCGCCCAGAAGAGAGTCAATCGAGAGCATCTCAAAGAATCATCACACTCGCACACCTGTTTCCAAGTTTCCAATAAACTCATATCATTTCCACTAATATTGGCCTAAACTGGCTATCGGCAGGAGCCCATTACTCGCTGCTATCGGGAAATGTTAACCTTTTTACCGTGTACTCGAAGAGGGGTTTATAATCCCTTGGTGCAGCTCCGTTAACAGTGCGCGTTGAAGAAGACTACAAATCTCAAGTTTCCAAAGGGAGCAGTTGTTATTTATCGTCTGGTGGGGGAGGGGTTGGAGGATTTTGGGGATCACATGGTTCTCAGAGGGGGAAGGGAGGGGAGATCAGTCGTTACTATCAGAGTATAAAGGGGGTGAGCATAAAAAAGTGACTGCTATTTAGGGGGATCATGACAATAACACAAAGCCTTAAGGGGGGATCAGGATAATTTCATTGAGACACAACCAGAATCCTACGAACCCCTCCCTCTCTGGGGTAAATAATGAGCGTTCCTAGCTTATTCATTATTTATTACGCCATAAAAAACATTTTTAACACTTTAAATCCCAGATCAAATTGTAATTCTCCTTACTGTCAACCATACAATTCTTATGATGTTAGTTCAGAGAATTTAGTACTGGATCAACTAATTATCCCCAAATTGTGTTTTTCATTATTCTCATCACTTAGCTGGTTGATGTTGTATTGATATTGTAAGGAGAAATTCTTCCTTGGTCTCTTATGGTTAACACTGAAGAAACTGTGGCATCCTAGGCATTTTTGCGTGACATTTATGTACAAAAAAACAAAACAAAACAAATGAAGAAACTAAAATACAAGCTCAGAAGAAAGAGGTTGACAAAAATAAACGAGAAAGGTTCAGTCACTACGCATGCTTCAATTTACGCAACGTTCTATTTTGGTTTTATATTTACTCTTACACAGAAAAGAAATGTCCAGGATTATCTACTTGAGTGAGTTGCCGCGCATTTTGTTACAAAGGTCTTTTGTCCGTGATTTTTTTGGTTGCAAAGACGCACTTTGGTTTGCGTAGAGAGTTTTCATTAGAGTGGATTGACCAACCGTTCGATGAGCCAAAAAAATGGTTGGTGTATTGAGGTGCCTCTTATGACTCTATGAAGAGGTGGACTTATCGGAGGTTTTACCGAACGGTAAAAGAAAAAAAAAGAAAATACGCCTCAAGCTAAACGTGTTTGGTCAGATATCGTGTTTCTAAAGAAATGTCTGACCTTTTGCTCCCGAAAGTTTAAGATATAATTAAGTTTAAGATATAATTAAAATGCTTAGAAAAGTCTCAATTGAGTACGTTGGCGCTCCCTGTGAAATCAGATCTTGGGAAGAGCTGGGCGCAAACTGTTAGTTGACACATCGTAACGGATTGAATATTTCGAGATATTACTACAAGAATACAAAAAAGATTCATATTGCGAAGCTAACACTTTCCTGAGAGTCGAGTTCGACTTTCATTTCCGTTCAAGGTTCAGTTTACAACAAGAATAGCAATGGCAACCGAAGATTCATCAAGACGGGAAGTCCAAACAGTTTAAGTAAGCAAAGTTTTCCTTCTCTCTGTATGATGCTGATTTGCAGTTGTTAGTGAGCACATGTAACGTTAGCCTAAGTTAAGGAAAGTGTTTAAGAGTTCAGTCTACCGCTCTGCACAATTACCAACAATCCGTCATATACAAAGGGTAATATGTCATATTCAATTAAAGGGCAACACTGCAAATTTTCGCTCCAGAATTCTGTTTTCCGGTTCGATCTTGGTAGAGATATAATGAATTATTTCCCGGAAATCTGAGTGCAGATCGTAGGTTGTATTTGGAAGACTGGCTATGACACGCTACTCCAAATATCTGTCAATGAACACACAATACGTCTGATAAGACATCCAAGACTAAGAAAACGGCACACAGTGATTTTAAGGAACAATCTCGGCTGAAATGTTTAGCGGTTCCCATAAAAACAGCAACTTTGTGAATTTATAATACGAGGTAGTACAAGTAAACATTTCAGAGTACCTTGATTTCGACAAGATCTTTGCCGCAGTTACAAATATAATGATCGAACGTATGAAAGTGATATAGTGACGTGGACGCACAAGACAATCAATAATACGATGCATTAGCAAGGAATCATCGTTCTTCGCTGTATGAGCATTGATTGGAACGAGATCTGATGTTGAGTTAAAGAACCACGATTTTGAAGGTGTGAATTCTTTAGTTATAGGAGGAAATATGAACTTTGATTTCAGACGGTATAGCGATTGGATGTTGTGATTATTTCAGAAAAATGTAACGTGTCTATCCACGTCATCGGATAAGTTTGATTTCAATTTTGCCGTATGTAACAAAGCTAGAATCCGTTAGAAAGTCAAAATGGTCTTTTCAAAAACATCATACATATAGACTTTAAAGTTTCTTGTAACTATTGTAAATTCTTCATCGAGTTTGCCGGGAAACAAAAATTAGTCTTGCGAAATATGAACTTTGATTTACGACGGTATAACGATTAGATGTCGTGATTATGCAAGAAAAATATAACGTTTCAATTCACGTCAACGGATAAGTTTTGTTTCAATTTTGTTGGAGTTAAATGCTGGAATTCGCTATAAAGTTGAAAGGGTCGTTTAAAAAACATCACACATTTATACTTTATAGTTACTTTTAATTATTGTAAATTCTTCACTGAGTTCGCAAACAAACAAAACTTAGCCTTCCTAATTGGATCCCATTTCCCCAGGCAATTATACACTTGGGTAAGCCGGAGACTGTGTTAGGCTACCCCTGACCTGACTGACCTACAGTTTCGTTGAAATTATTTGAGCATAGTTTAGAAAACATCGAGAAATGCTAGCTGAGCAGCATAATATACTACATTTACTAACACAGTCTATAAGGGCCTAAACCCGGGTGAAAAACTTCTGGAGAGTTCAACGGACAGGAAGGAAAATGTATTACTTAGCTACTGATAAGATTTGTGTTTGTGTATAACAAGTCAGGGTTAATGTTGGGTTAGGGAGGGGTAGGTGGGCAGTTGCTCAAATACTGATATTGATCCCAATTTTCTATAGTCCCGCCTTTATTCTCTGTTGACGATGACTGATCCCCTCCCTTCCCCCCGCAAATAAATCCTCTAATCTCCCTTCCCCCCCCCCTCGACAGGCGGTAGATAATTACTGGTCGCTAAGGAAAGGAATATAAAGATGGACGCAGTAATCTGCCAACAGAAATAGTTAAATTAAAGATTTTATGTTGCAACTTTAACCAGGATTGCAAGAATCTATTTATATATCATGTTTAGCTGCAAAAGTAATTCTTATTCTTACCCAAATAATTTAAAAGATCCTGAACGAGTCAAAAACTAACCTGAAAGTGTTTTTTTTTTAGGGACTTGGCATGCAGTAAGTGTGGAAAAATAATAATCGGCGTCATAGTAGTATTGTGTATAATAGGTCTCGTAGTTGGGCTGGTCTATTATTTCGTACTTCGTCGCGATAAATCATTCGGCGGACCCTATAAAAGAGAAGCCGTTGCCACGGATACACAGCAGTGTTCTGAAATAGGAGAAAACATCCTAAAGGCAAACGGCTCTGCAGTGGATGCTGCCATCGCCGCCATGTTCTGTTTGGGTGTGGTCAGCATGCACTCATCAGGGATAGGAGGTGGGGGAGTGATGTTAGTGTACAATCAAACATTAAAGCAAGCCACAGTCATCGATTTCAGAGAAACTGCCCCAGGTACAGCCTACTGGGATATGTTCAAGGGCAAAGAGGAAGAAGCCAAGAAAGGTCTCCAAAATTTTTTTTTTTTGCATAATTTTTTGTGAGCTTATATATACATTATTCATCGAAGTGGAGGTGAATAACTGTTTTAGTACATACCACACGGATACAAAAAATTGGCTAAAAATATATCAAAAAATGTTCGGAAGTTAAACTCTTGACGCGAGATTTTTTTCTCTTCGGCTGCTCGGAGGTGAAATGGTACTTGCTATTTACTTACGAGTTAGCCAATCAGCGTGCGTGTAAAACATTCTTCACTTGTGTGGTTTACACTACTTTTTAACTATTGTTTATTCCGCTTTGATAGATTAATTGACATTTTCCCCAATTCAGTGTGTCTCAATGGTTCTACTTAATCATGCAAACGTACTCGTTCTCTACTTCGAAGTTTTGGACTCCTTGACAGCACTTTAAATCTTGCAAGAAAATAGGCGCGTTAAACTAAGTCTATAAATACCTTGTCTGTGAAGTTTATTAATGTCTGTCTAGGGAAATACCTTACCTACACAGACGGTACAAACGAATTGACGAACTATATTTAAAAACCCACAAAAACGTCAACTTAACAAGCTTTAATCTTAGGTGGTCGGTCCATCGCTGTTCCCGGCGAGGTGCGCGGTCAGTTCGAGGCTTGGAAACGACATGGTCGGTTACCATGGAAACGCCTTGTTCAACCCGCCATCGATTTGGCCAAAAATGGGTTTAAAGCATCTAAAGCACTGGATGATGCACTAAAAACGACCAAAGGAATCGAGGAAGATATTAAAAATGACCCTGGTTTAAGGTCAGAAATATTCATAATTGCTATGTGACAAAGGCAATTTGTATATACGAAAACAACGGATAGCGTTAAAGGCGCGCTCTGATTGGCTACTCAACCCCAAGCAAATCCTTGTAAAACACAGTAATTTATATGATAATAAAAAACTTTTACCTCAGTGGCGGTGGTTAGTGGCGGAAATTTACCACCACTAGCCACCTCTCCTTCGGTGAATCGTAGTTTGATACCAGAGTCTTCTATGGGAAGATTGTTCTCTCAGAGCGAAATATTTTTGTTCGTATGCAGCTGGGTTATGAGATAATTTACGTTAATGAATTTTCAATTTTTTCAGTGAACTGCTCCTGGTTGATAATAAAAGGCTTGTTAAGAAAGGAGACGTTATTAAGAATGAAAAGTACGCAACGACCCTGGAAACGGTGCGTGACGATCCAGAATCTTTTTACAATGGAGCACTTGCCAGAGACATTATCAGTGATTTGAAGAAAATCAATGGGATGGTGACTGAGAGTGATTTAAGAGATTACAGACCGATCCCGAGAGAGTCGTATCAGAAAGAACTCTCGGGCATGAAAATGTACCTGACCCCACCCCCGACCAGTGGCGCCGTGCTTGGGCTCATCTTGAACATTTTGCGAGGTAGGAGTTCTCGTCAAAATGTTGTTATTATTATTATTATTATTATTATTATTATTATTATTATAGTCATGATTATAGTCATCATTATTATATTCTTATATCTAACTCGCCGTCTCAAAAACACTGTGATCAATATAGTACATGAAGCACATATAGTTCCCCTTCCTTGTGCGCACACTCTAGTTCACGTTCAAAAGACCAGAGTGACTAGTCCTTAGGTATCGCCTTGGAAGGGAGAGAGGGGGGAGGGGGGAGGGGGGGAAGGGGAAGGGAAAGGGGAAGGGGAAGGGGGAAGGGGGATGGGGATGGGGGAGGGGGGAAGGGGAAGGGGAAGGGGGAAAGGGGGGGGGGGGAAAGCAGGGGAAGGGGGGTAGGGGGTGGAGGATTTCTATTGCGTCACGATAAAATTTACTTGATCCCCTGGTAACATTCTTATCATCCCCCTTCCTAACCCCCTTTTAAGAACTGGTGCGGCATGTTTGGTGGGTATTTCTAGTTGGAGCGTGTTATGTTTGAATTCGCTGACGAAGTCATTTTCACCTTTTACACCCTCACATCAGTATGCATATCCTCCAAACTATTCTCTATACGTTTCTTAAGGGGCTGACAAGGAGAAGTTGGTTAGCAATGTAGAACTTCTTTACTTGATGATCATTTCATTTATTCTCGTGACCTAAAAGTTTGATTCAGGACTGATATCGTTGGGAGAACTTAGATGCTAGTCACTCTTAGGAGTTAAAAGGTTAATTAGACGAAACCGGTGGAAAATGCAAAAAAAAAAAAAGTCGTCAACATTGTTTGCTGCACACTACTCACCAAGTCTTGCTTAAGAAATGTCATTTTTTTTCCTTTTTTTAATGTAGGGTACAATATGACGTCGTCAGCCTTTAAAGACAAGAAATCCTCTGTGCTTACGTATCACCGGATAATTGAAGCCTTTAAGTTCAGTTATGCATGGCGTAGTCTGCTTGGAGATCCGGATTTCCATTCAGACATCATGGTAGGTGGAAATAATTCAGTGATTCAAATGCCAGCTTTATGACATTTTCCGTACAGATATAATATCAGAGGGTTTTCCGGTAGGCCCTTAGAGATTGTGCTTGCATAATTTTTGGCATAGTTTGGAAAAACGAGCTTAATTTTTGCTTTTTAGTAAAAGTATCACTTTTAGCAGAATCAGTATATTTCCAGCATTTTTTGAAGAGAACCAGATTCATCACTGGATTGTTCTCTTAGATTGATTATTTTCAAGTTTGCCCCATGGTTTGGTCTATTTTCAATTTTTCAATGTCTTTGGGGAAAAAAGTAATCGCAGTACCTGGTCATTCGTCGTCCAGAGACTGGCACACCGAAAGTAAAGATTGCGTCCCAATTTCCGCTTTCACAGGCAAAAAAAATGGCATCAAAGAGAAACGCGTACAGTAACATCATAAATTTTAACACATTATGTCGCCGCTTGAAGTCTTGAATTAAGTGCAGTAGTTAATTGTGCCTGCATGTATGTAACTCAAAATAAAGAATAAAGGGGTTAAGTTCTGAAAGAAACTGTGGTGCTTTGATAACGTGAATTGACCACCGTAGCTTTGGAAACTCTTTAAGGTGGCCAATTTACATTATCAGCTTAGTTGATAAAACCAAATTATTAAAATGAAGAAGTATCGACGATTCGTGCCTAAATAAAAATAAATTTTTAATTTGGACTTGTTTTGTTTTTCTGTTGTGAAAATGGTACCTTTAAAAGGATTAGCATAATTTTCAAAAACAAGCACAATATTAAGCATAACTTAGGAAAAATAAAGCAATGCTAGTTAAAAAAAAAAGAAGCCTTGACTATGCTCCGTTCTGTTGTAAAGCATGCAGGAAGCGGCTAGAGCACGGAAGAAGTACAGGAAGTAACACGAGATGTAGTCGAGTGTTCCTCCCCACTTCTTGAGATACGAAACAATATATACTACACGAGTGTTAGCTGTGTTTGATTGTTATTACTTTACGTAAGCTTGCAATCTAACTGAGTGTGAAAACTTTCAAAACTCGGACTGTCCATTTCATTTTCTCCTCGAGGAATTTCGTGTCTGCTCACGTTATAATAAGGTTAATTACGGCGCCTGGCATGTTTACATACCTTTTTTTAGTTCTTCTGTTGCCATTTGCCGACCCGCCTGTTCCGAAATTTCTCTTTACATTTAAGAAAAAAAAACCAGAGAAAAGTCCTGGAAAAGGTTAGACATAGTACAATTTGGCATATGGCGTGACAGCTCTATGCTCTATACTCTCATTGAGCACGCTCTTTCAACCAATGACAGCGCGCGTTACATCCGAACTTTATCATAATAGCACAATATGCTACTTTTACTCGCACAGTATTTAAGAGCCTACTCTCTGGTTGATTTTTGTCAGCCCTTTGTTGTTAGCGATCACACAAGATAGTAATCTCTTAACTGGAGTCCGAATTGCGCACTCAGACTCTCAAAAGAAACCAACTCCAGATTGAAAAATGTATTTAAATTTGCTTCATTTTGCTGCAATAAGGCGCATGTTACCTTCCAGCAAGATAAGTGAACGCTATTTTAAAACGAGCCATTAAAAAGGCAAATGGAAAAACAAGAATTAAAAAGAGCCAGTGATAACTCTGTGTTAACGAATGTGGCCGACCTCACGCGGGAAAACCAGGGTGACCAAACCTGATTACATTTTGTCCGGGGACGATGAGGTTCGCCCTTGATTAAGCTTTGCCTCTGGTTGGTTGAGCGAATGGGAGCAACTTTCGAAGACAATTGGCAGCAGTTGCGAATTATCTTATTCAAAATTCGCACAACAAAGTTGAGTCAGAATCACCAGAACATTAGCTGAATATTATGCAAATTTGGTGATATTTCAGTGGAGAGCATCACAGATGTTGGAGCCAAAAACAGGCAATCGCCTACGTAACAAAATATGGGATGACAAGACCCACAAAGATGTAAGCTATTACGCGGACTTCTTTTCGAACGCTGATTACGGCACTACCCACGTGGCTGTTCTGGCCCCAGATGGAGACGCAGTTTCCGTGACATCTACTATCAACATGAGGTGAGTTTAGAACCAATCAATATTGGACAAGCGGGCTTAAACCTGAGCCTGCTTAGCGGGTAGTTTTGTGTTCTCTTTGAAGTGTTCAGGGTGAAGGAGGTACAGAATCGGGCAGGGAAGCCACGAGGGGCCTAGGATGAAAATTATTGGGGAGTTACTCGAACTTCCGCAGCTCGTTTACCACAGTTATTTTCATCAAGTGCCCAAAAAATACGACAACTGCGAGCGGCAGATGAACCTATTGACTTTGATACTATCGTTGTTAAAGAGGGCAATGGCATCTTCTTCTCGAAATGCTCTCGTCGGAACCCAACACACGCAGCCGTATTTCAAGGTCAGAATAAAGGCCACAACTTGACTATCACTTCTCACCTATTACAGCCTTGTCGTTTGAATCTTTCATTACTGTTTTCGAAAGAGCGCGTGTTCAGTGGGCTCAGAATCTGGCCTCAAAAGAGGTCGTATTCTTTTCTTTTTGCCAAACGCTCGATTTTTTTTTTAAAAATGAAGCCTCACGATAAACTTTTCGCACAATGTTATGACAGCAATAAATTTGACACAGGATACTAACTTAACCCCATCTTTTTATCGCAATGAGGCAGCTCATAAATGTTCGTGAAGGATGGACCCAGAAAAAAAGAGATGAAACTGACAAAACTTACCACTAGTTGCATTGTATTCTAGTGATACCGTGAACTGTTTTTGTGTTTAATAATAGGTTCGGTGCTAAATACCGATCCACTACCACAGGCATCATTTACAACAATGAGATGGCAGATTTTGATATTCCTGATTACGAAGTAGTGGGTGATATTTCTCCTTCACCATTCAATTGGCCTCGGCCAGGCAAGCGACCGTTCTCTTCCATGTGTCCCACCATTTTAACTGATAACGACGGAAAAGTTCAGCTTGTTATTGGTGCTTCTGGCGGGAAAAGGATAACCACAGCTGTATCACTGGTACGTCCAATCGTTTCATTCAAAATTCCTTGACTCTTAAGATTTTATAGCTAAGCTGATAAGCATTCTGTGGGCTGTATATGTGGGTCGAAGTCTGTAGTCAATTAATCCGTCCCTCCATCTCCAGAGCGGATTCACACCGCCTCTGTGATAAATATTGAAAGCAAGGAAGCTTATAATTATTTTTGCACCTGCAGGTCTTAATGAACAAACTCTGGTTTGGAAATGACTTGTCTAAGGCGGTAAACAAACCTCGATTGCACACACAAATGGTGCCTGATCAGAGAGTATTTTATGAAAACAATAAGGACTATCGCATCGACAAGTACGTAATAGAAGGCTTAGAACAACGAGGTCACAACATCACTGGCAGTGATTTTTTTGCTGTGGTGCAGGCGATTTCCAGGGAAACTGGAGGAATATACGCCAAGTCTGACCCGAGAAAGCATGGTGTACCCGCAGGTCAATAGAAGTGCGGGTCAACAGAAGTGCGGTCCCCTTAAGCGATGCTTAAGGGGAATGCAATTGGCGCAATTAACTGGATAACTGAACTATTTTAGAATGGATAAGTCTAAGCAAAATAAACTTCGTATTGCTTCGAATATTAATAGCCATATCGAGATAATTTTTAGACTCCACCAGTGTCTCTGCATAACACAGTGATTCAAGGAAGCATTTCTTTTAACAATACCACTGCTTGTAGCTGGTGGGTAAAAACTCAGTAACTTCTGAAGGCAAATATAGTATTTCTTGTTCCTCTCTGTAAGGGCGGTTACTTACCTACTTCATTCTGCCAACCGCATAATGCAAAACACACCATGGAAAGCAGTACACTGAGTGAGGTTTGATTACAGAGTAGCTCATCTTGAAATCAAACAATATAATACAGGAGCAAAAAACTCTTTAAGATTCACACGTTCCATGCAATTTTTGAAAAGTCCGCCCAGAAGAGAGTCAATCGAGAGCATCTCAAAGAATCATCACACTCGTACACCTGTTTCCAAGTTTCCAATAAACTCATATCATTTCCACTAATATTGGCCTAAACTGGCTATCGGCAGGAGCCTATTACTCGCTGCTATCGGGAAATGTTAACCTTTTTACCTTGTACTCGAAGAGGGGTTTATAATCCCTTAGTGCAGCTTCGTTAACAGTGCGCGTTGGAGAAGACTACAAATCTTAGGTTTCCTAAGGGAGCAGTTGTTATTTATCGTCTGGCGAGGGGGGGGTAGGAGGACTTTGGGGATCACATGGTTCTCAGGAGGGGAAGGGAGGGGAGATCAGTCGTTGCTATCAGAGTATAAAGGGGGTGAGCATAAAAAAGTGACTGCTATTAAGGGGGATCATGACAATGACACAAAGCCTTAAGGGGGAATCGGGATAATTTCATTGAGACACAACCAAAATCCTACGACCCCCTCCCTCTGTGGGGTAAATAATGAGCGTTCTTAGCGTATTCATTATTTATTACGCCATAAAAACATTTTTAACACTGAAGAAACTATAGCATTCTAAACATGTTTGCGAAGCATTTACGTACAAAAACAAAACAAAACAAAACAAAACAAAGTAAAATACAAGCTCAGAAGAAAAAGGTTGACAAAAATAAACGAGAAAGGTGCAGTTTCTACGGATGCTTCAATTTACGCAACGTTCTACTTTTAATTAGTTTTTTATTTACTCTTACACAGAAAAGAAATGTCAAGGTTTATCTGCTTGAGTGAATTGCCGCACATTTTGTTACAATGTTCTTTTGTCCGTGATTGTTTTGGTTGCTAAGACACACTTTGGTTTGCTTAGAGAGTTTACATTAGAGCGCATTAACGAACCATTCGATGAGCCAAAAAAATGGTCGGTGTAGTGAGGTGCCTCTTCTGAATCTTATGAAGAGGTGGCCTTATTGGAGGTTTTACCGAAAGGTAAAATAAACTGAGAATACGCCTCAAGCTAAACGTGTTGTGGTCATATATCGTGTTTATCAAACAGTCAATATCGCGGTTACTGAAGAAAAGCTTGACCTTTTGCTCCCAAAAGTTTAAGAAAAAAGAAAAGAAAAGTCTTAATTTTCATTCAAAAAACACTCGCAGAACACGTCTAGGTTAGCACTCCCTTTGAAATCAGACCTTGGAGAAGAGCTGAGCACAAAAGGTTAATTGAAACATTAGGGATTGGATATTTCGAGATATTACTACAAGAGCACAAAAGAGATTCATATTCCGAAGCCAGCATTTTCCTGAGAGTCGAGTTCGACTGTTACAGTTCCCCTCAAGGTTCAGTTTACAACACGAATAGCAATGGCAGCCGAAGATCCAACAAGCAACGCAGGTCAAGAAGACAGGAAGTGCACAAGGAAGAGGTTTAAGTGAGTAAAGATTTCCTCCTTCTGTATGATGTTGATTTGCAGTTGTTGGTGAACATATGTAATGCTAACCTAAGCCAAGAAAATTTTTTAAGAGTTCAGTTTACCGCTCAACACAACTATCAACATTCCGTCAAATACACAGGGAAATATGTCATATTCAGCAAAAAGGGCGAAACTGGAAATTTTCGCTTCAGAATTCTCCGGAAATCTTAGTGCAGATGGTAGGTTGTATTTGGAAGACTGGCTATAACACGCCACTCCAAATATCTATCAATGAACACACAAAACGTCTGATAAGACATCCGAGACCGAGAAAACGGCACATAGTGAATTCACTTTGTGAATTTATAAACGAGGTTTTACATGTAAACATTTCAGTGTAACTAAGTTTCGACAAGATATTTACCAGTTAGAAATGTAATCGAACATATCTAAGTGATATGGTGACGTAGACGCACAAGATAATAATAACACGATGCATTAGCAAGGAATCATTGTTCTCTGCTTTGTGAGCATTGACTGAAACGAGATCTGATGTTGACTTACAAAAGCACGATTTTAAAGACGTGAATTGTAAAGTTGTAGCAGGAAATATGAACTTTAGTTGCAGACGGTATAACTATCGGATGATGTGATTATTGCAGAAAAATATATCGTTTCAATTCGTGTCATCGGATAACTTTGATTTCAATTTTGCTGCATCTAACAACGCTGGAATCCGGTATAAAGTTGAAAGGGTCGTTTCAAAAATATCACACTTAAATACTTTGTAGTTACTTTTAATTATTGTAAATTCTTCATTGAGTTTGCCAGAAATAAAAAAATAGCCTTTGGAATTGGATCCCAATTCCCAAGGCAACTATATATTTGGGTAGGCTGACAACATTGTTGGGTTACTTCATGACCTGACTGACCTACAGTTTCGTTGAAATTGTTTGAGCAAAGTTTTGAAAACATCGGGAAATACTAGCCGCATAATATACTACAATTACTAACACAGTGTACAAGGGCTTAAACCCGGGTGAAGAACTTATTGAGAGTTCAATAGACAGGAAGGAAATTTTGTTACTTAGCTATTGCTAAGATTTGTGTTTGAGAGGGTTATCAGGGATCTATTTGTACATCATGTCTAGCTGCAAACGTAATTTTTATTCTTACTCAAAGAATTTGAAAGGTCATGAACGAGTCAAAAATTATCATATAAACTAATCTTCATGTGTTTTTTTAAGGGACTGGGCATGCAGTAGGTGTGGTAAAATAACAATCTGCGTCATCTCCATAGCAGTAGTGGCTGTGATAGGTGTCGTACCTTGTGTCGTACTTCATCGCGATAAATCATTTGGCGGACCCTATAAAAGAGAAGCCGTTGCCACGGATACACAGCAGTGTTCTGACATAGGAGAAAACATCCTAAAGGCAAACGGCTCTGCGGTGGATGCTGCCATCGCCGCCATGTTCTGTTTGGGTGTGGTCAGCATGCACTCATCAGGGATAGGAGGTGGGGGAGTGATGTTAGTGTACAATCAAACATTAAAGCAAGCCACAGTCATCGATTTCAGAGAAACTGCCCCAGCTACAGCCTACCGGGATATGTTCAAGGGCAAAGAGGAAGAAGCCAAGAAAGGTCTGTACTTTTATTTTTGCATGATTTTGTTGTGGATCCATAAATACAAATATTCACCGTAGTGGAGGTGAATGATTGTTTTAGTATATTCCACACCGATACCAAAAAATAAGCTAAAAATACATAAAAAAATGTTCAGAAGTTAAACTCTTGACCCGAGATTTTGTCTCTTCGGCTGCTCTTTAGTGAATAGTACTTGCTATTCGCTTCCAAGCAGCCAATCAGCGCGCGCATAAAACACTGTTCACTTGTGTGGTATACACTACTTTTTAATTACTGTTTATTCCGCTTGAACAGATTAATTGACCTTTTCCCCAATACAGTGTATCTCAGTGCTAATTAATCAATGCAAACGTAGTTTCTTCCTCTACTACGAAGTTTTGGACTCCTTGACAGTACTTTAAATCTTGCAAGTCCCTAGATACTTCGTCTATTAGGTTTATCAATGACTGTCTAGGGAAATACGTATACCTTACCTACACAGACGTCACCAACGAGTTGAAGAACTATATTTTTTTAAAAAAACTCGCAAAAACGCCAACTTAACAAGCTTTAATTTTAGGTGGCCTGTGCATCGCTGTTCCCGGCGAGGTGCGCGGTCAGTTCGAGGCTTGGAAACGACATGGTCGGTTAACATGGAAACGCCTTGTTCAACCCGCTATCAATTTGGCCAAAAATGGGTTTAAAGCATCTAAAGCACTGGATGATGCACTAACGACCAAAGGAATCGAGAAAGATATTAGAAATGACCCCGGTTTAAGGTAAGAAATAATCATAATTGCTATGTGACAAAGGCAAATTGTATATACGAAAACAGAGGATAGCGTTAAAGGCGCGCTCTGATTGGCTACTCAAACCTTAAACATTGTTTGCTATTCACCTCCGAGCATGTCGCCCGAAAATGTTGTAATCGTTGCAGGAGTAAATGATTTAAAATAACCTTTTTGTGCTATAGTATCTCACTGTTTTAGTATATAATAAATAGAGAATAATACATACGCACGCTAGATATGGAATTTCTTTTCGAGTGTTTTACTCGATAGCTCGCGATTGAGCGCAGCGAACGAGCGAGATGTCGAGTCAAACACGAGAAGAGAAATCCTATATCTACACGCAACCATGTATTATTTTGTTTATCATATAATCACAATGGCCCTTCACTGACAAGAAAAGTCGACTTTATTAACGAATGAAAATAAAAGGATCGACAATCCCCGAATGAAAATTGTAAAGTGAGTTTGCGTTGAGGCTCAAGATGAAAAAAAAGCGTCACTAAGTTTTTCCTTACCGACAGAAGAAATCTAAATCAGGTACACAGCCCAAAGCGGCCTGTGATAAATCTTCCAGTTGTCGATTTTCATTCTCAGCCGCGAGAAATGCCATTACTAAAGTCACTGAATACGTAACTTTCGGTTTTTCTTTTCGTATTTTGTTTTTTTTCCCTTCCGGAAAAGTTTGAACGTCACTGTCTGTAAGCGTTACGAAGTTTTCAGTGTTTTAGCAGCCACGATTCGAGAAAATTTCGAAAAACAACCATGGATTGGGAATGGTGAGGCTTTGCTCTTCATTTGTCAAACTGACGGAGGGGCAAGAAATTAAGGCCAGTGACCTGCCAGCAGCTGATTGACGATATCAAACACACGCGACAAAATATCGTATTTTTTTACGTGTGTTGTTTTGGCTTTTCTCAGGGCTGGAAATCCTTGTATAACACTATAGTTTATATGATAATAAACAAATTTTTACCTTAGTGACGGTAGCTAGTGGCGGATATTTACCACCACAAGCCACCTCCCCATCAGTGAATAGTAGTTTGGTACCAGAGAAGTCTTCTATGAGAAGATTATTCTCTCAAAGCAACAGATCTTTGTTTACATACTGCTGGATAATGTGATAATTTACGTCACTGAATTTTAATTTTTTCAGTGAACTGCTCCTGGTTGATAATAAAAGGCTTGTTAAGAAAGGAGACGTCATTAAGAATGAAAAGTACGCAACGACCCTGGAAAGAGTGCGTGACGATCCAGAATCTTTTTACGATACATCAGATGGAGAGCTTGGCAGAGAAATTATAAGTGATTTGCAGACAGTCAGTGGAAAGGTGACTGACCGTGATTTAAGAGATTACAGGCCGATCACGAGAGAGTCATATCAGAGAGAACTCTCGGGCATGAAAATGTACCTGACCCCACCCCCGACAAGTGGCGCCGTGCTTGGGCTCATCTTGAACATTTTGCAAGGTAGGAGTTCTCGTCACTGTGATCAATATAGCCCATATGGCACATATAGCTCCCCTTCCTTATGCACACACTCCTCTTCACGCTTAAAAAATGACTAGTCCTTTGTTATCGCCTGGAAGGGGGGAGGGGGGGGGTTGTGGATGATGAGATCTCGTCACGATGAAATTTACCTGATCCCTCAGCAACATTCTTATGATCCCCACCGGTCCCCCCCTTTTAAGATCTGGTGAGGCATGTTTGTTGGGTATTTCTTGTTGGAGCGTGTTATGTTTGAATTCGCTGACAAACTCAGTTTATTTGGACGAAACCGAAAGAGAAATAAAAAAGTTGAGTCGTCAACATTGTTCGCTCTGTACTACTCACCAAGCCCTGTTTGAGAAGTGTCATTTTTTCTTTCTCCTTTTTTTGATGTAGGATACAAAATGACGTCATCAGCCTTTAAAGACAAGAAATCCTCTGTGCTTACGTATCACCGAATCATTGAAGCCTTTAAGTTCAGTTATGCATGGCGCGGTCTGCTTGGACACGTCCAATCCAAACATCAAGGTAGGTGGAAATCATTCAGTGGTACAAATTATGCCAGTTTTTACGTTTTCCGTAAGGATGTGAAATCAGAGGGCTCTTAGAGATAGACTGTGCTTGCATAATTTTGACATGATTTGAAAAACGAGAATAATTTTTGCTCTTTTGTAAAAGTAGCACCACTAGCATAATCATCATATTTTCAGTATTCTTCGAGGCGAAGATTACTAGATTCATAGCTGGATTTTTTTCCACGATTGATTATTTTCAAGTTCGGCCCATGGTTCAGTCTATTTCCAATTTTGCAATGTCTTCAGGAAAGAAAGCAATCGCAAAGAATGCGTCTGTCCCAGTTTCCGCTTTCACAGGCGACAAAATGGCGTCGAAAAGAAACGCGACGCTAACATCGTATATTTTGACACATTATGTCACCGCTTGAAGTTTTGAACTAAGTGCAGTAGTTAATTGTGTCTGCATGTTTGTAACTCAAAATATAGAAAAAAAGGGGGTAAGTTTGCAAAGAAACTGTGATGCTTTGTTAATGCAAATCGGCCACCTTAGCTTTAGAAACTCTTTAAGGTGGCAAATTTACATTATTAACTCAGTTGATAAAACCAAGTTATTAAAATAAAAAAGTATTTCGACGATTCGTGCAAAAATAACGATACATTTTTAACTTGGATTTGTTTTTTTTTCTGTTGCGAAAAGGGTACTTTAAAAAGAAGTAGCATAATTTTTAAAAACGAGCATAATTTTAAGCGTAACTTGGAAAAAATAGAGCAATGCCAGTAGCATAATATTCAACTCTTACTAGCACATTATTTAAGGGCCTTCTCTCCAGTAGAGTTTTTGGCAGCCCTTTGCAGTTGGCGGTGACACAAGATAGTTGTCTCTTTACTGGAGTCCGAATTGCGTACTAAGACACTCAAAAGAAACCAACTTCAAATTAAAAAATCTATTTAAATTTGCTTCATTTTGTTGCGATACGGCGCATTTTACCTTCCAGCAAGATAAAACCAGCCATTAATAGGGCGAATGGAAAAACAAGAATTCAAAGGAGCCAATGATAACTCTGTGTTTACGCACGTGGCCGACCTGAAATGAGGGTGACCAAACCTGATTACATTTAGTCCGGGGACGATGGGGTTCTCCTTTCATTAAGCTTTGCGTCTAGTTGGTCGAGCAAGTGGGGCTACTTTCCAAGACAATTGGAAGCAATTGCGGATTATCTAATTCAAAAATCGCATAAAAACGTTGAGTCTGAATCAACAGATCATTGGCTGTGTATTATGCAAATTTGCTAATATTTCAGAAAAAAGCATTAAAGATGTTGGATCCAAAAACAGGCAATCGCCTACGTTACAAAATATGGGATAACAAGACCCACAAAGATGTAGGGTATTACGCGGACTTCTTTTCGAACGCTGATTACGGTACAACCCACGTGGCTGTTCTGGCCCCAGATGGAGACGCAGTTTCCGTGACATCTACTATCAACATGAGGTGAGTTTAGAACTAATCAATATTGGACGAGCGGGCCTAAACCTGAGCCGGCTTGGCGGGTAGTTTTTGTGTGCACTTTGAGGCGTTCAGGGTGAAGGAGGCACAGAAACGAGCAGGGAAGCCACAAAGGGCCTAGGATGAAAATTATAAAGGAGTTACTCGAACTTCCGCTGCTCGTTTGCCGCACTTATTTACATCGAGTGCCAAAAAAACATGACAGTTACGAATGGCAATGGCATCTTCTTCTCGAACTGCTCTCGTCGGGAGAAATCAGACGCGGTTGTATTTCAAAGCTAGAAGAAAGGCTACAACTGGACTATCACTTCTCACCTATTGCAGCCTTGTTGCTTGAGTCGTGCGTTCACCACTGTTTTCGAAAGTGTGCGTGTCCAGCGGGCTCAGAATCCGGCCTCTTTTGAGGCCGGATTCTTTTCTTTTGGCTGAAAGCTTAATTTTTCTCAAAATTAAGCCTCACGATGAAATTGTCGCACAATTTTATGGCAGCAATAAATTTTGACACAAGATACTAACTCATAAATGTTCATGAAGTACGGACACAGAAAAAGAAGGGGAACTGACAAACGTTTTACAAGTACATTGCATTCTAGAAAGTCCAATAACCACGAATTTTTTGTGTGTTTACTAATAGGTTCGGTGCTAAATATCGATCCACTACCACAGGCATCATTTACAACAACGAGATGGCAGATTTTGATATTCCTGATGAAGACAAAGTGGATGGTATTTCTCTTTCACCATACAATTATCCTGATTCACACGCGCGTCCTTTGTCCAACATGTGTCCCACAATTCTTACTGATAACAACGGAGTTGTGCAACTTGTAATCGGTGCTTCTGGCGGGAAAATGATACCCACTGCTGTGTCACAGGTACATCCAATCGTTTCATTCTACGTTCCTTGGCTCTAAAAATATTATATCTCGGCTGATAAGCATTCTGTGGGCTGTATATTGAACCCTATCAGGGGACCAACCAGGATTTTTAAAGGATGGGGCCGGGGTTCACACTGTGTCAAACAGAGGGTACTCACCAGTTTTCACCACCTAAATATTGTAGGTTGTTTGCTTAAATCAAGGCTTACAAAGGGTAGGGGCGCCATGGGCACCCCAGGAAATCCCCCCTCCCCCCCGGCTACGCCCATGCCTGTGTTCAACTCTTTGCTCAGAGAGCTAACAAAAGTTTAGAAACACACACAGTGGGTCGAAGTCTGCACAAGTCCGTCCCCCTTCTCCAAGGTAGATTCACACCGCCTCTGTTGTACATATTGATACCAAAGAAGCTTACCACTATTTTTGCACCTGCAGGTCTTAATGAACAAACTCTGGTTTGGAGATGACTTGTCTGAGGCGGTAAACAAACCTCGACTGCACATACAAATGGTACCTGATCAGAGAGTATTTTATGAAAATAATAAGAAATATCGCATTGACAAGTACGTAATAGAAGGCTTAACACAACTAGGTCACAACGTCACTGGCAGTGATTTGTTTGCTGTGGTGCAGGCCATTTCTAGGGAACCGAAAGGAATATACGCCAAGTCTGACCCGAGAAAGTATGGTGAACCTGCGGGTCAATAGTAGTGCGGTCTCGAGACACTCGCCCAACCAAAACTCGCTTTTAAACCCTATCTAGTGTAGCAACACCTTATTTTCCATAGATGAGCAGAAAAATGCAATGAGGCTTAGAGCTACTGAATGATGGCGCTTCACAAGGAGAGAAAGTAGATTTTTCTCTTCATTATTACAGCAATTCTTCGGCATCTTTGGTCAAAATTAATGTTTATTGTTAAGATTTGAAACGATTTTACCTTATGATCCTTGTTGATGTTCGAATATCGTTTTCCGATTTGAAGCATGTTAGATGAACAGACAGAAGCGTTCATTAAAATTCATTCGTCTTTTTCCGTTGATTTAGATTTCTTTGGCTTATCCGGCATATCGGAAAATGTAATTTGTGGTAATCCTAATTAGCATAAATTAATATTTTGCCGGCACGTATCAGAGGACTGGGGGCGAGTGTAAGATGCGTGGAGAGTTATGAGATCGCGGTTTGTAAGTAGAGGTCGTTAATAGGGCAAGGCATTCTACGGTCAGCCTTCGCCGTGTTTAGCTGTTCATTTTCGTTTTCGTTTTTGTATAAATTTAGAGCTGTACTTGCATACTACCTTAAGTAACTGTGTATAACATGTCATTCATAGGATACCCTAAAACCTCAAGGATGGCACCGCTGCCTTGGTTGGGGGTTCACGTTCCCCGTTTTTTCTAACTGCTGGTTGTTAGGGGTTTTCGTGTCCGGCTTTGGTGCATTTATTTTACTTCAATCGTAAAAGACTTTTGTGAACATATCGATTTTGAGTTAAATAAACGGTGGCTTGGCTGGCCAACGCGCCCAGATACCTACTCTTTGTGTGCCCGGTTGAGTAGTGGAGGCACAATAGCACGGGTGATTTACCATTTAATTTTCTGTTTACAGCAAGTGTCTCGGCCAGCAGCTGCATCAGGCAGAATGCGTGGACATCATTAATTATTCGTAACCGATAAAGCGGTAAATTTGAACGCTATCCCGCTTTAAAGAGCCCTAAATCAGAAAAGAATGAACCACAATTGGCCCACTAGGCTTCGCAATACTCACTTTTTGGAGTTTTAGAAGTGCGTGCTTCTAAATCAATGCACGGCTTTTTGAAGATTAAAGATTTATCTACAATTTGCACCTAAATGAATGATTTTTACGAAGTAGAAGAATTATCCTATTGCCCTTGAAAATACTCAAAATTAAGTCATTTATAGTATGAAAGTCATTTTCAAGAGCGATTTTTGAAAACCCCTATTACCCACAACAAATCAAAGCATGGCAAATAGAAGTTCAATCTTTCCTCCAACAGAATCCGTTTTAATTTCGGAAATTGGTCGACGGGAACCCCTATCCTTCTCAGTTTGAAAATTTTTAGTCGCAGTTACGTTCAAGCCCAGTCCTGGAATAACAATACACCTGTCAAACTAAACAGCTCCATTCGCTTGTAAAATTTTCACAATTACCGCGAATTTTAAAACTGCTACGCGCATCAGCTGTCAAATCTTCGTTTTACAGACTAAGTTAAATCATGATGGTGTACATTGACCGACAAACTGTTAGAGATCGGGAGCTCTTTTCAGAGCTCACCGAACCCCCGATCGCTTAGCAATCTGTATACGATTGGAAGCTCTTTTCAGAGCCCGCTGAACCCCCGGTCGTCCCACACACTTTTAGTGATCGGGAGCTGTCTTCAGAGCTCACTGGACACCCGTTCGCCCAACAAACTGTATGCGATCGGGAACTCTTTTCAGAGCTCGCTGAACACCTAATCGTTCCACAAACTGTGTGCTATTAGAGCTCTTTTCAGAGCTCTTTGAAACCTCGATCCATCCGATGTTTCTTCACATGGTGCCGTCATACTTTTGTGTTATTAACCCAACGTTTAATTTACAAATAAAGCATGCGCACGACCTCATTGACCCCACAGAAACGACAGCGGTCACTACCAAGTCAACCGCAAACAGTTTGTTTCAATCGTACACGAAAATTGGTGACACTTTGTCCGAACCTGCTACAATTAAACACTCAGAAAAGACATACAAAAAACAACTTTTTCAACTTGCCAGCGATGCTCTCATAGTGAAGAAGAATTATTATTCTAAAGCACTAGAATATCTAAGTATATATCTACAAATTTATATAAAAGGTGATTATCTGTGAGTTTGGCACGTCATTTGGTTTATTAAGTTACATTTTAAATTATAACCCTGTGATGTGCTTTTTGTACCATGAATTTTTACCATCAAACAGTGGCATGCTTCATAATAAACTTTGAAATTTTCAATTAAAATTTATCATCTGCAAGACGGGGTTACCTCTTCTTTGCCTCCTCTGTTATGGCGCGCGCAAACGCCGAAAAGAAAAAGTGCGCAAAGAGTTGATTAGGCAAAGTCTGAGGGCGAGAAAAATAAGAATATTCTCGTAACAATTTTCGCTTAAAGACTACCTGGAGTGAAAGCAGCGTTCTCATGGTTTGCGTATAGTTAAGATTTTGGCGTTTGTAGTTCACGTCAATTCGTAACAAATGTTTTAAAATATTGTGAAATAGGCTTCAGTTATAGCAAAAACAGTTAGCATCCTTTGCCTGTTCACACGGCCGAGTTTTTTGCGTGCGAGATAAGTGTGTTTGCTCTTAGAATGTCGTCGACTAGGTTGTTAATGGACGCGCCACCAATAAGTTTATTGAAGAACACATGCTCAATGATATGTGGCTCCACAGCTCCTAAAGACGTAAGTTTGATGAGTAGCTGACCAAAGCGACCAGACGACTCCGGGCGATTCAAGCGCACGTATTCTTCGAGAGCATTCCTCGTCTTGTTTTGAATTGCTTGGATCTGAACCAAGTCGGTGAGTTGGTCGTTATCTGTTGACACATCAATTGAAGAATTGTTGGTTAAAAGTCGAAATAGTACTTGATCACGTCAAACATGATCGCTACAGGCGCCATCCATTCACATTTAAGTCGCTATTCCAGCCATGGATGATAACAAACTCTCGTCATTTATAGAGATTTTTTTGACATTTTACATAATGGTTATAAAATAAAATGGCCGACCGGCCTGAGGGAGAAATAAATGTACAGAACGTTACCGACGGTATGAAATATTTGAATTATGTTTTTTAACTGATCCTCGCTCTGAGTTATGAGAAAGAAAAGCTTTATTTCATTTATTACGCAAAAATTGGCGGATGAAATTTAAGTCGAAATCGAACTGCCAATCCTACCTTTGTAATAGGGGAACTGAAAATAAACTTCTTAATTTCCTTTTCCATAAAAACTAAGAGATTTGTCCGTCCCTAAACGAACGTAGGTGTATGTGAGAACATTGTCACAAATATGGAGATAAAAAGTCAGAAAATGTTGTATAAACTGAGACAAAAAGGAAAAAAAAACAAAATTCCCAGTTGTTGACACAAAAAACACTTTCTACACAGAAACGAAATCACAATTTTATTAGAATGAGCACGTTTGTGGAAATAAGTATGGCACACTTTGATGCTAAGTAAACTTAAAAAGTGCATTATCAGAGAATCGAGATGAAACATTTTTCACTGATAATAATAGCAGGCTTAAAACACTTAGTAAATACTTGATGCCATGTAAGTTAGCGGTAAGCAATTATTATTTTTTCCTTATGTCAATTTCATTCTTTTCTCAAGAGAATGATCAACACTTTTGTTTCTTTTTTGCAACAAAATACAAAGCTTTTGAAATTTTCTTTAAGAATTTGGTATTCCTTTTTGATCTCACAGCAATTAATAGTTAGATATGGTGTTGGTTCTGCAAAGGTGGTCTCCATTTGCTGAAAGAGCTGATAGCGAGTTCGACGCACGCAACAAAAATTTGATATGCGTTTGGCCTTCCATATGTTACCAGCTGGTTATGTGTGCAACGCTTTCTTTCCATACAAACCGTCTTCAAAATTGAAAATTGGTTTTTTGAAAAGCATTAAAGTTCTTTTTTTGCGATGGAAGACGAGAAACGAAATCTAACGTCAGAAACGGTTCAAACTTGGTTTTTACCTTCCCACATTATAACACTAGCAGAAAATACAAGTCAAAGCAAATAACAAATAAGTTTTGATGAATAGGTTTTTCAAACAAGAACAATAGAATTGTGAGCTTAAAAATGGCTACAAGCTTTTTGAATAAATGTGTCACTAATGAAGAGCTAGTGAAAGAGAGAAACTTTATATTTGTGTAATTATCTGTTGGAAAATTCAATAATAACAGCAGAAGTCATTAAATTAACATCATTGCAAATATACATTCTCGGAGGCAATTTTTAAATCCCAACAGCTTGAAGTCCATCGGGGCAGGGACAAAAGGCGAAGGGCGCGCGTCAAGGTAGTGAACAATTGTGTCACAGTATTTATCATTAAAAGTATGGCTTATCATAAAATTAGAAATTCGCAATTTTGGAGAAAGAAAATTAAACATTTAAAACTAAAGCTACCCCTCGCTTTTAGACAAAGTGAAATACACTTTCTGCAAAATTGAAGTGGTAAATGCCCGAAATATGATGTATTGTTCCAAGGAGATTAACTGAAAAACTTTTTCTTAATTTGTAGGGGAAATACAATATAAAATAAAACAATGAAAATTGCTAAAAAAAGATAAATAAGGGCGAAGTAAAAACCTTAAATTGGTGAAGCTACATGGGTTTCAAACAGAAAAGTAATAAAAACCAAAATTTTATCTGAACCATTGTTAATATCTGCTGATGTCAAAAATCCCTAAACTATAGTATAACTCAGAAGCGATATCAATTATTTTTTTCAAGAAGAAAAGCTGGAAGATTCTCCTTTTCGTCAAGTTCGAGAACGCAGAATTGTGCGATTTAACAAACTACATGGTCCGCCCACCCGTTTTTTAGTGCGATTTCTTAATGGCTTAGGCCAATAAATATATCATACACAGGGCAGAAACCATATCATCCAGACGAGGTAATAAGATTAGTTTTATTTCTGTTTGTACAGAAGGTGTCAAACAGTGACCAGCCAATTATGTCCCGAGTAAGTCTAAAAAAACACACATCTCTTTTATTTTAGTTATAAAAACGATTTTGCCTAAAAATCACGAGAAAAAATTTGATTTGGTTATTTTCATTGCTCTGACTTTTCCCCTTTATCTTTACCTTATGATTATTTTGCCGAGACGAGGAAAGACACTGCGACTTCCGCGTTAGAAGTTTCGACAGCCGTAAGGAAAGTAAATGTAACTCTTACAAAAAAATAACAGTTTGAATCTTTAATAATAAAAAAAGGAACAAAATAAGGCAAAGGAGAATATCGCTGATGCAGATCAAGATATTATCGAGTTCTGAGCACAACACAACTCAGTTATACAAACAAACTGCTTGCAACGAGTTCAAAGAAACTCGCTATTTCAAAAGTTATTGTAATTTCTGAAAAAGCGAAAAACGTGCTATAAAAATTGAAAGATTTCATATTGAGACTGTTACGTTTATGGCCTTTGAGTTTGCACAATCGACTACTTCCTCTTCCAATATTTCCCGCAGTACAGTTCAATGACTCAGAGCTATAGAAATCGATCTTTGCAGCCTCAATATATTTTTGAGGCAATTACCACACAACGAATTAAAGAATTGAAAACATATGCGGCGAACACTGAATTTTTACCGCGATATAAACATCTCCCTTGTCGAAAACGAATTTGAAGTCATTTAGATTTTAAGCAACTAAAGTTGGCAGACAAAAACTATCAAATTGAAAGTTAATAATTTATTCAAGGCTGCTTTAAGAAATAATCCAGAACGTTGTTTTATACGTAAAAAAACACGCACACGAAATTGGAAATTGCGTTAAAATTCATATAAAAACAATTTCATTAGCTATTACGTTTTACGGGTGTGACGCAGAATCAATTGTTGATTTTCATTTAAAAGTCAAAAAAGGAAAAAAAAACTGTGCGTAATACTTGCATTGAAACACGCAAGAACTTACCCTTGGGCTGAACCTGGGTTCACAATTTATTGTAAAACTCATTTTGCTCGGTTGGGAAAAACACTCATCGTCGTTGTCATTTCCGCAGAAAATCGATTAGCTCATTTTTAACTCGTCAGCCGGAAGGGCCTCTCGCGGCAAAGTCAAACAGTTTTGAATAACCTCCGATTACGGCTAAAGTCAATGTTCAATACTCAACAAATATTAATGTCTAGAACATCAGCCCTCGCACTTAATAAGTTCGCGATCAAATCATTCCCCTAAAAGCTTTGCTAATCCGCATGTTAAGAATATTTCTCTGAGGAGCCGAAAACAGGCTAGCTAGGGACAAAATGAAACGAGGAGGGAAATCACGCAATTTCAAATGAAATAACAGCAACAGACTTCCGGTGAAAGATCATGGCGATAAATTAAATACATTTTAGTTAGCTTGGGCGACTTTCTTTTCCGTTCTTCCGTATCAAAGTGTCAAACGCATGCTAATTTGCAAATTCATGGCGATGGCCTTGAATAAGCGCAAAAGAGATTAACAATTTTTCGAGAATTAATTCTAGCCACTTCATAAACGTAATGTTGTGAAATCAAGAAAAAGGCGTACTTCAGTCGATAATTTGTCGCGCACAACGAAACAATAAGATCAGTATTACCTGAAAACGAAACTTCCCAACAAATACTGTTGATATTAAGAATCTGCAGCCGATATCGTGTTTTTGAATCCGCTATTTACACTGTTTTAGCTATCATGGGTTCAAATATAGACTGGGCAATAGCAGGGTCATAGGCTATGCAACGGAAGGAGGTCATGAACGAGCCATGAACACTTTTGCATCTCGAGAAGGAATCCCACATATAATTTCATTATCAACATTGAAGTCTCATATTTTCGAGCGATATATCGACTCTGTATTCATCTCTAATTTAACTTGTTTTCAGAGCTGCGTCTCTTTCTTTTCGAAATTTGAGCGACCCCAAAGCCGGCATAAACTCCGCAGCCAATTGTAACTTTTTAGAAATAAAACAGAGGGAAAAAGTTAATTCGCATGTTGCTCGAAATTCCTCAGTTCAGTTAAAGCGAAACGCATTGTGATCTCCACTCGATACAAATTTCGTTTTTGACGCCCATCGAATAAAGTGAACAAAAAAATTGCCATAGTCTTTCTTACCTGGGTTAAAAAGTACCAGGGCCTTCAAAAGGGTAAACTCTGTTCTGTTCAAACCGAGCTGCACAAGTTTGAAAACAACCTCATTCAACTTCCCCATGTTATGAAGAACTCTATCCACATGTTCGCTCGCTGTTTTTTCCATCACATCAGCAACCAGCGGGGCTAATTCGAAAGGCATCGCCCATTGAACCAGGTTTATGACGAATATTTTACACCAATTTTCCTGCAAGAGGCTCACTTGGTCGATATGCGACAGTTCAGCGAAGTGGCGAACGTTCTTTGCCCAATGTATTGACATGAACAACAACCGGGCGGCGATCTCTGTGGTGCTTTCTGCTGGTAATTTGGTGGCGACGTGTACGCTGCCGCTTTCACTTCTGGCAGCCGTGCTGTCTTCTGCAATCGATCTTGTATCACTTTTAGTCTCCGGCGGCCTTTGATAAGGCTCAACAGCCTGCAAATGGTAAACAAAGTCCGACAAGGACACAAAATCTGCCTCTCTTCGGATATCCCCTTTCAACGGCTGGCGGCTACGGTGTCTTTTTCTTCCCTTTTCAAACTCATTCGTTCTGGTTTGCTGTACAGCTGATGAAAACAAATGAAAAAGATTCTCCTTCAGAAGAGAAGAAAAACAAGAGGCTGAGCAAATTACTTTCACCTGTAATGTTGATAAATCTGAACTCATACCTGAACGAAATTAAAGACAATATTTGCGCTACTAAAAAAACGGAAAATTCATCAACAACAAAGCCTTTATAATATCTTGGTCAAATATTTTACCCCGAAATTGTATTTATTATTTCATCAGAGTGAAAATGTTTCTCACCTGCGAATAAATTTAACAACTCTTTTACAAGAGATGTGTTTTGGAAATGTTTGAAAAACTTTGCTTCGTCCCTCAGTGTCGAAAGCAGATCTTTCTCTCGGCTGACATTGGCAACGAAGTTTGTGCAAATATACCATAAGAGAAAAAATGTTTTTCTCTTTCTTAAATAGTCATCCAATTCATTCAAATTATGTGAATCTCATGAGTTTCTTTGCCGGGAGACATTTCACCAAACATATTTGGGAGGTTAAACTAGTAATCTATCATCCAACTGAGAGCAATTCCTGACAGACAATGAAATGATTTAGAAAAAGAAAAATAAATGTCAGTTTGCTGCTCACCTTCCCTTTTCATCCCCACCGTTAGACACTTTCTCATTCTGCAATACTGGCAGCTATTCCGAAAGCGCTTGTTCACTGGACAGCATCCTGCCACCCTACAAGTGTAGTACAGCCGTTTCTTGATACTTCGCTTAAAAAATAACTTGCATCCTTCACAAGTATTGGCTCCATAGTGCCGCCCTGTGGAATGATCTCCGCAAACTGAACAGATCTCCATCCGTGATCGGCTCTGCTCGTTCGCTGTCGCTTATCGTTGTTGCTATGTTATTTTTTTGCACGCTCGAGTGAGCAATCTTAAGCAATGACCTTAGAGACTCTATCAAGCCCCCCTTAAAATTTATAGACATCTATGTATACGGTATTATGTGCTGTTGCCGCCGGTAAAACCATTGCACATGTCACAATTACGAACGGTTATGAATGATTGATTAGTATAGGGCGAATAATTAACATTGAAACGTGAGTTGCGCTCGTTTTATTATATTTTTTTTCCGCAACTCTGTTTTCTTTTCATGTCATCTGTTGAATATTTATACCCTCTAACTTGCAAAACAAAGACTGTTTTGACACATAAGGAAGCAGCTTTTTAATATAATGCGACTCGAATCACGTTTTAATACGGTCAAAGTTATGACTTCTCAGGCGCACCTAAACAATAACGACATCTTCGTGAATCTTTTTTTCTCAGTTTTCTTAATTCATAACTCGTGTCATCAACGGGTCTTTAACTTATCCTGCCTCCATCTAAGAAGTTATGCAGAACTTGTTTATTTTGGTTTTTGAAGAAACATCTAATTCTGTACACGCTGGGAGCGAAGGATTACCACTTTGTGAGAACTTCGCTGTGAAACAATATTGACAGATGTGGCATTCGCACGCTCTTCAAAACAAAACGCTTCGATAAGACACAGCCTTCCGTTTAACCAAGTGGATTCACTATTCACTCAACAGAATATTTAAATTGGTCCTTTTCAAGATAAGATACATACTCGATATCAAACGCAGTTAGAAAAAAAACGACCGATCGGATGAAAATAAGGAGTGTTTTCAGAAAACGTTTGAAAGAATCGAGAGTTTTAAAAGACAAGTCGATTATAAGAGGCTAGGAAAAAAGGTTTTTCTTATCGTTACTATAGGTGTTTTCCAAGTAAATGAGAATTGTGATATACAGTAATCATTTGAAAACCGCATGTGAATTTAAAGATGATGTTTTCGCGCTCCGATAAAAGAAAACATTAAATTATGATTTGCAGTTTCGCACGCGTTTATTTCAGAAAATATACTTGTCATTCCGGATATCAAGATGAAATAAATAAAGTCGTAGGCGGTCTCAAGGCAATCAAGGGAAAGTCACGATCAAGGTGTATGTCACTTGATAACAAAGGCCTTCCTTTTAGTCAAGAGGAAGCGGCCATATTGAACTATTAGTATCCACAGCCCAATTTCCATGCCAATCTCAAAATCTGCAAATGCTTGAGAGCTGCTCGCAGATATATCAGTTAAGGTCAACTAGCGCGTGCTTAATTAACCACCGAGCAATTTTCACATCACGATATTTTTAATTCGCCTTAAAGAGACACTCGCTCTTCAAAGAACCACATAACGAGAGCAAATAACAACTTCTTAAAGAAATAACGAGTCGATAATCGATTTCGAATCTCTCGAAGAAAATGACGACTGGATTCCAACGAGAACAGGAAAGTTAAATCAGACAAATAAAAGGCCTTTGAGTTTTCCTTTGCCAATACTTGTGATTTGAATTGGATTCAAACGGCGAATAAATATAGATTTCAAATTAAAACGTCGCCAGAGGGTGTTTTGCTTTAGTTCGTCAGCATTCGCGGGAAAATTTGCGCCATTTACCAGCTGTGACCGTTTATGATTTTCTTCATCTATTTAAGTCCCTCACCAGAGACTTTTGAATTTAATAAATATACCATTCGCCCGCCAAAAAAAAATAGTTTAAAACAATTGCAAACTAGGTTAAATTTCGTTTCTTTTGAGGTATTTAGCGGAGTGACTATTTACCCGAAGGCTGATCCAATACTTTTTGCATTAATTTTTATTAAACTGAAAGTGAATGAGTCCGAATTCTATTTAAGTTAGAGATATGAATAGTTACACTGAAGCACTTTTCATCCCTGATGTCAGTTTTGCAAAAGAAGAAATACTGTAAAGCGCATCTAAAGTGGTACCTCCAGACCCCAGTCATTTCTTTCATTCGTTAGTTCTAAAGTTCAATACACTCTGCATGTCTTCTCGCTTGCTAAAGCATTGATGCAAAATGCAACCAGCTGGAACAAGATGTTCCGGAAAAATACATAAATTGAGTCATGTTTTTGTTCATTCTTTTCTTTTTTATTTCTTAATTTGCTCAAGGAAAGTGAAAGAGTTACCATAAATCTTTTGTCTCAGTCATAGACTTGCCATAAATTTTCAATTTGCCTGAACGCTTTACTGTTAAGTTAATTCTTAGACCTGCTGGGAAGTTTGCGTGGACGCGAAATAGAGACAATCTAAATTAGAACTGCGCCAACAAGGGAACAGGAAGATTTATGACTAAGCGTTGTCGCTCACAGCCAGTCCCAGCTTGAACAGTGCGACTCCGCTTAATAAGCTAAGTTGTCAAACAAATCAAACAGACATAAATAAACCGTCTCTCTCTTTATAATTATTTCGTTTTGCGGCAGTATGGTTTGACACGAGCATATTATATTATCCAAGCATTCAATCGAGTTTTTTTGAGGAAAGCTCTTAATTTTAGTGAAACTTTGACGATTCCTTTGTAAAAAACGAACTATCTTATCATCCACTGAAAAACAATTTGTCATCATGATAAAACGTATCAGTTTTGTTGTAAAAGTTTTGCGTAGATACAAGGGTCTCTTTCCAACAGAAGTTCAAAACATGTTATGTATTTCTGCAATTTCTTAGAACAGAATGGAAATTTATTTAGAAAAAATAGTTTATAGGCTAAACAGATTAAAAACCCAGTTTAATATCCATAGATCAAAGATTATAATATATATAGATCAAAGATTATAACCGAAAAGAGCAGCAAGGAATCAGTACTAAAGCTGAAAGAGATTTTCTTTGAGAAGTTTTGGTGTATTTGAAACAAACAAAACAAAAAAACAAAAACAAAACACCCAAAAAATGTTAAAAAAAATCATAGATTTTCCCTCAGGATATTTCCTAGAGCGGATGATGAATAGATTTAGTATGAAGGTAGTCTTGGATTTGGAGTTTTCAGGATATTAACTTAAAATTGCGATAACGTACCGATGCAGCTCTCTAAATCCGACTCACCCTTGACAAAATTGGTTTACACTTCTTAAAACAATAAGCTTTTATTTGGAGCCAGTAGATGAATTGTATAAATTCTATCAGTGATACACCTGAAAGGCAAGATCCCACACGCTATATGGATGTCATTCATTGACATGTGGATTCACAGGACCGAAACTCGAAAATATTCTTAGCTCAATAAGTGAAACATAAGATGATGAAAAAAAAATGTAAATATGAAAACTATCAAAACAGCTCGTTGCAGAGTGTGGGTGCCTCTAGATCAGACTTGCAACAAAAAAAATTGTATCCAGGAAGATTGACGAGACCGACTGAGGAAACTAAACCGATAATATTAGGAGGAGAATGATTTAAAGCAATAAAATATTTATTTATGATCGTGAATTTTCCATTTTATCGTATTCGAGATAAATCTGTAACGATTTATCCTTCAGAATACCATAACATCCTGCGTGAGGATATGGTATATGATAGTAAGCGTCGAAAGGGGGTTATGGAAAGGAGAGAATACTGTAAGGCAAATAACAGAATGTTTCAAAATACTTTGATAACAAACATTGCCTTTCTCCTGAAGTAAATAATTTTAACAGTATCCATTATAAGTGCAGTTGTAACTGTACAATGTCAGCGAAACACAAACTTGAATTTGAACGTAGCAATTCCTCCGATAACAGTTTCATACTGTGTCTTTTCTGCACATTGTAAGTCATAAGACTAGAAAACCTGAGGGCTAGCATAGAAGAGCACGGATTATATCAAGTGGGAAAAGGTAAACTACATTATCCAGATAGAATCAGCTTGTGTTCCGAGATGAGACTCCCCCGGGGTTCCGCCAAGATCCCCGCCGGAGTCCATGAGGTTCGTAAGATGAAGTCAAAACTGGCTTTTAAGAAGCACTTCACGCACATGGTTTGAATTCAAAACACCAAGCGGGTACCGGATGTCAACACGGGTGACTTAGCAACCCGACAGGAACGAGTTCTGCCAACCGTTTCATTTCACTACAAACCACCGGTAAATAATTCAACTGGTGAGTTTTAAGGACGCAGACTTTGATCGTTTCCTTGTCTTCCTCAAAAAGATTCGCTGCCATGTTGGAGAAGAAATGCTCAAATAATCGCTCTACGCGTCGTTATCTACGAGCGTTGCTGGTGTTGGTCGGCCTGTGCGTAGTGGTGGCAGGAGTAGGATTCTTCTTCAGGGATACGCCATTTGTCCGCAACGTTCAGAGGCGCTTCATGATGGGAAGGTAGAGCATAATGCTATTTACATCCTCAAATTGTGTTGCTACTCTAAGCTAAAGGAATATAGCATCAAAATTTGGTCTCACTCGCAAGAAACATCCAGTACAGACGCTCTAGCCGAGCGTCTAGAAAATGAGCTGTGCCACTCAAAAACTGTCTCGCCATGAATTTTGATGAATTACCCCCAGATTTAAACGCAACAAGAAACAGATTCTACACTTCTTGATTACTGCAGGTGAAACTATCAAAGCTTGCAAAAAACATAAAATACCCTTTGTGACTTAGCAAAAATTTATCTAAACTCCTGAGCTAAAACACCATAACTACCGTTTACATGCGATCTCCATCATTGTTTATGTCGCATTTAACACTTTACAAGATTCAAATAAAAAACATTCAAAAACTGTATTTAACTTCAACATTGTTACAATAGCATACAATCGAAAAATTTCCCTTGAATTTCCCTAATCACCAAATTGCCTTTTAGCTTTGTTCAAGTTTGATTCGTTGTTACAATTTTGTGACGCGGATCCCTTCAGATAACCTTTGAGGCACCAGTAACTTTACAGCGACTAACATCGACCATAATTGGCTTGATCACCGCTCTATTGACCCTTTCCCAGAAGTGATTGATGCGTAACTTCTCCCTATAATATCCGTACATTATCCAGGAAACAGGTAATGAGACTACTCAAACTTATCAGAAGGTAGTAAAAGTTGTTATCTTCATCTAACACCAAATTCTCTTCACTAATTTACAAGGAAATGTACAACAGCTAGAGGGGAGATTTAATCATATCGCTGTGATCTCCATGCGATCGTGATCGTTGTAATAATTATGATCGTCAAATAATTCGTGGATGGAGACCACCCCTTTCATTTTTGTACTCGCAAATATCACTCAGTGCAAAACATTGTCTGTCGGAGCGTACCGCCTTGAAGTTTTCAAGAGATGATAAACTTTTAATAATGCTTTCTTGAAGTTTCCGCTTGTTTTTTAAAACCTCGTCCACAACTTCAGTGGAAAATTTTAGTTGAAAGAAAGCTGTTATCCTTTTTGCCAAGGATGTGAAACAGATGAAAAATCTGATTTCCTCACGAGGACTCGAACCACATATCTTCAGATTTTGTGCTCCGACGCTTTACCACCGAACCACTTGGAAGCTCAGATATTTCCTTCATCTCAAGTTCACAACAAAATGAAAAACAATCTTCTTCATTTGATCACCTAACCGAAATGGTGCCATGTTCCTCATTAATTTACACAGTTCGATTCGAGGACGAATAACGGAACAATGACCCCACTTAACTAACTCAACAGAAACTTTTACACAAAACGAAAAAGACTAAAGGGAGCTGCTGACAAACAACTGTGGAATCAGGAAGCTGAATAAATGCTAACTGACCATTAAGTTTTCTAAAACGTTGCTTAATTAGCGTGATTACAGAATTAAGTTTACAACGTTGCTGCATGATGGAGAGATTTCCTATTAAGTGCTGAGCAAAATCCAGGATGGCTTTCGTTTTGCTCTATTTTGCTGTATGATTGGTCGACAAAACTTGTGCCACGTTCTCAACCAATCAGATCCAATATTAAAACCAATCGCGATTTGGTCACTGGCGTTTTCCCGCGCTAATGTAAGTTCTCATTGATTTCAAGTGATATTTTCCTTTCTTCTGATTGGCTGTTTTAGTAAGCTTAATTTTGGTTTTGCGGAACTCATTCAAAATAAGCCCTGAGAAATTTTTTTCTATGTTCCGTCTTTTCTGCAGTGCAGTAAAAGCCAAACTCCCAAACAAGCAGCACTTTTATCAACATGCCGCTGTGGCTGCTGACAATGCTGAATGCTCTAAAATCGGTCGTAACATTCTAAAGAAAGGAGGTTCTGCTGTTGACTCTGCGATCGCAGCCATACTGTGTGTTGGTGTAATCAACCTGCATTCCGCTGGTATTGGAGGCGGTGGGTTTATGATGGTCTACGACAGTCACAAGCGGTCAGCAGAGATGATTGACTTCAGAGAGACCGCGCCTCAACGAGCCGGGGTAGATTTATTTAAAGGAGATCCAATGAATGGGATTCTAGGTAAGATTAAGTATGTTTGTCGAAGAAATTGCATGTATGTTATTGAAGTTTACTCCACCGGAAATGGGACACTGGTTGGCTGGTGAGGTTCAACGAAGGTTTCAAACGACCAATCAAAATGATAAACTAAACAAAGAAAACGACGAAAGCGTTGCGGAAAATTCAATTTCGGAACGTGTGACGAGGTGGGAAAAAGGTTTAGACTTAGACTTAGAAAGGTTTAAAAATCTTGCGACACGATAAGGTATGGATCCCAATTCTCTGAGATCGAGTCCTTTTACGGCAAAAATTCTCCTTCCATCCATTACTTATCAATCATTTCAGCTTGAAATTTTCCAACTTATTGTGAATGTGCGACTTTTCAAGAATGTAGAAAATAGCTTTATTGGAAAGAACAGCATCAACAATCACTTTTCAATTCTAGGTGGCTTAGCAGTAGCAGTTCCTGGTGAACTGCGAGGCCTGGAGGCAGCTTGGAAGAAATACGGCAAGCTACCGTGGGAAGAATTGTTTAAACCAGCCATTCGCATTGCAAAGAAAGGTTTCATCATTCCAGAGACAGTAGACATAGCAATTGGCATTTGGAAAAATCTCCTGATGAAGGACAAGACATTCAGGTGAGATTAGAAATCATTTTATTGGGATAACAGAATGATGATTGTCTGCTGTTTTCTTGGTTCTGATCGCTTTCTGGAATGTTTCATTCATTTATTCTATGATTGAATGACTGACAGGTTGATCGATGGATTGATAATCCATCGATCGATCAATCGTTTGATACAAATGTATACTGATCTTTTGATCAACGGATGGACTTATCGATTCGTCGATTAATCGACTGATTAACAAATTACGTGATTGGATGATATTTTTTTACTGTCTCAAGTGACTGTTCGACCATCTAATTAACTAATAAATGAATTGCTTATATCTCTTATACCTGCTTCTCCATTTTTTGAATTTTTTCCAAGCAGTGCATGTTTCTTCACACATTAGAATTTGATCGGCTGTTCAGTCAGTATAACAGAAACGATGCTTTGATTGGCTGGTTGGTCAATCATATCATGCGCGTTTCGACACAAAACACTCCGAACTAAAAAATACCTACGCTGATAACATTTTTAAAAGTTTACAATATAAGCAGAAAGAACACAGACTACAGTTCAGACTCCATATTTTACCATTTTGATTTACACAGGCGTGTTTTTGCCAAAAACGGAAAGCTTCTTCGAAAAGGAGACCTTCTTAAGAGACCGCAATTGGCTAAGACACTACAACTTATTGCGCGAGCAGGAAGCGCAGAACCATTCTATAACGGACCAATGAGTAAATCAATAGTCAAAGAAGTGCGTGCTGCTGGAGGGGTGTTGACGTTGAAAGACCTCAAAAACTACAAAGTTGAGTTTCGCCCTGTGCTAAAAAGCAAGTTGGACGACATGACGTTACTTAGCACTCCTCCACCAACCGCTGGCCCAGTGTTGGCCCTGACTCTGAATATCTTGAAAGGTAAGCGGTTGACCTGTACCAAGCCGTTAGAAAAATTATACGTTTTCGCCAAGTTTAAGCCGGGTGGATAAAAAATTGCACTTGGAAATGAGGCTTGCATTCATATGAAACAGACCCAAATGCATCTGTTTGGAAAGGCTGGAAAATGGTAGACTACGTAATGTAGGAAAGGGGGAGGAGGTTGCTCCTGATGAGATGTAGACGAAAAATAGCATCCTGCCAAAATAACCGTAAAAGTACAAACAAACAAAAAAAAAGTAAAAAGTACCATAAGTTGTCCCACAGAAATAATCTCCATTCCACCTTGTCCACAGTGACGTCGACACTAGTGAAGTGTAATTTTACTATTGATCTGCAACAGCACCACATCTTCGGGAATGCATCATCCTGTATTCTATTTATCAACCTTTTTTACTCCCTGTATTGTATCAGAACACGACTGAGCTCATTAATTTTCATGCATTTCCTTTACACCAAAGGGTATAAATTAAAGCAGAGAGATCTTGAGGATAACCCAGTGAGAACATATCATCGCATTATTGAAGCATTTAAGTTTGCGTACAAGTATCGATCATTGTTAGCTGACCCTAACTACGGGAAAGACGTCAATAAGGTTTGTGTCGATAATCAACAAATTCTGCTCTGTTGGTATGTGTTATAGTATATTGGTCGTTGCGTGACACACAAGGTATTGTCGTGTTATAATACGTTGGTCCTGTAGAAACGCACAAAGTTTTGTTGAGTCACGCGGTAAGATGGTTTTCGCATGACGCTCAAAGCATAGTTGTGTTACTCGAGTAGCAAAACGTAAAGTCGAGTTACAATAAGTTAGTTTTTTCGTAATTTGCAAATAATTCTAGCTGGTGGGGATCCTCTGTAAAAGACAATTGGCGAATGTTTAGTGATATCATGATCTTCCTACAAAAGCTAAAACTCTGATCACCTATCTGTGTTTTTACCAGACCGTGAAAGAAATGATGAGCACAAAACTAGCCGACGACATCAGACGCCAAATCACGGACACCATGACGCATTCTCAAGATTATTATGGCTCAAGGTACCATGTACCCATCAAAACTGGAACGACAAGCTTGTCGGTGTTGGCTGCAAATGGAGATGCAGTCTCACTTACAAGCACCGTAAATGGATAGTAAGTAACTGGAGCTTGAATTCATGACACCGCGTGTTCCTTTCTTGGTTCTTTCTTGCAATACTTATTGTTATCACCAACAGCGAATCAATACCCATCTTATTATTTTGGGAAGTTTGTAATCAATCAAAACGCTTGCACGCAACTGGTCTGTATACCGAGACCGCGTGACTTAATAATCTCCGGCTAAAACTAGAAAACTCGCCATAGGGAAATTTTTCGCTTCTCTGAAAAGGGATTGTTGGGAGACAGATAATCGGGCATAATCAGAATTGTGTCCAAATAAACATAATTCTTAAAACCAACAGCGACGATAGGATATACAAAAATGTGTCTCCCCATTTATCAGAATTATAACCGTCTTTAATTACAAACAAAAGTATAAGCTCGTAATGCGTGCAAGAGTGACAGACATGAAAAACGGGCAGCTGTGCCAGAAGAACTTGAGTAGCTGACAAAATCTTCGAATTAAAGATTCAACTATTGGGGCGCTAGCCACTTGATTTTACAGAATACGCACAAGAGTGACATATATGGTGACGCTTGTTCTTAAACGTCAAAAAAAAAACGGACTGTTGCGCTGAAAGAACTTGAGTAGTTGAACAAATTTTCAAATCAACTTGGAGCGCCAGCTTCGTGAGTCCAAGGATATCATTGACGTTACCGTCTTTTGCTTTGCTGCAGTTTTGGAGCCAAGTTTCTCTCAAACAAGCTTGGCTTCGTCTACAACAATGAAATGGACGACTTCAGTGCACCGCACGTGACAAATGAATTCGGACTTCCGCCATCTCCTGTCAATTTCATCAAACCGGGCAAGAGACCGCAGTCCTCAGCCGTGCCCGCGATAGTACTGGATAAAAAAGGAAATGTCTTAATGACGATTGGTGCTGCTGGGGGTACCATCATTACAACATCTGTTGCACAGGTAAGCTTGAGTGGAGATACAATGAAATACCGCATATAGAAATTTTTATCAAGTGCTAAGTAGCTAAGGCATAGCGGTCAACAAGTATGACATATTTCTGATACCTGCAACCCTGCACACAACAATTTGTTCATGGCTACAATATTGGAAATATTGCACGCAATAAATATCATATCTCAGTTCTCCAGCGTCACATGAGGTCCATAAATTCCAAAATTGAAACAAGACATGATAGTTTTGTTTTGTCTTTTTTCCGCAGGCGATAATGAACTACTTTTGGTTCAAGAAAAATCTGCAGACCTCCATTACAATGCCGCGAGTACACGACCAGCTCTATCCTAACTTTGTATTCGCTGAGACTAGGTTTCCAACAGAGGTCGTCAATGGCCTCATTTCCTTGGGACATAAGGTTTGTAGATGCGTATACATAGAGAAAAGTGTGTCCGATGAATACCGAATTTCAGGCTTGGCCTTCGCTCTGCGGCCAAGAAAACTCGCGCCACTTTCTCAACCGATCAGATGCAAAACTAAAATCAATCATAATTATGCAAAAAGTGTATAAAGCATTTTTCAACTGAGTGACAAAAGTAATTCAGAATTGCGCTGGTGTTACTTTATTTCGCTTAGTGATTATTGGAAGTACCTCATTCTTTCTTTCCCACAGCGAAAATGTTCTTTTTCTCCAGCATCAAAGCGAACGTCTCTGCGCTTATTCGCTCGTTCACCGTTTGCTTTGATGTCCTCTCCCAGTCTCACATATGGGAACTCACACGAAGGCTAACGTTTTTGTTACATCTGATCACACAGTGATAACAAAATTATTTCAGTTATTTCCTACTCAGGAACATTCTTCAATATGTCCTTAATGATTGCAATTGTATTTTCATTTTAGGTCAACGTGAGTGATATAAGTCACGGTGTGGTCCAGGGAATTGTGAGAAATCCCCACAAATACAAACTAATTGACAACCGTGGAAAAAGAAAAGGATACGTGTACGGCTTGGTACCACAGATCTACGCAGAATCTGACTACAGGAAAGGAGGACAGCCCGCTGGATATTAAAACATTATTTGCCTTCTCACTAAACGACGATTTGCTAAAGGATTTATGAAATACTCACAAAAAAATGAGGATAATTTTGAACTACAAGGATCATTTGAGACGTTACACGTTTGCAAAGTCAACCAAGTTGTAATATATTGGATAGGTAATTCTGTATTGGTCCAAGGAGTAAGACAAAATGTTAATCTCCACTTCGATCTTTGAACCATGCATGGGAAACTCTCTGAAATCTCACCTTTTGTAGCTTTCAGAACTTTCAGAGCAAGAATTTTGAGTCGTTTTTCGCGTAAGTTCATTTTATAGTAGATGACATAAGTCAATTTAAGGTTTTGGAATAGGTATCTACATATAGTACAACAAGCCACAACGAATGTGAATAAAAACTGCGTTTTCCACCAGTTCAAACTAGTTTTTATCTTTTATATGAAGATTATTGCATTGGATGCATACTGTTTGTCCTAATAGTATCAAAGTCGTGGTGAACTTTGAATCCTGTTCATTCTGTTTTGGCCAAAATCAGCGAAACAGAAATCTTCAGATAGGTCTTATGATGTTTTTTCCATTTCTGCTAACTTTGAACTTCAGTAACTTTTGACCAAAACAACACATTCAGTGAGTTTCAGCCGCTCAATTGGTCAATCACAATAAAATGTGATGTCGATCCTGAAGTGTCTTGTAATGTTTTGACTTAACGATTTTTACACGCGTCATTAGCTACTTATCACAGATAGCAATAACTCTAGCAGTGGCTCTGGCACGGTTGACTTCAGTGGCCCCTGGTGCATAAAATAATTGTTTCAGCCCAATAATCTGCAAAGTTACTCTAAATAAGTTTACTTCCCGGCTACCTAGTTCCCTCTCTAACCGTTTCTTCGATGGGAGGTTTCCTCATACACTTCTCGCAACTTCTTACTGCTGGCTTATTTAAACAAAGTTTAACCATTGTAAACCATCTTCAACTTTGTGGCCGAACCTTTCATCTGAACATTTATTTTTGTTTACAAAGTCAAGAGGGCCGAAAGCTGGCATTTGAAAGAACATTTATTTCATTAAATCGATCCTCATACACGGAAAAAACTAACTGATTTCCCTGTAGTGTAAATAACCAACCCTTGTGACTCCCTCTCAGCATGTTTTTTTCCGCCAGCTATTTCCCCCTAACATCCTTAACTGTCCATTGGAGTAATGTTCAATGAAATGTTCACATTATTGCGAATCTGCATTGGATTTTCTTCACTACGCTATATCATTGGTCCAGAAAAATTGCGCCGTCTTCCATCCTAAATGAAGCTAAGCTGAGCGAGGCTAAAAAAGTCGAGACTTGTAATTGATCACGTGCGTTCCCGCGTTTGAATTGGGGCTAGTTTAACTATTGACGTACTTGAGTTCTCGTTGACTTCTTAAAGTTGTGGTTATGACCTTTGTTAGTATAACTGAATAAGGAAGACACTTTGGTTTTGGAATTAAAAATAAGAAACAGTCTATCATTTAATTTAAAATTTTAGTCGTAAACTGCGCATTTTACAGTAAAGTTTTTATTTATTTATTACTTGTTCATTTTACTAAGGTTTGGTGATTTGTGTTATAATGAATTAATTACAGATGTACTTTCTTTAGAAAAGTTTTAAGGAGGTGTCGAGTAAGAAGTATAATACTCAAAGTAAACAACCCATGGCGAATCATGGCTGAGAAGTTCTGCAATCTAACATATTAAGATAACGATTCTACAAACATTACTATCCCTACTGGCCTGAGTTGCAGCTGGCACAAGCTTTTGAAACATATCATGAAATATCATTAAAAACCACTCTTATTCAAGTCAAGGTGGATTTATAGTCTAAGAACTTCCAATTATGAGTTTTCCTGTACGTTTCCTTTTGAAAATTTCATTGATCAGTACCGGCCTCTTTCTCTTAGGATTAAGTTTAGCTGTCATCTTTGAAATATTCACCCTAAATATCAGAACTTCTCCAAGTTGAAAGGCCAAGACTTCGATAACGTCGGGTGTTACTGATCAATCGAGCCAGTTTATCCCGTTTAGCTCCGGGAGCGCTTGGAGACGGATTTTCTCCCGATGACACCCGTAACAGCGGCTCTTTGAAAACGGCACTTTGCCCTTTTGAGTCCACGAGTCTACCAAAGTTACTGACATTCAGTTCACTGAGTTTTCCCTGGGTGCAAATTCCGGGATAAATAATCTTCCGTCGGACTGGCGAGTTCTGGGCTGATTTCTGTCGGCATCGACACATCTGATCCCGAAGATTGCTGTCGAAAAAGCTGTACACCGCCGGATTGGCGCACAGTTTTCCCAAAGCCAGGAAACAAGCGAAATCGCGAAAAATCTCAATGCTTTTTTTCTTAGGATTGCCAACAGTCTCGAGAGCGTAAATCGCCGCTAACGGAGCATAACAAAAAATGAAAGTAGCCATTACAATAAGGTTCATTACTACTGATTTTCGTTTAGCAAGTGGAACTGCGTTTGATCGCAGAGAGCTGGTGAATCGGCGGTGAGTATTGATAGGTACGTCTGGCTTACCTTCGCGGGCACCAAGTTTGCTTACGGGATGAGTCACTGAATCGGGCTTAAGCAGCCTACTCACAACTATGAAATATGTCACAGTCATAATCATTATTGGCAACAAAAATATCGCCCAGAGTTGAACCAAGGAATAAAGCTTGTCTTTCCAAGGCAAAGCTAAGTGCTTGTCACAGCTGAACAACAAAGCTTGTGGTTGGTGTTTCGCTCCCAAGAAGTAGTATAGTACTGGGTTGGCGAACAACAGCGCGTAACACCATGCAAATACGCCCATGTATTTAGCCTGTCGACGGGTTATTTTCGACAGTGGATAAAACACGGAATAAAGCCTGTCCATGCTTATCATTAATAAAGTCACTGTTACCGATCCTAGAGCAACCGATTGGGCGTATTCCAATAATTTGCAGACCGTTGGTCCTCCAAGCAAGTACTCCCCTACAATCTCACGTTCTATCTTTAGCGGAATCACAAAGCACGCGATGGCAAGTTCTCCAATGGATAAATTCACGATAAGGCTGTTCATGGCAGACATCCTCGGAGATCGCAGTCCGCAGTAACAAACCAACACGTTGCCAGTGGTAGACACGACCAGGATAAGCGACAAGGCGACTACTTTTCCAACGGCCATGGTTTCATGATAAGCCGAGCTTTGAGTTCCTGTAGCGCGTGTCATAATAACCGTCCAGTTTGATGAAGGATTCATTGAAATTTAATCCACGCGTCGAAAAACGGCATCGGTTGTTTCAGAGTTGTCCCTCTTACAGTGACTCCGATGAAGGGTTCATAATTTTCACGGCCGGAAGACCAGGGCGCTTCAAATGCATCAGATGTTGCTTTCGAGAGCGTAGGAATTCTATGGATTGAGAGATATTTGCTATGGATGACACGCTTGCCAGGTGGCGTGATATTTTGGCGGGTGTTTATCCCGCCACGTCAGTAGAGCACCAGCGCCGCACCCCGTGAAACAGCAACGGAACATGCGCAAAATGTAACGACTGCTAAAACAAGTCGGATCGTGGGCTCTGAGGTTTGCAAACTCAAGTGTGAGATATCTTTATGCTCAGTTGATGATTCAAGTTAAACGTTTTTTTCCATAGAGGAAAGACTGTGAATTGTTTGGATGAAATTGTACTAGAAAAAAGGGAGCTAGTGGAAAAAGAGACAGCTTTCTTTTCTTGTGTGCAATTAACAAACGAAACTAGGAAAGGAAACAATAATTCATGCACCGACGAAGCGATGAAAATTACGACTTTTCTTTACGGTTCTTGAGCTTTCGATTCTCTAGGTATCTAATCATAACCTTAAGCGTAAATATCTAAAAGCAACAATTGAAACAAACTGACATTAATCAAACTCTACTAACCTCAAATGTGTGACGATTTAACGGAATCATTGAAAACAAGAGTTGCCAACTTTCCATGTGTCTTAAGAGGAATGGTTTCATAGAAATGATTATTTCTTTTTTGAGACACGACCTATCAATCCCAGCATCTTCAAACGGATTTCATTTTCCAGTTCACCTTCATATATAATTAATCATGTAATTATTGTTGCGATTACTCGCGCTACACAAGCGTAATATAATGACTGTATGCATGGTGAAGTCCTCCAGATCATTGAGTTTTGCGTGTGTGTAATGAGTAAGAAAAAAGATATTTCTCAGGTCAATGATTTTGAATTCATGACTTTGTTCTCTGCTAGGCAATGAAAAATTGTATCATTTAAGGTAATTATCGACTCTCAATAAAACGAATGAATAGTGGTATCTATCTAAGCCGCGAATACCTCTCAGAAGCGCTCCTCATTCCCTAAATTTATACAAGGCAAGCGCCCGGGGCGTTAATTCAAAGAATGCGGATGGTATTTGTGATGTATAGCAAAAAGAAAGTTGTGCCCGGTTGTCTGAAGAAATTACAGCACTAACTTATTCAATCATAGGATTAACTAAATTGCAATGGAAACTCGATGGAAATAGATTTTCTTAAGGCAGGGATTGCCTCTTTTTTTCAGAGGTATCGATTAACAGTCACCGAACTTTCAATCGAAATTCCTGCAATCTTCCCATACTTTTTTGTCTTAATTTAACACACAGGTAGCCTAGCTTGAGCCCCAAAACGTCTGGTCCCCTAAAAATACAATGCTATCTTTGCCCCACGAGTCGGATCCTGTAATGGTTATTTCTAAATCATTCCGGAATTTCTCGAATGGGAGATGAACTAAAAATAACTGAGTAATAAACAATGTAGTCTGTTATGATTAACCAGGAACTCGATTCTTTTAAATTGGATACTTTCTTGTGACATTTTCCCGACAGAGAGATGGCTTCACATGCTCACTGAATGCGAACATGGTTCAAAGCTACCCACTAGTTTGCATCAGAGCATGTTTCCCTTACTGTTTACTTACACCCACCCCACCAAATCGGATAATCCTCTCCCGACCCGACCCGACCCAGCAGCTTAGTGACCTCCCGTCCAATGACGTCACTCGGGAGAGTTTGTTTTGAGCGGTGAAATAAAATGCATTCACCCAACGAAACAAAAACAAACGCTTCTCGCCGATGTGGACGGAATCTCTATGGGAAATAAGTGAAGATCTAGTCATGGAGGACAAATAGCAGTGATGTTGATGGATCCTTTTGACAAAGGACAACAGAGTCCTCGCAAAGCCCAGTCGTTTGGCGATAAATTGGCTGCTTTTTCGTCTCGATCGCTCGCCAGATATCCCTCTGACGAAGTGAATCTGTCCGGCTCTTTCATCTCACAAAGAACAAGTATTCTCCAGGATGTCAGAGCAAGTAGGTGAATTTGTGTATAGCAAGAAAGACTTTATTGGACATGGAGCTTTTGCAGTCGTTTTTAAAGGACATCACAGAAAGGTAACGTACAATGTACTTTTCCACGGCTTTGCGAAGACGAAATAATTTCTTTGATCGTTCGCTTTCCGACGCGATTCGCTTTTGGCCGAGTAGTTTTCCGAGTTTGTTTTTTTTTTAATCTAAGAGAAAAGTGTCGAATAGATTTCCGAAGATGGAATAACCAAAGTTTTGCCTCACCAGCGAACAAATGTGAGCCTATGGGTACATATCTTTGACATTTATAGTCTATGCTTTCATTACGCAAATTTTTGTTTTGATATCGAGCAAACCATCACCTCGCTCGTCATTACATTTGCTTAGTTAATGGTCATAAAAAAATCGGTGAGCCTCACACAGATTTATTAGCGCTATTTTACATGGTTTAATAAATCCCATAGGAAATGCGCCAAGCATATCGCCGCAGAGAAACGCCAACTGATGCAAGTTTTCCTTTCGTCTGTGTCCTTTTGACTTCCTCTCTCACTGGTTGTACGTGATGTTAGCTTATATTTCTCTTTATTGCAGAAAGATGACTTCGTGGTAGCTATTAAGGTCATCGCAAAGAAGAATCTCTCCAAGACTCAGAATCTTCTTGCAAAGGAAATAAAAATTCTAAAGGTGAGAGAGGGATAACTTTATCGTAGAAATCTTATGCAATACACATTCATTTTGCAGAGCGAGGTTTTTGTCTGACAAGCCATTGTTAATTGCGTGATCACAAGACACAATATATGCCCAAGGGGAAAGTTCATTGAAATAATAGCAATCCTTCACGCAGTTGTCATGTGCAGCCAGCTTAGTGATTGCCCTTGATCGAGCGGTCAAACTTCAATATTGGGTTTCTAATATTCCCGTTAAGTATCCTTGTTTTGAAAAGTGAATTTATCCCGCGTAATTTAAGACACTGTAACTTAGAAAACCTTTTTCTTGCGTGCTAAAAAGTATATGTACCTACCTGTGAACAATGTTTATATCTTTCATTTTAGGAACTTCATCACGAAAATGTGGTTTCTCTTTTCGACTGTCAGGTAATGATGGAATTATAAATATTTTCGATTTATAAGAAGAATGATGTGTTTGGAATTTTGGAAGGTTGCCCAGAATGAAAGAAGAAGATACCGACTACGTTTTTTTCAGAAAATTATTTCATACTTGCGTGCCGTGTAAATTGATCTAGTTTTAAGTAACGTCAAAATAGAAGGCAATGTAGAAGCCGTTGTCAAACACTTGTTTTTTCCACCCTTTAGGTTCAAATTTTCCTCCACTATCTCTACCCCTTTGGGTTTGGAATGTATAATTTGATTTTATACAAGCCTAAAATAATGGTCATATTTTGAGGAAAATTAAGCCTGCCTTTGTCCCTGACACTGATTGTGGTCATGTTATGTGGTTTATAATTTTAGCAATACTATCAATTTTATTGTAAAGGTTGCAAGTTTTTATATGATAATGATCGTTGACTGCATATATTCTTTAGGAAACATCCAATAATGTCTTTCTTGTTATGGAGGTTAGTCATCTTTGTTTGTTTGATGTTTTTTCTTTGTAACTTAAATTTATGTCATCAAACTATTTGACACACTTTGCATTTAGTACTAAGTGTGCCAAGGCATCACAGACCAAAGAATTTTCTGGCCGCTTTGCAGAGTATTTCAGCTAAGTTTCAATGGTGTTTGGTGTTTTTTATTCAGATATGCAGCTATTATATCATATGTTCTCTTACTGTGTTACCTTATTCCCTAGCTGTTTGAAGTTTTCCTTTCTAAATATGTAATTCATAACTTTTTCTAAAGGATAAAGAGGATCAGAAGCCCCCTTTGCAACCCTCTGTAAAGTTTTGAGACATTGTGCTGTTATGTCACTCATTTTCCTTCTGTTTTTACAACTCTCTTGTGTCTCAATGTTGTAATAAAAATTCTGGTGTTATACTCTAGTTAAGCAGTAGTGTTTCTTGATTCAACAGTATTGCAATGGAGGGGATCTTGCAGACTACCTTCGTGGTAAGAATGTTCACTTCAGTTACAATGAATAAATTATCAAACTTAAGGTACATGTACATATACACTGTTACCAAAAGGGTTATTGACCCTTTAACCCCTAAGAGTGACTAACATCTAGTTTCTCCTTTCAATATCACCCTTGAATCTAACATTAATGTCATGAGAATAAAAGAAATGATCACTGACTGAAGAAGTTCTCGGTTGTTAAACAGATCCTCCTTGTTAGGACCTTAGGAAATATACAAGGAACAGTATAGAGAATATGCATACTGATGTTAGGGTGTAAAGGATTAATGTTATAAACAAGTCTACATTATTCCTTACAGCAAAGGGAACCCTCAGTGAGGATACAATCCATATTTTCTTACGTCAGATAGGTATGGTTTTTCATTGATTTTTTTTATTCCTACTGTTAATATTTGAAATAAAATTTACATTGTCTTTTACAGTGTAGCTGGAATATAGTCGTTATGTATTTACTCTGACTTTTGACTATATTCAATTTGTTAAATAATTTTGGTTCTCCTCAGCTTCTGCCATGTGCACACTGCAATCCAAAGGTGTTGTGCACAGAGATTTAAAGCCTCAGAATCTACTGCTGCATCATGCAGGGACAACCACTCCCTCACCATCACAGATCAAAATAAAGATTGGTAGGTTTTGCATGGGTGTTGCTTTCCTCACTTGTGAACAGCCACCTCAATCATTAACCTCATGGTGTCAACCTTCTTCATAAGGAACTTTCACCATGATAAGCCACAATGTCTCAAATTCTTGCAGTATTCTGTAGCAAACATTCTTTTCACAACATAGAGTTACTAGCCACCTCATTATTTTTTCTTTTTCATTTGTGTTTGGGACTGGCAATGGGAGAGGTCTAAGGTATCTACTTTTTGTATTATTGTACTGTTACCATTTATTTTACATATTCTGAATTGTTGTTTTAGCTGACTTTGGGTTTGCAAGATTTCTCCCTGGTGAAATGATGGCAGCTACTTTATGTGGATCTCCTATGTACATGGTTTGTATAAACTGCTGAGATATTTCGAGTTCCTGAGTTGCATGAACTATAATTATGTGTTTCTCTGGGTGCTATTTAGAAAAATGGTTTCACCCTTAACAAAATTATTAGTGGTGAAACAGTCTTTGTGAGTGAAAATGGTTTATTTGAAATAATACTGCTGCCGTTTTGGACTTCATAGAGTTCTTCTAAATTGTCATTACATGTATTTGCAAATAAGCAAAGAATCAAAGAAATAAAACAAATTAAACTACATAGTCAGCAATTATTGGTAGAACTCTGTGTTTAAATAATTTTTTGTACCATATTTCATTATTACTGAATGACATGTGGTCAAAATTTCAGTTCTATATCCCACTTTTGATATATTCATTTACTGAGTTTATTTTCCTTCTTTGTCATTCAAGGCTCCTGAAGTTATAATGTCCAAAGGATATGATGCCAAAGCTGATCTCTGGAGTGTAGGGACAATTGTTTACCAGTGTCTCACTGGTAAAGCCCCCTTTCAGGTGCTCTTATATACCATCACATTAAAAAGCCAATTGTGACAAACTTTATCAATGTTATATAATATCAATGATTTTTTCCAATTTTGTCATTTTCCAGGCAAACAGCCCTCAGCAGTTAAAGAAGTTTTATGAAAAGAGCAAATCTGTTTCTCCAAAGTGAGTGGCAAAATAGCAAGCTAACAATATTTCAATTCTTTGTATGTCTTGATCAAAAAGTACTTCAGTCTGTGCCTGCTTGTTTGTTAGATACAATCTGATTACTGTATGTAGTAGAATATCATATTTATTTCATGCTTTATCAATACTGAGTCTTATTTTATCCATGAATAGTAAACAACCGTTTTTTTGTTACCTCAGTATACCAGCTGGTACTTCAAACCACTTGAAAGACCTACTTATTGGATTGTTAAAAAGGAATCCTCGTGACAGGCTGGATTTTGGTAAATAATTTTTATATCTTTGTTTAATTTACTGAGAAGTCTGTTAAAAAACACAAAGATTGAAGGTGAATTGTATAAGGTAGATTGAGGCTAATATGTATAAGAAAGTTTTAGTTTCCTCTAAAAATGATGGTGTTATCTAATTTAACCACAAATCTTTCTATTTACTCATGTGCAATCAATAACGCTAAGTTTATAAAATGAGTTACTGCTGCTGTTGATAATCTGAGGACAAGGCTGAGCACAGATGAGAGAAGAGAACAGAACCATTTTGAGCTGAAAATTTTTTTTAAGAAAGCGAGTTTCTAAGGCTGTGTTAGACAAAGTTTCACTCTGGGCACATAATACATCTACATGTACATTTGTTTCCCAAAGAAATGCAGCATTCTTGTTGAAGGCTTTCACAGGGTAATTTTCAGGGGGAGGGGAGGGGGGGGGTTGTGTGAGGATTGTACAATTTCAAGTAATGATATGGCACCCTTAATGTGTTTATCATCTAAGTATACCATCATTAACTTGTGTATCAAGCACCCATCAGGGTAATGATTATTAAATATATATTAACTTATTTTTCTGTTTACAGGTGAATTCTTTGCTCATCCTTTCTTGACTGGCAGAGTTCCCCATCGTGCATGTAAGCAAAAACCTACATGTATCTTACTAATAGTGTTAATATAGGCAAATACAGCTGTAGGCAGTTAACTGGAACATAGAAAGTAAATTGAGCGAGATGTTTGTCTTAGAAAGAAATTCATACATGTACACCTGTCTGTGAAAACTTTCATTATGTTGACAGTAATCCCTCTAGAAATATAATTGACTTAATTTATTAATATAAAAGCAACCTACAACTGTAGTTTAACCTAAGATTTAAATGGCAGAAATAATTTATTAAAAATATTAACATTTTTTATATTTTAGACTCAGTAAACTATATATCCCTATCCTGGAAATGTCCATGGACAGCTTTTAAAAGAATTGGATAACTTTTGAAATTGTTTTAACATTTGATTTTTTAATATCTTTCCACATGTATGTAGCTACCCCAGTTGCTGTCCCAGTTCCTCAGCGTAAACACTCTGGCAGTTCTCATGGAACAAGGTCACCTTCCTATTCCCCAGTAAGTGTGCCATTATCATTAACATTACTGTAACATTGTTTGTTCATGAGGAGGAGCTAGTGCATAGACTAAATAGCTGTTTAGAAAAGGAAGGCCATCAAAGTAGTCAATTTTCCCTATGGACTCAGCTCCAATGTTCACAGGATGAGTTTTTCTCAACATGTAGTAGATAGACTTCAAGTTTTTTCAGAGACACGTAACCCCCAGAACCGGGATTTATGTGGGAAACAGTGTAAAGCAACCTACATGTATATCACAGTACCAACTACCTGGGCAAGAGACATACTTTTAAACACTAGATTTTTCTGCTAATGTTACAAATCTATTTCTTGGCAAGAAACTACTGTGACAATCACTTACATGTAATGTGAAAACATGGTTAGCCAGTTGGATATGCAGTGCAAGAGTGTCAAAATAACTAACACTTTAATCCAGTCCATAATTTTGAACAAGTTTCTCTCCTCATTTTATAAGTCATATAAAGTCACCTGTTAGTGCCCTTATGTTTCTTTTTCTTTTTTTATTCTCTGAATTTAATTCAATAGAACTTTGGTGCAGAAGCTTTGGGTGACATAAGAGTTGATCTTCTTCATCGCATCACCCCACCCTATGATGGCACAGGCATTTCCCCTCAGGACCCTCCCACAATTATGAATATCAGCACCTCTGCAAACAGTAAGTTTTGGGAAAGGCTTTGAATTTTTATGTATTAATTAATGAATAAAGAGAGATATAAAGAGGATATATGATAGCATAATGTTTAGCATGCCAAGCTCTGGATGTTGTTGTACAAACTTCAAACTGCACAGGCAAAAATTCTGCAATAATGAATTTTTGTAGAGGCCTATTGGCTGTCTTAGTTCTGCAAGGTATAGTTGTGATGTGAATAAAGGAGATAAGTTTCTGTAGAAATTGAGGTGCTGCATTGGTGGGAGAGTACAACAAGGTAATTTAGTATTGTCAACTGAGTTGATAACATAAATTGGCCACCGTAAAGAGTTTAGAAGCTGACAGATTGATCATTACCCCCTCATCCAATCACTCTAATAATAAATTACCCTGTTATAGTTGTGATGTGTTCCACTCAGTGGATTGTTTTAGTGAAAATGCAATGACTTGCAAATTTCCTGGTAATGATTGTGTACCTGGAGGTATGCTATGCAGGGTTTAGAAGTGCTAAATTGTCAAAACTGGAATTGGAAAGTTTATATTTATTGCTTATATTTTATCCTTTTTTTGTTTGTTTATTTCAGACTCAGGTGCACAGCTTAGTTCTCAAGGTGCCTACCCTCCAAATGCAGTGCAAGATGATGAGCTAGCTGCTGAGGTTTGTTTGAGAGTACTTAATGCTGACTTGCCATTTAGCTAGCCTGCATATTAATCCAGTGCACAAGATATGGCCGACTAGCTATTAGAGCAGCAATCGAGAAGAGGGCTAATACCCCTTCCCCAGCTCCCTGTACTAGGTGCTACAGTAGTGATGTTGCTTGGGGATGTGTCTCCAAAACAACCAAATGTACAGTTCCCCTACCCTAGATCTTACCTGTCCTGAAAAAACCATTTCAAAGCAAACAAGATTCTGAGACTGCAATAGAGTAATAAAGAGAGATTATAGATGGGCGCGCGTAGATATAAAATTTCTGTTCGGGTTGAACACTCGAACAAAAATTGTCAACAAGCAACCATGTATTCTTGTGTTAATCATATAAACACAACAGCCCTTTGCTGACAATGAAAAGTCAACTTTATTAATGAATGAAAACAAAAGGATCGACAATCCCTAAATGAAATTGTAAAGTGTGTTGACGCTAAGGCTCAACATGAAAAAATGCGTTGGAACACCACAAAATCAAACCATTAGCATAATTTTCAATGTACAAAACTCTCAGTTATTGACTCGGTCCTTACCAACAGAAGAAGTCTTTCAGATACACGGCCAAAGTCGGACTGTGGTAAATCTTCCAGTTGTCCATTACCAAAGCCATCGAATACGTAACTTTCGGTTTTTCTTTCCGTAATTTGGTTTCCTCCCTTTCTAGGAAAGTTTGAATGTCACTGTCAGTAAGCGATACGGATTTTTCAGTGTTTTAGCAGCCATGATCCGGAAAAAATTCCGTCAAATGACTCCGTATTGAGAATCGTGAAGGCTTTGCCGTTCATTCATCAACCCGACCGAGTGGCGCGAAAGGCGAATGACGTGTCAGCAGCTGATTGGCGATCAAACACACGTGGAAAAATACGATATTTTTTCACGTGTGTTGTTAAGGCTTTTCGCAGGGCTAGAAATCCTTGTATAACCCCGTAGTTTATAAGATAAAATGGCTGTAAATAACAGAGAAGAGTAGATAAACCATGCCCTATTTCAGATACTCTGTATAAGAGACTACCCCTCTTCAGCCTGAGACTTCAATTATTATTCCTTCCCCCTCCTTGAGGAATTTGTTCCTTCTTAATTCTAATCGGTATAAAATTCAACCTTATCAATTAGGGTTTTGTGCTGGTCCCATCTAATCCAGAAACTCCAAGTGAGTATTCATATTTGTTTGTATAGAATACGTCTGAAGCTACATGTATACCTTGACAAAATCATTGCTATGGTCTTCTTAATCTAAACTGCAATGCAACATACACATAATTCTGTAATTAGGATAATTTTAGATTTGAAGTTGTAACTGTATTATAACAAAAACGTTTGCGTGACTCCATCATTTTCACGGTCAGGTTACAACCAAACAGAACATGATTCTAAACCTTTCGTTTTTATTACGCTGTCCATTTAGAGGTTTTAATTATCACCATCACACTTAAGATTTTTTTTAAAGAACAAGTCTTAATATCTGCTTTGATGACTTAATTTTTTCTGGTCTTAGTTTAAGTAGTAAAAACAATTATCAAGATAAAATTAGATTTAAAAAAATTAAGACTTGCTTAACCTTCACATATAAGTGTAGAACTGTACTCGACAAGAATGAATCATCAAGCTAATAATTTTAGTTTCTCCTTAAACTATTCATACACTGTCAAGCAGAAAGGTGCCGAGAAGAAATGAAACTATAAATATGGGAAGTTTGTTTGGTTTAAAACTGAATTCTCAGAGCTTAGACTAGTCGAAATGTATGGCGGAAAGAGGGAGAATTTATATTTTTATCTTGTTGGTAGAAGGGTGTAATAAGATGAATTTCAATTTGTCTCCAGGATATCATCAGCAGAGGCATCATTCTGATCCGCTGTTTCCTTTCTACGGGTAAATATTCTTTCTCATTAGCTCTGCAGATTTAGTTAGGATCTATTAAAATGATACTGTAATTTCTTCCTTTTCCATAGCCAATCACCTCCAAGGACTGTCAGCAGTCCACAGTCTCCTTCTCCTCCATCATCACGCACTCCTCAGAGAGCCACCTTTATGGTGGGTTCGCCACAGTCAGCATCCCCAGTCTCCCCACCTTCACCTCTGGTACAGGCCCCGCCTGCTCTTTCCCCATTGTCATCTCCATCATCTGCAGAATCCCCTCCAGTTGAAATCACAATAAGAAAGCGCACAAGTGCCTCTCCAGGACCTACACCAAAGGGTCAGCTATCATCCTCTCCTCTGCCTATTCCACGCAGTGGAAGTGTACCCAAACAGGCACCCTCTCGAACCTCCCCGTCCCCTACTCACCACGGAGCCAGTTCAGGCATGACTCCTAGAAAGCAGATAGTTGGCACCCCGTCCTCTAAACCGTTAGTAGGCAAGAGCCCAAATAGTAGCCCAAGTGCATTGAAAAGTGGCAGCAGCCGAAAAAACAGTCCAGCAACACAGAGACAAGCAGCGCAGGTTAGCCCCAAGGGATCTTCTATCCCTCTCACTGCTGCTGCTCAAGCTTTAAGTGCGCAAGCACGGTCTGAGATGACCGTGGGCTTGCACCAGCAAGCTTTTGCAGGATTTTCTAACACGAATGCTGATAAGGGGCTGGCACGGGGTGCAGCAGTTGGGACTTTCCGAAGAGCTCTCTCCAATATTGAACCTTTGGTTACTCAGTCACCGGACAGCTCATCAATATTGACAGCTCTGGCTCGTCATTCAAGGTCAGGAATGGGTGTCCCAATAACAGACCTCTCTGAGCCAGGAGCAGAGACCAAGCAGATCATACGCGTGCACAGCTCGCCGGCCATACTAGCAATGGGCCTTCCAAGGAAGGGAAGCTTGTTGGCATCAACAGGGTTCCAACTAGGGGCTGCAGGAACATCTCCCGTGTTCCGTCGGAATTCAGGTGGTGGATTCACCCCCCTGAGAGGAAAGAGTCCACCTATTTCATCCTCTCCTACCGGACTTCCTACCATACCAGGCTCGCCGACAAAGACATCCCATAGTACGGAGGCCAGCGATCCCACAGTTGATCCTGACAATAAGATGAAGCCCTTGAAGGGTCTTTTTACTGTTGGGTCGTGTTCGCCAAAAACGAGTGAGAATATGTTTCTACTCGGGAGGAATTCACCAAACGCGACTAAGAATGGAGAGAAACCTGCTGTTGTTAGTCAAGGTAAACATTACGTGTTAGAGTGATTTTCGATGGAGTGGCGTGGAACTAAAACCAAGGTAATCACATCTATCAATCAGAAACCAAGCAATCTGCATAAGCGCGTGAAAAGTGGTAACAGCATGAAAAATAAATTTAGATTTCTACCTTTTTAGTAATGGGGTCTATGTCATACTAAGAAAAATTTACAAAGAGGGATTATCATTATTTCCTTCCTTATGTGTGAATAGTAAGCAATTTTACAACTACTGGATGTGAGCTGCTGAGAGACCGTTCACCCTGACGCCTTGATTATCTCGACAGGAACGAAAGTCACTCTCGGATTTGGAGACAATTTTCCTCCCAGGAGCCCCAAGAGGCTCATGGTTGGACGAGAGGAAACCGAGGCGTCTTCACCAGACATGGAGGGCCCCATAGCTCTTATAGCTCCTGAACTGCCAGAGGATACTCTCTTAGATGTAAGAAAATAGCTATAACTGACTTGCAGCGGTAGTCCATTGATTGTAATCAAACTGAACTAACGAGATCACAACGGCCAATTAAAACAAGGGAATATCTCAGTTGCATCCAATGGGAACGCAAAGAAGAACAGCAAAGCAGCCCCAAATCAGTAACCCTTAAGAGTGATTAGTATCTTATCTCTCCATACAGTATCACTGTTGATTTAAACACGAAGGTCATGCGAATAAGGGAAATGATCACCCGCCAGAGAAGCTCTCGACTGTTGAATAAATTCTCCATGTCAGTACCATTTGGAATGGATACAAAATAGTATGGAGAATATGCATGATGATCTTGCGGTGTAAAGGGTTAAGTGTGTGAAACACTGTTGTATTAAGTATGCATCTGATTGGTTGAGGGAGAGGTGCGAATTTTCTATAATAATAAGAGAGAGTATTGAAGCAAAGCTAATGTAATCCCAAGTCAATTTTTTGCAATCAATTGAAAGTTGATCTCCAACAGATATACCATGTATATAAATTTGTATTTGCGAAGACATTCAGAGCGACCCTTATTGTCAGAAAAGCCTTCAAAGTCCCAGATAAGCTTTTCTTTTTTTTTTAGGCTAAAAGATATTTTTTTTAAGTCAGAGGTTGGGTGTTTTCTGCGATTCTTTTACAATCACAGATTGCAAAACAGAGCGAAACAACGTTGTTGTTAACTTATAACCTAAGGGAAATGACGGCTTCCCATTTTCTTTCATTTGTAAAAACCCCAGATGGAGCACACGGAGGGCGTAAGGAAACTCAATTTCGTTTTGTCATTGACGGATGCCATTCTTGAGGTGATCAGTGCCAGGGGAACACCTTTTACAGTGCTGACAGACTCTGTGGCCATCCGACAAGTACGTATTTTGATGTTGTTTTTTGGCTGCCCTTGGTGAATTGCGTAGTTGAACAGGTTAAAAGTCTCGCATCCGTCTATTAATGTGACGAATGAATTGTTCGATTATTACAAAAATTTTAAATCTTTGTTCTCCTTCGTAACAAATGTTTTTCCCTCTTACAGAACGAAAGCCTCCTCGCAGACCAGATTGGACTGAAAAGTGACGAGTTAAGGTAACACGCGTTTTGATTAGGTCTTACTGATGATCTATTGGAGGACAGACGCAAAGATGACATCACCATTACCAACATTTTGCATTTTGATCATATAAAACAAATAGATTCCATGTTGCTGTGGGTCTGTAGAGTAATAGATCACAGATGACGTCTAAGTGTGGTAAGAACATCAGTGATACACTCGGCTGCGCCTCGTGTGCCACGTTTTGTTCTTTCCACTCTTTGACATCATCTGTGATCTATTACTGAACTGACCCATAGAAAGATGAAACATATTTGTTAAGGAGAGGATCACTGGACTCGGATTTGCAAATACAGACTTTACCTTATAGCGAAGTATTTGGTTTTACTTAGATGTGACTTACTAAGGTCCCAACATTTTGCAGGAAAATGGAACAGCTGGTACTGTACGTGAAAGCTCTACGAGCTCTTAATCTATCTCTTCTCTTCGCACAAGGAGAAATCAGAGTTGGCCACCTAAAACCCTCCAATGCTGTCAAGAATGGTGAGACAGATAGATGCTCTGAGGCCTTACCCTTTCCTACAGGTGCTTGTAACAAGCCTGAACGAAGCATTAAGTTTTTCTATTATCTTTCTTTACAATTTTCAGTTCTAAACGACTTGAACAGTCGATATCACCGGTGTTTGGAGAAGGCGTCCAACCTGAAGCAGCTCTTAGAACCTGGACTACAGACACTTGATGGAAAATCTATGACGGTGAGCTTACAATATGTATTTGTTAAATCCTTTCGAGAATTAAATCAGCTTTCTGTAACATAATTGCTTTGGTTTTGCTACTATTCGCTTTGCAATTGGCGTAAAACTTTGCACCATTGCCGCTACCAAAGAATAATATGCAGAGCTTATATCAATCGTGGCTTGGTCACTCGCGTTTCCAAGCTTCAGACGAGTTTCGTCCATTTCAGCTTCTCATGGGCCATTTTCAAAATATGTCTTTGTCGAATGGGTTGTTGTGATGAATTTTATTTTGTTTTAGGAAACCTCATTACAAAGGGCGGGGCTCTAGGCTACGTACGTTCGATTGACCTCTCCGCTCCTTTTCTGCACTCTTTGTTCTCCTTTTCCCCCACCCCCCTCCCTAGCCCCCCCTTCCATCAGTATTCCCTGGATACTACTCAATTCAAATTGTCTTGCTGGTGCTTTGTTTACAAACGCCTAGAGGTGAGCTGTGGCGAGGTTGCTTCTCTATCCACTGCTTCATTTGACGCAGAGTAAAATACATCTTATATCCTTCTCACAGGTCAGCGCTGACAGACTGATGTACCATTACGCCATGGAACAGGTAACTACCTTTAACGTTGAGGCATGCCATTCGCTATTTGCTAGATCTTGTATTTTTTATCAAGTTTCCTCCTGTTTTTGTTTTTGTTTTTGTTTTTGATTCTTTAGTGTCAAAATGCTGCCCTCGACGAGGTGTTCGGAAACCCAAAAGAGGTGACTAACAGTCATTTGTTTGTTCCACGTGTTCATTGTTTCTTGTCAAGTTCTGTTTTTTCTCGTCTATCAGCAGTTTAAAATGTTTTTCTTTATTCTCTCTTTTAGTCTAACTCTAAATTTTTTTCAGTGTAAGGTCAAGTACGAGACTGCTCAGGTTTTACTTCAAGGCCTGGAGGAAGAAGCTCATACTGACGAAGATCGGCGTCTGTTGAATAAATGTATCCTTTGGTCTCGTTTGTGGCGCCTTGTTTGCGCCGCCTCAACGAAATAATTACAGGCTCCGAATCCTGAATATCTTTTTTCTTCTCCCTCCCCACTAATGCCACCCAAAAAGTTAAAGTTACTGAGGTCTTTTCATCTTGAATAAGGTGCACACCATGTCACAAAAGTATTTTAAATAAGGGAGGAGTAGTCTTAAGCAACGTTGGGCATAATTTAATGTCACTTCAGAAGAATAGAGAATTGAAAGATTCTGCTTTGTGAAAGACCACAGAGTGCTCACCATTCTATTCCTTCCCATTTTTCAATTTTTTGGAACACCGCGAGTTAGCCAATAAAAGTGTTAATTACATAGTCATTACTTGGGTGGCGTAGGCTATACACAATGTAATGCCTTTAAAATGGTGATACAACCAGTTACATCAAGCCCTATATAGACGCAAATTTGTGAACCAGTGTCACTATTTACCAGCTTGACGATTGGTTCCTTAACGAAAACTATAGATAAAATCGCCGTAGATAAACGGCTGACGTGTATTTCCAGGACGAGGACACGCAAAACCAGTCAAAGTAACACCAGATAATCAGCGCAGGGCAGGCAGTGAACTGTTAGGTGCACTGTGGGCATATGTCAGCGTATGTAAATGGAGTGGAATGGACTTTCTGGTAACTGAGGAGAATACCGATATTTTTTAGTAGTAGGGCATTCATTACTCTTTATTTTATAATCCTTGAAAGAGAGCATAGAATTGCAATAATCATTTGAACTTCAGAGTGAGAGAATCGAACGTTGTTGAAGTTGTAACTCTAATATAAATAATCTGATACGGGACGTTTGGTTTTTGTTTGTTTGTTTTTGCTTGAAATCTTGTATTTATTTCTTGGAAAAAAGTACTGCTGCTCTTATGTGGTGAGCAGATAGGATGGCCAATTTTATTTATATTTTTCGTCACGTTCAGACCTTGCAGTTTGTATTTGCAATGGACAAGATTTCTCCAGCAGAAGTTCAAAATTGTTAAGGACTTTGTTTCAAACTCACCTTTGATATATTTAAACGATGTTTAGTGATTATCAAAACCTAGCAATATTTACTTAACTTTTTTAACTGGTTACTTACGCTGTCATGTGTATAGAATAACGAAAATCTTTAAAAGCACTTACACAGAAGTTAAATTAAACATCGGATCGTAACTATTCCTTGTTACTAAGGCCATAGTTATCATTGGTCATGAGAAGTACTACATTTGAAATAGGACCACATCTCCCCTAGACATAATTTTTACCATGGGTGAAATTGCTACTGCCTTGTACAAATACGCTTGGGGAAACAGAAAAATATTGTATGTAAAATAAGCGAACATTTAAAAAGAATGGAACATGATGAAAAGGTTTATAAAATGTGAAATTTTACGTCGCTATTTTTAAAGTCGCTAATTTAACTTAATATACGTATGGACGGCGTTTGCTTGAGTTTAAATTTATAAGTGATGATTCACTGAGATTATTTCGCTACGCAGCAAAAATTGTCATGGGATAAATTTATTCGCGATTTTCAATATATAAACGCTGTTTGTAAAGTGAAAATTTTGCTCTCTGATGAAGAGAATTATAAAAAGTGTTGTCGTGAAACTTCAAAACAAAAAAACAAAAAAAAGAATAAAAGTAAAAAGAAAGTGTGAAACTGTTCCAGTGTGTTCAGTTATTTAACCCGTCTTCTGACCTGTGGGTTGTAGGGTTTATTTCAGGAATTCTCCGGGATAGCGGCGATTCAGGTATTGCTGGTGACATTGCAAAGTTCGTTTGAAAACTGAGCAATCAAAGGATCCTTTATGGCCTTAGTTTTGCGAAGGAAATCTCCTAACCATGCACATTACAAAATATATTGCGATGAATAATCATAGCCATTCTGTCATCACTAAAGGATTATTCACAAATTGTTGCCTTCGTTGTTATCTGTCTGTATGGCCACTTAGGATTGTTACTGTAAATGCGAAAATGCGTTGATTTAATTGGTAGAGGGTTAAAGGACTTTTCAAAACTATATGCAGAATGTCATGTTTAAATATTAAAACGTCTGATTTCCCCCCTGGAATTTTATATAAAAATATTCCTTTGACAGACCGAAAATCAAGAATCAGAAGTTGGACCTTAAATTCAAGTCTAGTTCCCAGTGACCTCACTTGAGTTCCCTTAATCGTTCGTCGCTCGTTTCATTTGGAGAAAAATGTTTTTCGTCTTATCACATTCTATACTCCTAGCAGTTTGCAGGACGCGTGACACATATGAGCTTCGTATTGGGCCTTTGCATCAGAGCGCAGTCGTATCTTCGTCAGGGGAAGATATCCGTATCTCCTCGCTGGTACCTCTTTTTCATCGTATCTCTTTCCCTAATTATCTGAAACCCTCTACAAAGTCAAGGTTTTTGCAAACTTTTCTCTTCGGTAGAAAACTGTTCAAAGCTCGACACGTAATTAAAATGCTCGGCTATATCTTAAAAAACTAGCAAGCCAACCTTGCTTGAAGTTAAGTCGGCGGCCGGTTTCCACCATTGAGGCAAACTCGCAAACGCCCCGTTCCCCTTTCTCTCCAAACTGAATCCGCCTTTTAAGCGTACAGGTCTACTCAATCAATTTTACCGGCCAATTAATCTCCGTAGAGTGGCAAGCGAGGATCCTCTCACTTTTTCCGAGCGCCTTCTTGAGGTCCAATCAGAAATCAGGAATCGGTCCACGTACACACACTCCTTAAGGGTTTATAACAGTCAGGTCATGTTTATGAGCTCATATTGGTCAATTCTGTTTTTAAAGCAAAAAGAAACAGTAGCGTGACTAGCGAGTGTTTTTTGGTGGAAATTAACGTTAAAGATTTATTTTTTTATTGAAGTGTATTTTGTGTCTGAGTTTCGCAAACCTTCAATTTGGAGTAGTTTGTTACACAGGTCAAGCTTTTCTCAGAAATAACCTGCCTGTAAATAATTCTTAGAAGCCAGACATCCACAGTCTGTATAACCTGCCTTGATTGGTCGATATTATTGATTTTAAAAAAGATTTCCTTGAGGCAACTTCAAGTTGATATCTCTACCTTTGTCTGTTGTACTCAGTCATGGATGTAAAAACCTTGCTTGACAATCTTCATGAAGAAGTATCCTGTTCTGTGTGTATGACCACATTTACTGAACCAAAGATACTGCCGTGTTTGCACACTTTCTGTCTTCACTGCTTGAACGGGATTTTACGAACTAGTGGCCGCCATGATATGATCGCATGTCCTGAATGCCGAAGAGAAGTTCAAGTTCCTAGCAGTGGAAACCTCAAGGATCTGCCAACAAACTTTCGTATCAACAGTTTGCTAGATGTGCTGGCCATCAAAGAATGCCATACTGCTGGAGTGAAATGTGCAAACTGCGACAAAAGCAGCAAACACAGTTCGTACTGTTTTCAGTGCTGTGCGTTCTGGTGTGACGAGTGTATCACTGCGCATAACTTAGTCAAAGCGAATAAAGAGCATCGGGTTCTTGCTCTGAAAGATTTTGAAGATCAAGACATCGAGGACGTGTTAAAGCGGCCGGCATTTTGCCAACAGAAGCATCACGAAAAAGAAGAACTCAAGCTCTTTTGCAAGAACTGTGATGTTGCTATTTGTAATTTGTGTGTTGCAACCATCCATGATGGTCACGCTAAGATTGTTCTAGAAGAAGCAGCAAGTGAACGCAAGATACAAGTCAAGTCTGTGATCGAGAAGCAAAAGAAAACTATTGAACACGAAAAAACCAAAATCGCTGATCTTGAAAGACAGTGTAACCAAATTGAAGCGCGAGGCGATGCAGTGAAACGAGACATCCACAAGTTTGCTGAAAACATGATCGCAGTCATTGAAACAAAGAAGAAGGAAATGTTAAACAAAGCTGAAAAAAAAATCAAAGAATCCCTTGGATGTCTGCGAACTCAACAATGCGAGGTGATACGTCAATTGAAACTGCTGGAAACTACAGTTGAAAAAACTGAAACACTTGTAAAACAATGTACAAATACCGAGATTACTCAGTTAGATAAGTTACTGAGCACGGTCATACCCGAAGAAGTCAGTGATGTTGGAAAACAAGCCGCAGCTGACCTTGAAGGTCTTCGTCAATTCCTTTTCAAAGAAAACAAAACATTAGTTGATAGTCTTAACTCTGACGGCATCGGCTCATTTAAAACTTTTGTGACTAACACTTGCGCTCATCAGTCAACTACCGAAGGGAAAGGACTCAGTGAAGCGAGTGTTGGACTTGAATCAAACTTTTTAGTAACAACAAGAAATGCCGAAGGAGAACAATGTTACAATGAGCGTGACTGTGTAACCGTGGAAATAAAAAATCAGCGAGGCCATGACTGTGCGACCGAAGTACGATTCAAAGATGAGAAAGATGGTAGCTACAAAGTCAGATATTTCCTCAAAGATACAGGAAAATGCCAAGTATCAGTGAAAGTAAATGAAGAACACATTCGTGGCAGTCCATTTCCTATTAAACCGAAACCCAGACAATTCAGACACGTGTTATCTTTTGGACGACGAGGTTCGTGTGTTGAAATGGTAAAAGCTCCATATGGAGTAACAGTGAATGAACGAGATGAAATTGCAGTGACTGATACTCAAAACCACAAGGTTCAGGTATTCAGTGGTGATGGAACTTACTTAAGATCTTTTGGTAGGATTGGTGATAAACAGGGAGAGTTAAATTGGCCTGCTGGGATAGCATTTGATAAGAATAGTCGCAGTATAGTTGTAGACAGTGATAATCACCGAGTTCAAATGTTTAATGAGCAGGGTCAGTACCTGAGCCAGTTTGGTGATGAAGGAAATCTTGATCACCAGCTGAGGGATCCTTATGGTGTATCTGTTGACACGAATGGAAATATCATTGTTGCCGATAAGGGCAACAAACTTATAAAAATCTTTTCTCCCAGCGGCCAGTTTTTGTATAAACTTGGTGAAGGTGAAAGTGGACATTTTTCTTCTCCTTTTCACTGTATTCAATATGATAAATATCTTATAGTATCAGACGCTGGTGAACATTGTATCAAAGTGTTTGATATAAACGGCAACTTTTTGTACAAATTTGGAAATCAGGGGAACAGGGACGGGGAGTTTAACGAGCCCCGTTTTTTGTCAGTTAACAAAGCAGGACACCTGATGGTCTGTGACACAAAGAATCAAAGAGTTCAGGTATTTGAACTGAGTGGTAATTTTTTAACAAAGTTTGGAAAACTAGGGAGTTGGCTGGGGGAGTTCGGCTCGCCAACATCTGCAGCAGTTCTTAGTGATGGTAGGATAGTTGTGACTGAATGGTTTAACAGTCGCATTCAGATATTTGAGTAAATGTGGATAATTTATCTACCATCACATTCAGACTACAATTTACTTCTAAAAAACATTCTTTTCACCTAATCTTGAAATCATTTTCCAGATAGGCTTCTTGTTATAGTTTCAGTGAAAAGAACATTTTAGAACTTTGAGTCAGTGGATTCGATTTTGTGCATTGTATAGTTATCAGTTCACGCTTTAATGTCCCATTTTTTTCTCTTGCTCACGGTAATCCCAAGAAAAGTGTGTTCTTGCCTTGGTTATTTTGCCTAAATGAATGGAAATTAATTAAATGTAGATTAAAATGACACGTTTTGAACTTTTCGGGAGAAGCCATTAGAAAAACAATAAGTCAACTGCAAACTGGTTATTGTCATTTTCAATCAAAATCGCCAAGATTTCTTTCACAAATTGTCGTTGTTGCTTCTAATTGTCGTTTTTCCATGAGCTTGAATGGACAACACTTTTACTTTTCTTTTGTTTTTGGCTATTTTCTTTTCTGATGGCTCGTCCTTCAGTTCACTCGTTATAAACGAATAATGCTGGTGTATATATCAGTGTAGAGTTACACGGAGCTGCACGTCAAAGTGATGTTGAACCCAATAATGTTTGCGACGTGATTATTTTATTCATGTAAATCACGCAGTGTTTTCCGGAAAAATTGTAACTGTAAAGAAGCAACGTCGTTAAAATCTAAGGTTTTTTTTTATGTTTCGATTCGCGTGCAAGAATCCAACCATTGTAATTCTAGTTTGTTAGGGAGGACAAACAAAAGAAATGTAAACAATATGATTGCGTATTCATTATTGAAAAAGAAACAAAAATTGATTAAAATTTTCATAGAGTAAGGAAAATGTGAATCAGTTCTAGTGTGTTCAATTATTTCAGCAGTATTCAGTACATAACTTTTGATGCCCACGGAGTGTTGATTTTGATGAGATCTCCAAGGTAGCAGCGAAGTTCAAAGAAAGACTCAGATGTTACTGATCACATTGCAAGCTCGACACATAAGCAAAGTGCTCGGCCATATGTTGAACAAACAGACCACCTTCGCTTGGAGCAGGAGGCCGCTTTGAATTTTCATACGGAAGATGCAGCGATAAGACAATGCTTACCAGTGCCCAATGCTTACTCTTCTCCGACTCACATCAGAAGTGGAAATAGCGAGCGAGGATCTTTACACCTCTGTTGAGTGCTTTGTTGAGTTCAATTCATCATGAGATGCGCGCTGAAATCCACGACTTTAATCGGGTTAAAATCCGTTCCGCAAGAGAATAAACACTTTATATGCTCTTGCCCGTTCTTAAACTGATGTCACCCCCAACTGTTATATTGTTCACAATCTAGGATTTCGCATACATGAGAAGACACTATTTAGTCCTATTTGTAATCACCAGTAACTACGAAGTAACCTCAACCACGGGGTGTGGGGTTAGGAACACCTCAAATGTTTGAGGGTATGGTATGGTTTTTTTGATGTTCGACGTAAAATTTCTTACATCCTTGTCAGTTACCTTCCCATTGACTTTTTTCAAATCATGCAAAATGTCACTACCGAGTACTTCATTGTAAAAGGAATCAGGATTGTCCCGCACTCTTTATAAGGTACTAGTTGTTCACTTTTCGCTTTCAATAACTTGTAATCTACAAGTTATGTTTCCCTCTTAGTTTTCCCCTCTAAGCTTTTAGTTGTATATAGTTTATAAATAATATTGAAATTGTAAGATAGCATATTTTTATTTCATTTTAGCCTTTTTCTCGAAGATATTAGCTCTACAGCTACAGTGAATTTCGAGCTTAAATAAAGTATATGTATGTATGTATGTATGTAATAACATCTCCCCTTTTTACGAGTGTTTTATTCAGTTAGTCAGGAGCAGTTCATTGAAGGATTGAATGTCAAAACTGCACAGAATGTTGTCAGAGGTCTATCAGCCTGGAGAAAAATCTTATATGTGACTCGTCTGATATTTGCCCTAGTCAAGCGTACTATCGATCAAAAGTTGATTTTGAATTAGTCTGACCAAAGTCTGACCTCATTCTTGGGTCGTCCTCAATATCTCGTTCGTTTTTTGTTGTGATTTTCAGTTCACTTTTACTGACTGAATTTTGTAGATCTACTCTTGGCCAATTTGATGGCGGGTTGAATATGGCCTTTCCATGGCAACCGAACTTACAGGGAACAGCTGAATGATACTGTAATTTGTTCTTTTTCCTCAGCCAATCACCTCCAAGAACTGTAAGCAGTACACATTCTTCTTCTCATCCGCTACACACTCCTCAGAGAGCCACCTTTACAGTTAGTTCACCGCAGTCTGCATTCCCAGTCTCCCCACCTTCACCTCTGATACAGGCCAGCCCGCTCTTTCCCCATTGTCATCTCCATCATCTGCAAAATCCCCTTCAGTTGAGATCCCAATAAGAAAGCGCACAAGTTCCACGCAGAGAAATGCATCAAGAGGTCAGCCGTCATCCTCTCCTCTGCCTATTCCACGCACTGGAAGTGTACCCAGACATATATCCTCTAGAACTTCCCCGTCACCCGCTCACAGCGGAGCTAGTTCAGGCATGAACCCTAGAGAGCAGAGAGTTGGCACCCCGTCCTCAAAACTGTTAGTAGGTAAGAGCCTAAATAGTAGCACAAAGGCATTGAAAAGTGGTAGCAGCCGCAAGCAGCAGAGGCAAGTAGCGTAGGTTAGCCCCAAAGGAATGCTGATAACGGATTGGCACGGGGTGCAGCAGTTGGGATTTTCAGAAGAGCTCTCTCCAATATTGAACCTTTGGTCACTCAGCTTCCCAATATTGACAGCTCTGGCTCGTCATTCAAGCTCAGGAATGGGTGTCCCAGTAACAGACCTCTCCGAACTAGAAGCAGACACCAAGCAGATCATACGCGTGGTCAGCTCGCCGGCCATACTAGCGATGGGCCTTCCAAGGAAGGGAGGTCTATTGACACGACTAGGCTTCCAACTTGGGGCTGCACGGGCAGCTCCCGTATTTCGTCGCAATTCAGGTGGTTGAAAGAGTCCACCCATTTCATCCTCTCCTACCAGGCTTCCTACCATACCAGGCTCGCCGAGTAAGACATCCCATGGTAAGGAGGCTAGAGATCCCACGATTGAAGGGTCTTTTTACTGTTGGGTCGTGTTCGCCAAAAACTAGCGAGAACATGTTTCTACTCGGGAGGAATTCACCAAACGCGACTAATAATGGACAGAAACCTGCTGTTGTTAGTCGAGGTAAATATTACGTATCAGAGCGCCTAGCTTTTCGATGGAGTGGCATAGAACCAAAACCAAAGTAATTACAACTACCATTCAGAAGTAAGGAAATTGAAAAGCATATTGAAGCGAAACTATTGTAATCTCGAATCACTTTAAGCACTCAATTGAAAGTTGCTCCAACAGGTATACCATCTATATATATATATATATATATATATGTATATATATATATATATAGATGGTATACCTGTTGGAGCAACTTTCAATTGAGTATATATATATATATATATACACGAAGACGTTCAGGACAACCCTCAGTAAAAGCCTTCAAAGTTCTAGATAACCTTTTAATTTTTTTTAAGGTCAAAAGAGATTGTTCTTAAGTCATAAGCTGGGTTTCCTCTGCTATTGTTTTGCAATCTGTGATTGCAAAACAGAGCGAAACAACGTTGTTGTTAACTTACAATTTTAATTCGTAAAAACCCCAGATGGAGCACACGGAGGGCGTTTGGAAACTCAATTTCGTTTTGTCTCTGACGGATGCCATGCTTGAGGTGATCAGTGCCAGGGGAACACCTTTTACAGTGCTGACAGACTCTGTGGCCATCCGACAAGTACGTATTTTGTTGTTATTTTTTGGCTGCCCTTGGTGATTTGCGTAGTTGAACAGGTTAAAAGTCTCGCATCCGTCTATCAATGTGACGGATGAATTGTTCGATTATTACAAAAATTTTAAATCCTTGTTCTCCTTCGTAACAAATGTCGTAGCAAACGAATAAATACTATATTTTTCTCCCTTTCAGAACGAAGACCTCCTCGCAGACCAGATTGGACTGAAAAGTGACGAGTTAAGGTAACAAATTGGATTTAAATGATATAACTTGATTTGATTAGGTCTTACTAATGATCTATTGGAGGACAGACGCAAAGATGACATCATCATTACCGACATATTGCATTTTGATTATATAAAACAAATAGATTCCATTTCGCTGTGGGTCTGTAGAGTAATAGATCACAGATGACGTCTAAGTGTTGTAAGAACATCAAGGACACACTCGGCTGCGCCTCGTGTGCCACGTTTTGTTCTTTCTTCTCTTTGATATCATCTGTGATCTATTACTGAACTGACCCATAGTAAGATGAAATATATTTGTTAAGGGGAGGATCACTGGAATCGGATTTGCAAATACAGACTTTACCTTATAGCGAAGTATTTGGTTTTACTTAGATGTGACTTATTAAGGTTCAAACATTTTGTAGGAAAATGGAACAGCTGGTACTGTATGTGAAAGCTCTACGAGCTCTTAAACTGTCTCTTCTCTTCGCACGAGGAGAAATCAGAGTTGGCCACCTAAAATCCTCCAACGCCGTTAAGAATGGTGAGACAGATAGATGCTCTGAGGCCTTACCCTTTCCTACAGGTGCTTGTAACGAGCCTGAACGAAGCATTAAGTTTTTCTATTATCTTTGTTTACAATTTTCAGTTTTAAACGACTTGAACAGTCGATATCACCAGTGTTTGGAGACATATATGCGTGAAATCCTTTCGAGAATTAAATCAGCTTTCTGCAACATAATTGCTTTGGTTTTGCTACTGTTCACTTTGCGATTGGCAAAACCAGGCAAAGAGTCAGAGCTTATATCAATCGTGGCTTGGTCACTCGCGTTTCCAAGCTTCAGACGAGTTTCGTCCATTTGAGCTGAATTCTCGTGGGGCATTTCAAAATGTACCTTTGTGGAATGGGTTGTTGTGATGAATTTCATTTTGTTTCGGGGAAACCTCATTACAAAGGGCGGGGCTCTAGGCTACGTACGTTCGATTGAACTCTCCGCTCCTTTTCTGCACCCTTTGTTCTCCTTTTACCCCACCCCCCTCCGTAGCCCCTCCCCCCTCCCCTTCCGTCAGTATTCCCTCGATACTACTCAATTCAAACTGTCTTGCTGGTGCTTTGTTTACAAACGCCTGGAGGTGAGCTGTGGCGAGGTTGCTTCTCTATCCACTGCTTCATTTGACGCAGAGTAAAATACATCTTATATCCTTCTCACAGGTCAGCACTGACAGACTCATGTACCATTACGCCATGGAACAGGTACCTACCTTTAACGTTGAGGCATGCCATTCGCTATTTGCTAGATCTTGATCGGCGTCTGTTGAATAAATGTATCTTTTGATCTCGTTTGCGCCGCCTCAACGAAATAAATACGGACTCCGAATGCTGAATATCTTTTTTCTTCTCCCTCTCCACTAATGCCACCCAAAAAGATAAAGTTACTGTGGTCTTTTCATCTTGAATAGGGTGCACTGTATACCATGTCACAAAAGTGTTTTGAACAAGGGAGGAGTAGTCTTAAGCAACGCTGGGCCGGGCGTAATTTAATGTCACTTCAGAAGAGTAGCGAATTGAAAGATTCTGCTTTGTGAAAGACCACAGAGTGCTCACCATTCTATTCCTTCCCAGTAATTTTTCGGAACACCGCGAGTTAGCCAATAAATGTTTTAAATACATAGTCATTACTCGGGTGGCGTAGGCTATACACAATGTAATGCCTTAAAAATGGTAACACGACCAGTTACATCAAGCCCTATATAAACACACATTTGTGAACCAGGGTCACTATTTAACAGCGTGACGATTGGTTCCTTAACGAAAGCTGTAGATAAAATCGCCGTAGATAAACGGCTGACGTGTATTTCCAAGACGAGGAAGCGAAAAACCAGTCAAAGTAACACCAGATAATCAGCGCAGGGAAGGCAGTGAACTGTTAGGTGCACTGTGGACATACGTGAGCGTATGTGAATGGAGTGGAATGGACTTTCTGGTAACTGAGGAGAATATCGTCGATATTTTTTAGTAGTAGGGCATTCATTACTCTTTATTTTATAATCCTTGAAAGAGAGCATAGAATTGCAATAATCATCTGAGCTTCAGAGTGAGAGAATTTAACGTTGTTGAAGTTGTAACTCTAATGTAAATAATCTGATACGGGACGTTTGGTTTTTGTTTATTTGTTTTTGCTTTAAATCTTTTATTTATTTCTTGGAAAAAAGTACTGCTGCTCTTATGTGGTGAGCAGATAGGGTGGCCAATGTTATTTATAGTTTTCATGACATTCAGACCTTGTATTTTGTATTCGCCACGGAGAAAATTTCTCCAGCAGAAGTTCAAAATTGTTAAGGACTTTGTTTCAAACTCACCTTTGATATGTTTAAACGATGTTTAGTGATTATTAAAAACCTAACAATATTTGCTTTAACTTTTTTAACTGGTTACTTACGCTGTAATGTGTATAGAATAACGAAAATCTTTGGAAGCACTTACAAAGAAGTTAAATTAAACATCGGATTGTAACTATTCCTTGTTACTAAGGCCATAGTTATCATTGGTCTTCAGAAATTCTACATTTGAAAAGGACCACATCTCCCCTTGACATAATTTTTACCATGGGTGACATTGTTACTGCCTTGTACAAATACGCTTGGGGAAACAGAAAAGTATTGTATGTAAAGTAAGCGAACATTTAAAAAAATTGGAACACGGTGAAAACGTTTATAAAAATTTACGTAGCTTTTTCTAGAGTCGATAATTTAACTTATTATTCGTCTGGATGGCGTTTGCTTGAGTTTAAATTTATAAGTGATGATTCATTAAGATTATTTCGCTACGCAGCAAAAATTGTCATGGGATAAATTTATTCGCAATTTCCAATATATAAACGCTATTTCTAAAGTGAAAATTTTCCTCTCAGATGAAGAGAATTATAAAAAGTGTTGTCATGAAACTTCAAAACAAAACACAGACACAAAAAAGAATAAAAGTAAAAAGAAAGTGTGAAACTGTTCCAGTGTGTTTAGTTATTTAACCGGCTTCTGACCTGTGGGTTGTAGGGTTTATTTCAGCATTTCTCCAGGATAGCGGCGATTCAGATCTTGCTGATGACATTGCGAAGTTCGTTTAAAAACTGAGCGATCAAAGCCGGGATCCTTAATGGCCTTAGTTTTGCGAAGAAAATCTCCTAGCCATACCTCAAGCAAAATATATTACGATAAATAATCATAGCCATTCTGTCATCACCAAGGGATTATTCACAAATTGTCAGTTACCTTCGTTGTTATCTGTCTGTATGGCCACTTAAGATTGTTAGTGAAGATCAGTAGATGCATTGATTTTATTGGCAAAGGGTAAAAGAGTTTTCAAAACTACATGCAGAATATGATTATTTAATACTAAAAAATATTCCTCCGACAGACCTAAAATCAACTATTAAATGTTGTACTTTACTGAATTCAAGTCCAGTTCCCTCACTCGGGTTCCTTTTCGTTCCGTCAATCGTTCGCTGCAATGATGATAACTTCGTTTCTTATGGAGAAAGACATTTTTAGACTTATCGAATTCTATTTAGAAACATGACGCTATCGGCTTCGCTGATCCTGGCAGAATGCAGGACACGTGTCACATATGAATTTCTTAATGGGCCTTACTCATCAAAAAGTCTCTGTGTCTCAGTGGTAGTGAAATCAGAGCGTGGTCGTATCTTTTCTTCGTCAGTGGAAGATTTTCGTGTCTCCCCGCTGGAATATATTTATCGTATATCTTTCCCTCATTATCTACAACTCTCTACAAAGTCAAGATTTTACAAATATTTCTCTGCTGTATAAACCTCTTCGAAGCTCGACACGTAATTAAAATGCTCGGCCATATCTTAAAAAACTATCCGCAATATTAAGTGTACAGGTCTACTCAATCAATTTTCCGAGCGCCTTCATGAGGTCCAATCTTTCCATACGCACAGAAATCCACGTCACATGTTTTTTTTGACAACAAAAGAGGTTTTTTTTGCAAAGTTTATGATCTGAAACCTTCGACCATCTTTCTCTTGTTGCGAAATTTTTCTTCCCCGTCAGTGTGTTCAAGTTCTTTATCCACTGAATTCTTATACGCATGCTCCTTTCTTGATTCACCTTCTCTCTGCAGGTGATGTCACCCTCAACTTTTTACCCCTCTCACAGTCCAGGATTTTTCCTACAAAACACACTCCTTAAGGGTTCACTACAGTCAAGTCATGTTTATGAGCTCACATTGGTCAATTCTTTTTTAGAAGCATAAAAGAAAAAGTTAACGTGACTATAGCGAGTGTTTTTTGATGGAAATTGACGTTAAGGATTTAGTTTTTTACTGAAGTATATAGCTTGTCTGAGTTTCGTAAACCTTTAATTTGGGGTTGTTACAGGTCAAGCTTTCCTCAGAAAAAACCTGTTTGTCAACAATTCTTAGAAACCAGACATCCACAACATGAATAACCTGCCTTGATTGGTCGATGTCACTGATGCAATAAATATGATAATTGATATAAAAAAGTTCTGCTTGAGGCGACTTAAAGTTGATATCTCTACCTTAGACGGTTGTAATCAATCATGGATATAAAAACCTTGCTTGACAATCTTCATGAAGAAGTATCCTGTTCTGTGTGTATGACCACATTTACTGAACCAAAGATACTACCATGTTTGCACAGTTTCTGTCTTCACTGCTTGAACGAGATTTTACGAACAAGTGGCGGCCATGATATGATCGCATGCCCTGAATGCCGAAGAGAAGTTCAAGTTCCTAGCAGTGGAAACCTCAAGGATCTGCCAACAAACTTTCGTATCAACAGTTTGCTAGATGTGCTGGCCATCAAAGAATGCCATACTGCTAGAGTGAAATGTGGAAACTGCGACGAAAGTAGCAGACACAGTTCCTACTGTTTTCAGTGCTGTGCGTTCTGGTGTGACGAGTGTATCATTGCGCATAACTTAATCAAAGCGAATAAAGAGCATCGGGTTCTTGCTCTGAAAGATTTTGAAGATCAAGACATCGAGGATGTATTAAAGCGGCCGGCATTTTGCCAACAGAAGCATCACGAAAAAGAAGACCTCAAGTTCTTTTGTAAGAACTGTGATGTTGCCATTTGTAATTTGTGTGTGGCAACCATCCATGATGGTCACGCTAAGATTGTTCTAGAAGAAGTAGCAAGTGAACGCAAGATACAAGTCAGGTCTGTGATCGAGACACAAAAGAAAAATATTGAACACAAGAAAAACGTAATCGCTGATCTTGAAAGACAGTGTAACCATATTGAAGCGCGAGGCAATGCAGTGAAGCGAGACATCCACAAGTTTGCTGAAAACATGATCGAATTCATTGAAAAAAAGAAGAAGGAAATGTTAAACAAAGCTGATAAACAAATTAAAGAATCCCTTGGATGTGTGCGAACTCAACAATGCGAGGTGAAGCGTCAAGTCAAACTTCTTGAAACAGCAGTCGAAAAAGCTGAAACATTTTTAAAACGATATACAAATGCCGAGATTGCACAGATAGATAAGTCACTGAATATGCTCTTACCTGATGATGTCAGCGATGTTGGAAAACAAGCCGCATCTGACCTTGAAGGTCTTCGTCAATTCCGTTTTAAAGAAAACAAAACATTACTTGGCAGTCTTCACTCTGACGGCATCGGCTCATTTCAAAGTTATGTAACAAACACTTGCGCTCATCAGTCAACTGCCGAAGGGAAAGGAATCAATGAAGCGATTGTTGGACTTGAATCAAACTTTTTGTTAACAACGAGAAATGCCGAAGGAGAACAATGTTACAATGAGCGTGACTCTGTAACCGTGGAAATAAAAAATCAGCAAGGCCATGACTGTGCGACAGAAGTTCGACTCAAAGATGAGAAAGATGGTAGCTACAAAGTCAGATATTTCCTCAAAGATACAGGAAAATGCCAAGTATCAGTGAAAGTAAATGAAGAACACATTCGTGGTAGTCCATTTCCTATTAAACCGAAACCCAGACAGTTCAGACACGTGTTATCTTTTGGAAAACAAGGCTCGTCCGTTGGAATGCTATGCTGTCCATATGGAATGGCAGTGAATGAACGAGATGAAATTGCAGTGACTGATAATAAAAACCATAGGGTTCAGGTATTCAGTAGTGATGGAACTTACTTAAGATCTTTTGGAGGAAAGGGTGATAAACAGGGCGAGTTAAATTGGCCTGCTGGGATAGCATTTAATAAAAATAGTCGCAGTATAGTAGTAGACGGTCTTAACTACCGAGTTCAATTGTTTAGGGTGAGTACCTGAGCCAGTTTGGTGGTAAAGGAAATCTTGATCACCAGCTGAGGGATCCTCTTGGTTTATCTGTCGACAGGAATGGAAATATTATTGTTGCCGATAAGGGCAACAAAGTTATAAAAACCTTTTCTCCCAGTGGCCAGTTTTTGTATAAACTTGGTGAAGATGAAGGTGAAGGTGAAGGTGAGGGTTTTACTTCTCCTTTTCACTGTATTCAATATGACAAATATCTAATAGTGTCAGACGATGGTGATCATTGTATCAAAGTGTTTGATATAAATGGCAACTTTTTGTACAAATTTGGAAATAAGGGGAACAGGGACGGGGAGTTTAACTCACCCCGTTTTTTGTCAGTTAACAAGGCAGGACACCTGATGGTCTGTGACAAAAACAATGACAGAGTTCAGGTATTTGAACTGAGTGGTAAGTTTATAACAAAGTTTGGAAAACAAGGGAATGGGCCAGGAGAGTTCAAGGATCCAACATCTACAGCAGTTCTTAGTGATGGTAGGATAGTTGTAGCTGATTGGTTGAACCATCGCATCCAGATATTTGAGTAAATGTGGATCATTTATCTACTATTACATTCAGACTACAACTTACTTCTAAAAAAATTGTTTTCAACTAATCTTCAAATCATTTCTCGGATGAGCTTCTCGTCGTAGTCTCAGTGAAAAGAACATTGTAGAACTTTGAGTCAGTGGATTCCATTTTGTTCATTGTATAGTTACAAGTTCGCACGTTAGGTTTTCCATCACAAAAGAGAAAATAATATTCCACTTTTTTTCTCTTGCTTACAGTAAACCTAAGAAAAGTGTTTTCTTAGCTTGGTTGTTTTTCTTAAATATATGGAAATTAATTAAATGTAGATTAAAATGACACGTTTTGAACTTTCAGAGAGAGGCCATTAGAAAACAATAAGTTAACTGCAAACTGATTATTGCCATTTTCAATCGAATTCGCCAAGATTTCATTTACAAATTGTTGTTGTTGCTTTTGTCGTTTTTCCATGAGCTCAGATGGACAATACTTTCATTTTTCCTCTGTTGTTGCTATTTTCTTTTCTAATGGCTCGTCCTTCAGTTCACTTGTTATAAACGAATAATGCTGGTGTATCTGTGTAGAGTTATAGGAAACTGCACGTCAAAGTGCAGTTTCATGTAACTCTACACAGATACACCAGCATTGAATAATGTTTGCGACGTGATTGTTTTATTCATGTAAATCTTGCAGTATTTGCCGAAAAAACGATAACTTTTAAGGCGGTACGTCACGAAAAGCTAGGGTTTTCTCTCTGTTTCGATTCGCGTGAAAGGATCCTACCATTGTAATCTTTAGATTCTAGTTTTTTAGGGAAGGCAAAAAAAAAAAGGTGAAAAATTATTATGATAGTGTATTCATTATTGGAAAAGAAACAAAAATTCATTAAAATTGTCAAAGAGCAAAGGAAATGTAAATCTGTTCCAATGTGTTCAATTATTTCAGTAGTATACTGTACATAACTTGACTGTTAAGTTTGATAAGAATTCTCTGAGGTAGCAGCAAAGCTCAAAGAATTACTTAGATATTGCCGATTACATTGCAAGCTCGACACATTATTAAAATGCACGGCCATATGTTGAATAAGCAAGCCACCTTCGCTTGGAGCTAGCGGCCTCTTTGAATTTTCATGCGGAAGATGCAGCGATAGGACGAACTCACCGACGCCCAATTCTTACTCTTCTCTGATTTACATCAGAGGTTTAAGCAGGCAGATCAGCTTCCTGAGTTTTTCCAGCCAGATTTTACCCATGGAAATAGCAAGCGAGGATCTTTACATCTCTGCAGAGCGCTTTGTTGAGGCCGCTTCATTCGATGCGCGCTGAAATCCACGACTTTAATCGGGTTTAAATTCGTTCCAAGAGAATAAACACTTTATATTCTCTTGTCCGTTCTTTAACTGATGTCACCCCTAACTGATATACTGTTTATCCTTCTCACAATCTAGGATTTCGTGTGCATAATAAGACACTTTTTACTGGTAACTAATTTCTTGCATCCTTGTCAGTTATCTTCCCATTGACTTTTTCCAAAGCAAGGGAAATGTCACTACCGAGCGCTTCATTGTAAAAGGAATCAGAATTGTCCCGCACTTTTTATAAGATAGTTGTTCACTTTTCGCTCTCAATAACATCTTCCCTTTTGACGGGTGTTTTATTCAGTCAGTCAAGAGCAGTTCACTGAAGGATCGAATGTCAAAATTTGTTTCATTTAACGTCATCAGTTAATCGCACAGAAGGCGTGTCATTCATGTATGAGTGTTGCTTCCTAGCCTGTGAACAGCCACCCCTTACCCTCCAAATGAAAATCGTAGGGGCCCCTTCCCGATTTTCATTTGCATGGTAGGGGGCGGCTGTACACAGGCTATTGCTCTCCATATCTCATTGGGTGTAAAGGGCATCAATAAGGGCTCTCTAGGTGTCTGTCGTGGAATTTACTCTTCATCTTACCTCAATTCAACCGCAAACGTTAACATAGTATAGTGTCAACCTTCTTCATAAGGAACTATCTCCGTGATAAGCCACAATGTCTTAAATTTTTGCAGTATTCTGTAGCGAAATGCTTTTCACAACATTGTTACTAGTCTCCTCATTTTCCTTTCTTATTTGGGTTTGGGACTGGCAATAGCAGAGGTCTGAGGTATCTACTTTTTGTATAAATGTACTTGTACCATGAATTTTACTTATGCTATATTGTTATTTAAGCTGATTTTGGGTTTGCAAGATTTCTCCCTGGTAAAATAATGACGGCTACTTTATGTGGATCTCCTATGTACATGGTTTGTGTAAACTTTTGAGATATTCTGAGTTCCTGAGTTGCATTAATTTTACTACTATGTGTTTCTTTGGGAACTATTTAGAAATAAAGTTTCACCCTTCATTAAATTAGCAGTGGTGAAACAGTCTTTGTGAGTGAAAATGATTGCTCTGACGAAGGGCTAACACTCGAAACGTCAGCTTTTTTTACTCTTTATGGTGGCCAATTTACGTTTTCAACTCAGTTGTTAACACTAAATTACCTGCTATACTCTCCCACTGACCCAGCACCACAGTTTCTTTATAAACCTACCCCCTTTATTCATTTGTGAGTGAAGATGGATTATTTGAAGTAATATTGCTGCCATTTTGGACTGCAGAATTCTTCTAATTTGTCATTATCTGTAAATAAGCAGGAACTCAAAAAAATAAAACAAAACTACCTAGTCAGCAATTATGGGAAGAACCCTGTGTTGAAAACATTTTTTGTTCTAAAAATTATATATACTGAATGACATGTGTTCGAAATTCCAATTCCCTTTCACACTTTTGATATATTCATTTACCATGTTTATTTTCCATTTTTGTCATTCAATGCTCCTGAAGTTATAATGTCCAAAGGATATGATGCCAAAGCTGATCTCTGGAGTGAAGGGACAATTGTTATCAGTGTCTCACTGGTAAAGCCCCCTCTCAGGTGCTCTTACATACCATGACATTAAAAGGCCAATTGTGACAAACTTTTTCAGTGTTAAATAAGATGAAAATCAATGATTTTTTCGATTTTGTCATTTTCCAGGCAGCCCTCAACAGTCAAAGAAATTTTATGAAAAGAGCAAATCTGTTTCTCCAAAGTGAGTGGCAAAATGGCAAGCTAGTAAGTTATTAATTCTTGATCTAAAAGTACTTCAGTCTGTGCCTGCTTGTTTGGTAGATGCAATCTGATTACCGCACTAGTGGAAGATATCATATTTATTTCATGCTTTATCAATTAATGAGTCTTATTTTATCCATGAATAGTAAACAACTGTTTCTAGTAACCTCAGTATACCAGTGGGTACTTCAAACCACATGAAAGACCTACTTATTGGATTACTAAAAAGGAATCCTTGTGAGAGGCTGGATTTTGGTAAACAATTATTACATCTTTGTTTAATTTACTGTTACAAAAACACAAAGCTTGTTCCTGGCAATTTGAAGGTGAATTGTATAAGGTAGATTGAGGCTAATATGTATGAGAAAGTTTTATTTTCTCTAAAAATGATGGCATCATCTAATTTAACCACAAATCTTTCCATTTACTCATGTGCAATCAGTAACTCTAAGTTTATAAAAATGAGTTACTACTTAGGTAATAATCTGAGAACAAGACTGAGCACAGATGAGCACAGTATCATTTTAAGCTGAAAATCAAGTTTCCTAGGCTATGTTAGACAAAGTTTTACTCTTGGCACATAATACATGTACATTTGTTTAAACATGTACATTTGTTTTCCAAAGAAATGTAGCATTCACGAGGCTTTCACAGGGTTCACAGGTGAATTCTTTGTTCATCCTTTCTTGACTGGCAGAGTTCCCCATCGTGCATGTAAGAAAAAACTGACATGTATCTTATTAATAGTATGAATATACCCTTGCAAAATTGATTTTTGAACTCCTAGGAATTTTTTCCCAAGAATTCCTAGGAATAAGAGGTGTGAATTTTCACAATAAATTTGGACTGGGAATTCCTAGGAATTCCTATGAATTCCAACTCAGAGCACCGATGACTTTCCCTGAAAAGCTGTAAATCTAAAAAATTCCTAGGAATTAATTCTACCTGTAAAGTATTTTTCATTGTATATTAACATTGACATGTAGTAATGTTAGGATGGAATTTGATTTATTTTTCTTTTCTCGAAAACTTCATACAAATTAATCCTCAATTACAGCTATTCGTATAAAATAGTCCTAATCAATCATTTAATTTGGTTTGACACAAATTGTGAATAAAATCTGTTGCTTCTTTTCCATAAAATACAATATTTTGAATTATATTTATTGCAATAAATACTATCTGTCTAAAAATAGTCTTAAAATGAATCATTTAATTTTGGATGATGATACATATGGTATTTAACCCTTTTGCTCCCAGAGACAGGCTTTGACTTGATTTTATGTGGTTGTAACTTATTTGGATAAAACTCTTGTGAGTGAACTTTCAAATGTAAGCTGTCAAGCAGGACTTCCATGTTTTACAAAGATTTCTTCTTAAATTTTTGACCTAACACTCTTGGGAGTGAAGGGCTTAATTACAGTTAAATAAAATTGATTTTCTAATTAAAATCTTGTTGTAACTGTAACATTAAATTAGAAAGAAGTTAACCTAAACTGCAGACTTGGCTGCTGTTTGTCTTTTTTTCCTGGACTCACAGCTTTCCCTGTTGGCCTTGAATGAGGTTGTCTACAAGAAGCTTGACCATTTTGTATCTGCATGGATTCCATGACATCTGAATTGGAAAAAAGAAATCTCTGTTATATTGAATGACCTTTATGTTGGAGTTGATACATCTCTCCCATAGATTTTACTAAAAAAGGGCTGAATACATTATTTTGTTTTCACCAAGGAGGGCTTCTTTATGTGATAAGGTCTGTTTAATCACAGTTTATATTATGAATCTTGAATGTTCCCAAACGTGACTAAAGTAAAAACTGGAGCGAAACCTTAATGATAGATTTATTTCATTGTAAAGCATAAGCTTAAGAAACTGCAGCATGCAAGTGAC